ACACACAGTGTCTTCACACACAGCGACTTCGCACACAGCGTCTTCACACACAGCGACTTCGCACACAGCGACTTCACACACAGCGTCTTCGCACACAGCGACTTCACACACAGTGTCTTCACACACAGCGACTTCGCACACAGCGACTTCACACACAGCGTCTTCGCACACAGCGACTTCACACACAGTGTCTTCACACACAGCGACTTCGCACACAGCGTCTTCGCACACAGCGACTTCACACACAGTGTCTTCACACACAGCGTCTTCACACACAGCGACTTCACACACAGTGTCTTCGCACACAGCGACTTCACACACAGCGTCTTCGCACACAGCGTCTTCACACACAGCGTCTTCACACACAGCGACTTCACACACAGTGTCTTCGCACACAGCGACTTCACACACAGCGTCTTCACACACAGCGTCTTCACACACAGCGTCTTCACACACAGCGACTTCACACACAGTGTCTTCACACACAGCGTCTTCACACACAGCGACTTCGCACACAGCGACTTCACACACAGCGTCTTCGCACACAGCGACTTCGCACACAGCGTCTTCACACACAGCGTCTTCACACACAGCGTCTTCACACACAGCGTCTTCGCACACAGCGACTTCACACACAGCGTCTTCGCACACAGCGACTTCGCACACAGCGTCTTCACACACAGCGTCTTCACACACAGCGTCTTCACACACAGCGTCTTCGCACACAGCGACTTCGCACACAGCGACTTCGCACACAGCGTCTTCGCACACAGCGACTTCACACACAGCGTCTTCGCACACAGCGTCTTCACACACAGCGTCTTCACACACAGCGACTTCACACACAGTGTCTTCGCACACAGCGACTTCACACACAGCGTCTTCACACACAGCGTCTTCACACACAGCGTCTTCACACACAGCGACTTCACACACAGTGTCTTCACACACAGCGTCTTCACACACAGCGACTTCGCACACAGCGACTTCACACACAGCGTCTTCACACACAGCGTCTTCACACACAGCGTCTTCGCACACAGCGACTTCGCACACAGCGTCTTCACACACAGCGTCTTCACACACAGCGTCTTCACACACAGCGTCTTCGCACACAGCGACTTCGCACACAGCGTCTTCACACACAGCGACTTCGCACACAGCGACTTCACACACAGCGTCTTCGCACACAGCGACTTCGCACACAGCGTCTTCACACACAGCGTCTTCACACACAGCGTCTTCACACACAGCGTCTTCGCACACAGCGACTTCGCACACAGCGTCTTCACACACAGCGTCTTCACACACAGCGTCTTCACACACAGCGTCTTCGCACACAGCGACTTCGCACACAGCGACTTCGCACACAGCGTCTTCGCACACAGCGACTTCGCACACAGCGTCTTCGCACACAGCGACTTCACACACAGCGACTTCGCACACTTCGCACACAGCGTCTTCACACTCAGTGTCTTCACACACAGCGTCTTCGCACACAGCAACTCCGCACACAGCGTCTTCACACACAGCGTCTTCACACACAGCGTCTACACACACAGCGACTTCGCACACAGCGTCTTCACACACAGCGTCTACACACACAGCGACTTCGCACACAGCGTCTTCACACACAGCGACTTCGCACACAGCGACTTCGCACACAGCGTCTTTGCACTCAGCGACTTCACACACAGTGTCTTCACACACAGCGTCTTCACACACAGCGACTTCGCACACAGCGACTTCGCACACAGCGACTTCGCACACAGCGTCTTTGCACTCAGCGACTTCACACACAGCGTCTTCGCACACAGCGTCTTTGCACTCAGCAACTCCACCCTTCAACTCTTAACTCCAACTCTGTCTCTCAAACTCTGTCTTCCAAACTCTCCACACTTCAACTCCCCCCTGTTGACTCCAAGCTCTCCAAACTCCAACTCCTCCAAGTTCTCCAACTTCAACCCATCTCCAAGCTCTCCACGCTTCAACCCAACTCCCTCTGTTGACTCCGACTCCCGCTCTTATACCCGCTGTCATTACACCCCCAATTAATTAACCCGCGTCCCAACGGCACTCCGCGTGGCGTCACCTGTTTCTCGCCAGACTTCCAGACGCCCCTCCGGCCCTGGCAACAGCACCAACCAATCACAGCCGTCCTTGGCTCTCCCAGCTTAATTGCCCTCACATAATCTGTAGTGTATTTGTTATCATGTAATCACGCTGTTTCCACAACGCACCTTCGTACTCCACTACAAATGTAATTGTCTAACATGGAAAAACACTATGCAGTATATTTGCTTAAATAAAATAAATAAAATATATACGGTATATCCCACGTCTCCATAAAAACTTACCAATACATTACTATATAACCTACTGCATTGTTTTTTAATGTTTCTTCAAATTTCTTGCCACGGGCGCTGTTAAAAGCTCCTTTCTCAAAATGAACATTGGAATGTCGTACATTTTTTGAAAGGAGCCCTGAGTTGGTAGTGGAAATTCCACATTCTGATGGTATCCACTAGTCTCTGTAACTTCCTACAAAATGGTACGTATTTTATCAACCCTGGAAGCAATTGACGGTAGTTCAGTGATTTAATACATTGCTGGAAAAAGCAACACTTTATTATGGACCAGCATATTTTTGCAACATGTATTATTCAGTGACGATCTATATTCACTGCAGTCTGTTGAGCTGAGTTCAGCAGCTCAAAATGTTCCACATTACAGAGAGCCATGGCAGCAAGTTTAAGAGCATTAACAGGGCTTTGAAGCTGCTAGCCATACATATTGAACACTTACGCTCAAACGCTGTACACAGGAAATCATAGTGTAGGTTTACACAGCTTCTATTTCACATGCACGCATATGCTACACCAGGGCCTAATTTTTCATGGAACATTTTCTGTTGTTTGGGAGGGGGGGGGGGCCCCACAGGGGAATATTTTCTGGAACTCAGCCCTGGGTATCTCTGGCTGAAATAAACCCCTGCAATTAACAGTCATAATCTTCTTCTTTGGTTCTTTCGGTAAAGTCACGCAGAATGAGAATAAAATAATAAATTGATGAAATAAAATAACACAATAATATTCTCACGACGTTTCGGCCACAACACAAGCGGCCTTCATCAGGTGAAGGGACGAGACTGTGTTGTGGCCGAAACGTCGTGAGAATATTATTGTTATTTTATTTTATCAATTTATTATTTTATTCTCATTCTGCGTGACTTTACCGAAAGAACCAAAGAAGATGAATCCTTGCAGTCACGAAAGCTTTAAATCGAGAGTCATAATCTTGTTGGTCATTCTCTATCCACTGAAAGTTCTTGTGAGGATTACTTTTGAAAAGTGTACGAGTCTAATAACTGATTCCTCAGAGTTTAAGTGGTAGCGGAATGTAATCCTGTACATGCTTATTAAATGCAAACATAATCTGACGGTTAATGTAATAATGTTCTTCAAATTAATGTAACGTAGAGTGTTGATTTTATATAAAGATGTTTGGGACATTCCATTAATGATCGTTGGGGATACCTGCAGAAAACCCACACCTATGAGTGGATACCATTTGTGGATGCCAACAAGTATATATTTGTTGGCATCCTTCATTGGCGGTGGTGCACAAGCACAAATCACAAATAAGTGTACTGTGCAGTAGGGATGAGGCGACGTTTCGGGCAATGCCCCATTTTCATGATCTCTGCCATTAAGGATGGCTATTTGCTGAAACGTCTCCAGCTACATATATTTAGTTTCATTTCAGGGCAGCGTTCTTGACGAATGCGTTGAGTTTTTGTGCTCCTATATTTCTTATTAAGGGGCCGTCCATAAATGACGTCACGCGATTTTTGACGATTTTTGACCCCCCCCCCTCCCCTCGTCACACGGCGTCACAAAAAGTCAGACCCCCCCTCAAATATGACGTTACAAAGCTCTGCCCCCCCCCCCAAAACCATATTTCCATTTTGAAAATAAAACATGCTTCAAATCGCTTTAAACTATTGTCATTGTAGTGCGTATTTAATGTGGCGCTGCACTCTGATGTAAGAGAAAACATTTATTACAAAGTCTATTTAATTAAGTAGAACATTTTGATTTAAAGCTTTCGTGACTGCAGGGATTCATATTTTTATTAGTTTATTGTTTCCCTTCTACGTGACTTTACCGAAAGAACCAAGAATATAATTATTATTTGGCTCTTTCGGTAAAATCACGTAGAATGAGAATAAAATAATAAATTGATAAAATAAAATAACACAATAATATTCTCACGACGTTTCGGCCACAACACAAGCGGCCTTCATCAGGTGAAGGGACGAGACTGTCTGGAGGACAGCGCTGGAGTGAAAAAGCCACGCTCAGATCGCGAACTTTAAGCTGTGTGAGAAGAAACAAAGCGCCTTGACAAAGGAATTAGCATGTAATTTAGCATTGAAATGGCTGAGTGATTAGCTTGTGACTGGTCACAGAAATGGCTATGTTAAGGATAAAGCATACACATCCGCAGAGGCACCCCTTGACAAAGGAATTAGCATAGAATTTAGCATTGAAATAGCTGAGTGATTAGCTTGTAACTGGTCACAGAAATAGCTATGTTAAAGTCAGAGCATTTCAATGCTAAATTCTATGCTAATTCCTTTGTCAAGGCGCTTTGTTTCTTCTCACACAGCTTCTCAGCGTGGCTTTTTCACTCCAGCGCTGTCCTCCAGACAGTCTCGTCCCTTCACCTGATGAAGGCCGCTTGTGTTGTGGCCAAAACGTCGTGAGAATATTATTGTGTTATTTTATTTTATCAATTTATTATTTTATTCTCATTCTACGTGACTTTACCGAAAGAACCAAAGAAGATCAATCCTTGCAGTCACGAAAGCTTTAAATCGAAAATAATATAATTCTATATTTATTTAAAGTTGCGCATTTTGATGTGACGTCACATTTCTCACCCCCCCCTCGTCACACATCGTCACAAATGTCTGACCCCCCCCCCCCCTTGGTGCATGACGTCATTTATGGACGCCCCTAAATCAGCTGTGCAGCTAACTCTGCTCTTTCCCGAACGAGTTTGAATCCTGCTTTTAGATTCAATTCAGGGAATCGGGGAACTAGATTCCACACGGTAACGATTCTTAAAGCAATCGATTCACGAATTTTGGCGGGAAGCGGCAATGGCGGCCCCCATGGAGGAGGAGGGGAACGAGACGCGGGAGCCCCGCGATCTACTCCCCGCGTCCTCCTCGGTCTCCGAGTCCCTGGAGAAGCTCACGGTCGTGACGAGAGCCATCACCAGGAACGTGTCCATCGTGAACGACGCCCTGGAGAAGTGAGGTTTGAACAGATGTCACCTCAAGAGATTGCCCTCGTAGCCGTATTTGTGTTTACATTTGGTACAGCACTGTCCGTCAATCCACTGTTGGGATGAGGTTCTTCTCACACCGAGCTGGTGTGATCATACCTCACGCTGGCCAGTGAGGGTTGGTGGAGGCTATAGACGAGAGCGTACAGCTATGGAGTGTACTGCACTAGCCTCTGCTAGTGAACCCCGCAGCCTACAACACTTGTTATGCATGCATGGTCGCCGATCCCTGCTTATCCGTCGAGGTCGGGACGAATTCCAAGTGATTTGTTCTTATACTTGCCACCTCTCTGTACGGCCCATCGACCTTATTTGCAAGTGGATGGATAAGACATGCGATGGAAACGGACCATATTCTTGGTTCTTTCGGTAAAGTCACGTAGAAGGGAAACAATAAAAATATAAAACGTTCCCATTTACATTATGAGACCTCCTTTGCCAGTAACATCTGGTCCAACACCAGTGGAGACTAGGCTCTAAGAAAAGCCGTCTCGGGTGTGGACCAATCAAATTCAAGGACTGCATATTATTATCAGAGTTGTCTGTTTTGTTTGCATTTTGACTGCTTGTGTTGTGGTTATTGCAAACATGATGCCTTGAATAAAGGTGTCAGTTTTTGTGCCAGTTAAAAGGGTAAAACCTATTACTATAGACGTTTCCATTGTTTCCATCGCATGTCTTATCCAAGAATATGAATCCCTGCAGTCACGAAAGCTTTAAATCGAAACGGACCATGTTAAAGTAATCGATGTTAAGACGGAGTGAAGGGTCGTGCTAGAAGCCGATTGCATCGGAGGGATTGTCATTAACCCAAAAAAACCTCTTATGGATTGTCATGTATGTTGCCACTTGCTGTTGTAACTTGCATGGCTGTTGAAACTTGTTGACCCTGCCCATACTGGACACTGAAAAAGAGCTTCATAGCTAATCGGATTCCTTCTGCAGTCTAAACACATTCTGGTTTTGAATGTAAACTTTCCACACTAGGATGTTTTCATTACACAAGCAGGTCCATGTTTATCACGTTCAGTTCACAAAGTATGCTGTATACCAAGAGATATGGATACAGTACTGGATACGTATAGATGTACGGTACTATAGTTTGGCATGACATAAGTTAGTACATCCGTCCGAGTCATTTTTACTTGCTTTTATGTTAAAAAGCTAATGTAGCAATAACACGCATAACACAATTGCCTTGTCGAATTTGTATTTTACAATCAGAAGATTTTTTGTACTGTATTGTTTCATGTTTTAGTTTTCTCTCGGCACTGCAGTTTCCACGAATTTGTGAAATGTTCAAGAAACCCTCTTCACTGTAGTAAGACAAATTTTAGGCTTTCTTGAAAAAAGGATTATCCAAACATACCTGGACAGAATCAGACAACTTACATTTGGGGAACACAGAAAAGAGGTGAAGAAAATTTCATTGATTTTATTTGGATTCTATTTTATGTATTTCTTTAAAATGTTAATCTCGTGTATTTTTCTTTCAGAATTCTGATGGACAAACCATTGGCTGACGAGCTAAAGAAGTACTTGGTGGGTTATTTAAATATAATTTTAAAACATGTACATATTTTGTGCTTTTGAAATCGTATGCTGTATGTTTGCAACCATGCTTGTTTTGTTTGTGGAACAGACAGACTTTTCTGCTGAATAATCCTACATGGAGAAGACTCAACTCTCAATCGTTGCCAGTCTACTGCCAAATTACTCGTCACAATTACTTTACATTTACGAGCCGCGTGTGAAAAATGCATTTCGTGCGGTCATGTTTTTCGAATAACAAACCTTGCCAATGTATACAGAAGATAGTGACTTTCATTTATTTTCATTTAAAGATGTATAAAAGGTTGCAGACCATCCGCACCGAATTCTCAACCCACTCAAGATTGTCCCAGTGTTTTTTTTTTTCCAGCAATCCGTCACCAGCCTTGCACAACCATGTTAATTTGGTATTTAGAACAGCCTTATTAGCCTTGTCATAGCTGTTATAGTGTGTTTGACCGATACATTCTCATTAACTGTAGATTTTGAAAGTGTAATGCCTTCTATTAACAATTTTGATTTAAAGCTTTCGTGACTGCAGGGATTCATATTTTTGGTTCTTTTGGTAAAGTCACGTAAAAGGGAAACAATAAAATAATAAAAATATAAAACAATAAAATTATCACGTTTCGACTGCAACACAAGCAATCATCATCAGGTGTGAAAACCACAGCAAGAAAATTTGAAGTGGCGTTTTTTTAACGTTAGCACCACGGAGAGCGATTTGGCAGTTATTCAGGTGGACGAGTCCTTCTATGTTCGGAAAAGAGGAGGGGGGAGACGAAAATAATGGATGCGGTCTGAAAGCCACCTTAAGCGTGATCAATCAATTCAAACCAGAAATGGTTTATCAAATCCTTCCAATGATTGCTAAGCCAGAATCTGTCTTCCCAGTTGAAATTGTTTCTGTGTTTGTATATGTGGATAGCCTCATGAACGAATCTCTCATGGTAGCCAGATGGCTTGCAAAGAACCTCTGTCTTGGAGAAGTCAATGTCATGTGAACCTACTGAATTATAACAGTGATCTGTCACGGCCGAGGTGTTATACATACAGTACATACAGTGCCCTGGCGTCTACAAACTAAGTTGCCTCTGTGGTAGTAGTTACATTGGAGAAACCAAAAGACATGTCTCGGACCGCATTCGTGAACACAAAGCAGACCTGAAACACGGTAGGACCAACACCTCGGCCGTGGCAGATCACTGTTATAATTCAGTAGGTTCACATGACATTGAATTCTCCAAGACAGCGGTTCTTTGCAAGCCATCTGGCTACCATGAGAGATTCGTTCATGAGGCTATCCACATAGACAGAGACAATTTCAACCGAGAAGATGGATTCTGGCTTAGCAATCATTGGAAGGATTGATAAACCATTTCGGGTCTTAATTGATTGATCACGCTTAAGGTGGCTTTCAGACCGCATCCATTATTTTTTGTCTCCCCCCTCCTCTTTTCCGAACATAGATGGACTCGTCCATCTGAACAAACTGTCAAATCGCTATCCGTGGTGCTAACGTTAAAAATAACCGCCACTTTTTTCAAATTTTCTTGTCGTTTTCACACCTGATGATGATTGCTTGTGTTGCAGTCAAAACATCGTGATCATTTTATTGTTTTATATTTGTATTATATTATTGTTTCCCTTCTACGTGACTTTACCGAAAGAACCAATAATATATTGTAACAATTGTTCCTGCAAAAAAATGTAATGCATATTTGTAAGATGTTTAATAATGCAATTTATAACGTGCACTATTTCATGTACATAAATCATATGGGTACTTTGTGAAGTGTAATGCTTAGTTTATTGCTGATTAATACGCTCATGGACATTAGATTTTCTCAAGTGTGTGTATATATAGTTTCAGTATATTAATGACCGAATCTTATATCCTACATATGTAATAAATAACGATACAAGTGAAGACATTTCTTTTTATTTACAACTGCAACACTGTCAACACTCATGTAAAGAAAACAAACCTTCTAAGCACTGAAATATATTTATAAGGTTCAATGTAAAAATTATAAACTTCAGCCTGCATTATTTATCTAGCCTGAAGCAAAATGTTAGTCCTTAATTGGCCCAAGCTCATTCATATGCCTACACTTTATGTAAATGAAGGCTTTGCAAATAATTTTAAGTGTTTTTATGTTTTGACTTTTTTTATATTTTTAATAAAGCATCTGTAATGGATAACCAAATATAAGTTAGAGCATGTTAGCAGCACAAAACATTGTGTTTTTTCCAATGCACAATGTGTCAACATTTATATAGGTGGTTAAACCAGTGGTGGAAAATCCACATTCCCATGATGGGCTATTCTCTTCATGGGATAACCACTTTCTTTTCCACAAAGGTGTTCATTGTATCAAACCTGGAAGGATAATGGGGTGAGAGTTAACCCCAAATTTGGATTTAAAATTCCAACCTTACAACATAAGGAATGAACACTTACAGTGCCACTTGCTGTTTACATACATCAGAGCCAACACAATGTAACATCGAGGTTGAAAGAAGATGCAGAAGGAGTTTTGATGTGACCAGTGCAATTTGTGGTCAACCTATATTTATGCAGAGATCCACTGCCATTTGTCCTCTGCCTTTCAATCATTTGCATTCTTGAACTGCTTGCACGATGGCTGGCAAAAGAGAATCCCTGTTCTCCTTCGTGACCTGGTCAAAATTAAATATGTACAAACGGACAAATGATTATGTAATGATAACATCACACTACAACTTATACACCTGCAACGTACATGTCTAACCACAACACCAATATTTATATTTTTAAAAATACGGGAAATTTCTATGAATATAATGGTGCCCTTAACGTACCATGAACAGTTTGATGTCCCCACGGCCTCTGACCTCCTCAACAAGCGCCAGAGGCTTGCCTTTTGGCACGGGTATTGTGCCCAGCACATTTGTGGTGGGAATCTCCAGAGCCCGTCGCACACCCTGCACAAAGCTCTGGCTGAACAGCTCCATCTTTCCTATCTCATCCAGCACCAGCACTCGGGCACCACCAGCACTTGGGTCCGATGGCTGAGAGACAAAACATCACCAGTCAGTTGCAAATCACGCTGTCAATTGTTAAATTTTCAATAATCGTTTATGGAATCGATTATCTAAAGTTTAGGCATCGATTATGAAATGCAGTTCAGATTTCCGATTAAACCAATACATGCAATATATATGAAATTCAGTTTTTAAATTGACGTGGCACGGTAGGTGTGGTGTAAATGATGATGTCTCAACACACTTTTCTCAGCAGCGGGAGAGCAATCTGTTCAAACGAGACCAGGTCCACGGCGTACTGTCCAACCCGATACTCCCGGTGCGAAGAGGGGACACCGCCGCCATCACAGCTGCGTGAAAGAAAACACGCCAAATCTAAAGCGACAAATATTCATCTGAAGCAAACATTCCACTTAATACAAAGTTGCCCGTTATTCAGTTTGTATGGAGATGAATGATGAAGCATTGAAACTGTCATTCAAAAATTAAACATTAAGGCGCCTAGGCCCTGTGAATAGCAAAGGGCTCGGTACAGGGACAGCTTACTTAGTGGCATAGCTTGCATATGTGCAGGTGGTTTAATTGCAATGGAGGCTACAAGAGCACAAGCGCCCCCGTGCCACGAAGCGGTTAGAAATTATATAGTGGCAATTGAATTCCTTGCACCAGGATCTATCGGCCACACGACACTACTTGGCTCAGGTGTGCTTTGGTCAAACACCCAGAATCGGAATATTTATCCTGGAGAAATCGGATGAGCTAAGAAGCTCTTTTTCACAGATGCCCATAGGGCGTAGCAAGGAGGTCCGCACGTCGTGGACTCTGGTAGATGCCCTCCCCGAGCTCACCCGAGCCGAGCCAGGGTGCCGCGCTCTCCTGCCAGAGACACGATGTCGAAACCAATCCTCCGGCCGCCCTGCCGCACCTCCTCGGTGTAGAAGCCCCACACTCCCAGGCCGGCTACACGCAGGGCCTCGCAGGCCTTCTGCACCAGGGTCGTCTTCCCCACGCCTGTCTCAGATAAACAACACAGGCACACTAAACAAGCCGATTATATTTTCTGATTTAAAGCTTTCGTGACTGCAGTGATTCATATTCTTGGTTCTTTCGGTAAAGTCACGTTGAAGGGAAACAATACAATAATACATAAAACAATAAAATTCTCACGACGTTTCGACTGTAACACAAACAGCCATCATCAGGTGTGAAAACCAACGGCAAGAAACAAACCGCCACTTCCTTCAAATGTTTCTTGCCGTTGGTTTTCACACCTGATGATGACTGTTTGTGTTACAGTCGAAACGTCGTGAGAATTGTATTGTTTTATATATTGTATTTATTGTTTCCCTTCAACGTGACTTTACCGAAGGAACCAAAAATAAGCTGATTATAGTTTATGTCTTCACGGTCTGGGGTATCAAAGGCCTACGCTCCTTATTTCAACTACAGGGTGCTTAAAAAAATGTTAACACTTACATGGCACTATCGTTTATAATGGAAAATAACGGATAATACACTGTAACATGATATCAAATGTATGTTAATAGCTAAAAAACAAGTCAAAGATTCTCCGCTTGTTCGCCATCATTGTGCACACATGCCTGGAATCTTCTCCAGGTGGTCTCCTGAGCCTGGAGGCACATATCTTGTGGTATTGTTGCAAATCCTCAGACATGTTAACATACGTTTGAAGCACCCTGTACTGACAAATTCCCAAGACCAAGTGAGGGAAATTCCACATTCAAACTAAACTAAAAAAAAAACTCAAATGTTATTTTACCAAGTAAGACCCACAGCTATATATCTCTCTTTTATCAGAAGCGACCTGGCCACAAATGCTCGCTCAACGAAGTGGCTTATGTAGAAATGTATAGCAGTCAAATAGCCTCAACGCATGTTGATGCTAAATGTGGAAGGAAAAACCGGAGGTCCCGGATACAAATCCACGCGACCAGGGCAAGAGAAGAGAGACGCAAACTCCAAATATACAACAGGCGTGGAAACCACGACCTCCTGTATGCCACGCGAGGTAGTTAACATCTCGCCACCGTGGCACGTATTTTATTCTCAATTAACAAACTCACCACCCTTGACGTTCCACCGACATGAGGAAGTTACGACAACAGAGAGAGGGGGGCAGAGAGAGGAGAGAGAGACGTGGGGGGGAGAGGTCAGATGCAGAGAGCAAACCTCAAGACACTGAGACAATGAAACCGCGGATCCCAGCGCCCTCACGATGCATGAACAACAGCATTCACAAAGACAATGCGGCGCAAGTGTGCAATGTGTACATGAAAATACCCGGGTTCCCGGACAGGAACACGTGTCTGTGTGGTGGAGGCGCCGTCATGGCCCGCACATTCACCAACGCCTCGCGCGCAGGCCGCGCTCGCGGCTCCGCCCGACTTTGAATTTGCGGCAGACGTCGAAGCGCGCGCGCAACTTTTAATGTTGAAAATAAATACAGGCGCACAACTCGTGCACGACGGACGGTCTTAACAGCGTGCGCAAGCCCGAGTTGGCGTGTCAAAGGGCTCTTGACGTTGAGATTCGCAAGCGAAAGGGTCCCACGCGCAGCGCGAGCGACGCGGAGCTGCTGCTGCTGCTGTTGCTGCTGCTGCTGTTGTTGCTGCTGCTGTTGCTGCTGCTGCTGCTGTTGCTGCTGCTGCTGTTGCTGCTGCTGCTGTTGCTGCTGCTGCTGTTGCTGCTGCTGCTGTTGCTGCTGCTGCTGTTGCTGCTGCTGCTGTTGCTGCTGCTGCTGTTGCTGCTGCTGCTGCTGCTCGAGACCCAGCGGTGTCAGGTGAGAGGTTTGGAGCCCGCGCTTGGAACCCGCGCTAGGAACCCGCACGTGGGCCGCAGTTGACGGCCCTCGGTAGCTGCTGTTGTTGCTGCTGCTGCTCGAGACCCAGCGGTGTCAGGTGAGAGGTTTGGAACCCGCGCTAGGAACCCGCACGTGTGCCGCAGTTGACGGCCCTCGGTAGCTGCAGCAGCTGCTGCTGACTCACGCTACTCACAGCACTTTGTCCCTGGCCACCCGCACCCCCTCGTGTGTCGCACCGACGGCCTTCGTAGCTAGATAGCTCAGCGGGCTTTCACCGGGTACAATAAACACCGATACATATTTGGGGCCGTCCATAAATGACGTCACGCAGCTGGGGGTGGGGGTCAGACATTTGTGAAGATGTGTGACAAGGGGGGGGGGAGGGGTTGAGAAATGTGACGTCACATCAAAATGCGCAACTTTAAATAAATATAGACAGCACGTTATAATATTCTTGGTTCTTTCGGTAAAGTCACGTAGAAGGGAAACAATAAAATATAAAAAATATAAAACAATAAAATTCTCACGACGTTTCGCCTGCAACACACGCAATCATCATCAGGTGTGAAAACCACAGCAAGAAAATTTGAATAAAGTGGCGGTTATTTTTAACGTTAGCACCACGGAGAGCGATTTGACAGTTTGTTCAGATGGACGAGTCCATCTATGTTCGGAAAAGAGGAGGGGGGAGACGAAAAATAATGGATGCAGTCTGAAAGCCACCGTAAGCGTGAACAATCAATTAAGACCCGAAATGGTTTATCAAATCCTTCCAATGATTGCTAAGCCAGAATCCGTCTTCCCGGTTGAAATTGTCTCTGTGTTTGTATATGTGGATAGCCTCATGAACGAATCTCTCATGGTAGCCAGATGGCTTGCAAAGAACCTCTGTCTTGGAGAAGTCAATGGCATGTGAGCCTACTGAATTATAACAGTGATCTGCCACGGCCGAGGTGTTGGTCCTACCGTGTTTTAGGTCTGCTTTGTGTTCACGTATGCAGTCCGAGACGCTAAGATGCCAGTTAGCAACCTCAGCAAAGATGAGCGTTTTGAATTATATAAATTAAAAAAGAGGGATGATATTGTCATCCTCTCAGCTGAAAAGGGCAATGCCACTGTCATCATGGATAAAATAGAATATAACAACAAAATTAAATAATTACTCAACGATGGCGGCTATACAAAAATAAAAAGAGATCCCATCAACAGCCTCGTCATACAAACCAACAAAATCATTTCTGATTCAACCGCATTAATTGATCAAACCAAACAGTTCTCGTTGAAACCTGCTGCAAGGCCACCAAGATTATACGGCTTACCAAAAATACATAAAGTCGATACACCCCTCCGTCCCATCGTCTCTACTATCAACTCCTCCACCTACAAACTGGCTCGTTTTCTGTCTGAAATCCTGCGGCTTTCACTGGAAAAACCACCTCTGCGGTACAAAATTCTACTCACCTGGTATCGACAATCACGGGTATTTCCCTGTCCCCAGATGACCTGCTTGTCAGTTTTGATGTAGTTTCCTTATTCACCAAAGTTCCTATACCTGACACCATCGCAATAATTGAAGACTTGGTTCATCAAGGACTAAACACTGAGGTACCCCCCCTGGTGAGACACTGCTTAACCAATACATACTTCACTTGGAATGGAACTTTCTACAAACTGAGGGCACCCCAATGGGCTCCCCCCTATCTCCGGTTGTAGCCACCATTTTCATGGAGAAATTTGAGACTGACGCCATCCAGACTGCCACTTTGCGCCAAACCTTATGGAAGAGGTATGTGGATGACACTTTTGTCATCTGGTCACATGGCCGGCCTGCTCTAGACCAATTCCTCGACCACATCAATTCTATACACCCAGCCATCAGATTTACCATAGAAGTCGAAAAAGATGGCAAGCTACCTTTTTTGGATGTCCTAATAAAAAAGAGACCTGATGGTTCAATGAGCCACTCTGTCTACAGGAAAGCTACCCATACGGATGCTTACCTGAAACCGGATTCCCACCACCATCCATCCCAGAAGAATTCCCTCATCAAGACTCTGGACCATAGAGCCCAATGCATATCCGACCAGGAACACATAGCCAGTGAACTCAAGCACGTACACCAAGAAGAAGGACCCTCTTGAGGAGCCTTTCAAAACCATCACTTTACCCTACATTGCAGGGATCACAAAAATATCTCCAAAATCTTGAATAAACACAAGATCCAGGTCCGATTCAAAACATTACATAAAATCCGTGATCTGGTTCCGTCTGTTAAAGACGTGATTCCGGACATACAGTACCCTGTCATCTACAAACTAAGTTGCCTCTGTGGTAGTAACATTGGAGAAACCAAACGACATGTCTCGGACCGCATCCGTGAACACAAAGCAGACCTAAAACACGGTAGGACCAACACCTCGGCCATGGCAGATCACTGTTATAATTCAGTAGGCTCACATGACATTGACTTCTCCAAGACAGAGGTTCTTTGCAAGCCATCTGGCTACCATGAGAGATTTGTTCATGAGGCTATCCACATATACAAACACAGAGACAATTTCAACCGAGAAGATGGATTCTGGCTTAGCAATCATTGGAAGGATTTGATAAACCATTTCGGTAAATGATTGTTCACGCTTATGGTGGCTTTCAGACCGCATCCATTATTTTAGTCTCCCCCCTCCTCTTTTCCGAACATAGATGGACTCGTCCATCTGAATAACTGCCAAATCGCACTCCGTGGTGCTAACGTTATAAAAAAAAAACCCGCCACTTTTTAAAATTTTCTTGCTGTGGTTTTCACACCTGATGATGATTGCTTGTGTTGCAGTCGAAACGTGGTGAAAATTTTATTGTTTTATATTTTTATTATTTTGTTTCCCTTCTACGTGACTTTACCGAAAGAACCAAGAATATGAATCCCTGCAGTCATGAAACTTTAAATCAAAACGTTCTACTTAATTAAATATACTTTTAAATAAATGTTTTCTCCTACATCAGAGTGCAGCGCCACATTAAATACGCACTACAATGACAATTGTTTAAAGCGATTTGAAGCATGTTTTTAAGTTTGGGGGGGGGGGCAGAGCTTTGTGACTTCATATTTGAGGGGGGGTCTGACTTTTTGTGACGCTGTGTGACGAGTGGGGGGGGTCAAAAATCGTCCAAAATCGCGTGACATCATTTATGGACGGCCCCTTTCGTGATTTGCTTACATTTCCTATACTTTTCACTATCGTGCGTTCCTATTGTTTATTACCTTCTGACCCACCCCTATTGGGCATCTGTAAAAAAAGAGCTTTATAGCTCATCGGATTCCTCCAATATAAAGATTCTGATTCAAACCCAGGACCTCACCACACTCTTCCGTTTCTTTGCTTCTTAGTTGCAGTCTTGCTATGTTCATTTCTGTCTGCCCCCTTGCCTCTCTCTCCCCATGTTAACGCTACAGGAACATGTTAATGTTGTAGGAAAATTAGGTATTTGGTGAGAAAATCCAAATATTATGCACGCAACATCATTTTGCATGGAACACTGTCCCAAAACATTGGTGCTGTATCTCACAAAGGTTTTAAACGCAATTTGAAGTCCACACTATCAAATAAAATCTCGAGTCAATGTCCTCCTGGTTAAAGGATCAATGGGATCGCATCACTCCTGAGTATTGCTAAACAGTGTGTAGTTGCCCAAAAACCTGGACAAATCTGATCTCTGCTCCCTCTAGCGGACAACTAGGATGAAATATTATAATCACAATCACATTAAACTCAACGGTCAAGCCTGTATATTAACCATTGTTCATCAACAAAATGTTAACAAACTACACGATGCATTATTTGGCTAGACAAAACTACATGCCAATGTGTAATCAGGTTTCCAGAGTTGCTCATATCAAATGTAATGCCGGGGGAAATTGTGAGCAAAGATTGCCCTATATTGCCCTAATGTATTAAGGCCTTAATCCTGCAAGGGAGAGTCCATATTCCAGTCTATTAATGTGACGATCATTGTTGCCTTCCCTTTGAGCAGTACTTACTTGATCAACTCCAGAGTATGATGGGCCAAGTCAACCCATGACCGGAATTTGAACGAGCAACCTTCAAAATTGAGTCAAGTTGAAGTAAACCGCTGAGCCACTTCACACAACGGTGGCCACCCCATAGTTATGACTCTGGTCCCCAACTCAAGTTGTGGCCCTGAGATCAAACTCAGGTCAGCAGATTCATAGTGCAGTGGGCTAACCACTGCACCACCACTGCACCTCGTATGTCGCTTAATTTAGACAAAACTGGAAGAAAAAAATCAAAAGGGTATTTCTTCCTATTAGGAAAGTGAAATATAAAAAAATATGTAGATGTGTATAACGAATAGATTATAGGGTCTGACAAGCTGCCTTTTATTAACATATGAAAATACATTATATCTCACGCAAGGAATTGTTCTTAGAATACATTTTAATAAATTAGTGTTGATGGATGGTAAATATAAAAACCAAACAAGATTAATTAATACAAACACCACACGCACACAAACATCAATTATCTTGTTGCCATCATATAAAAGGCTATTTTTCTGTTTTTCTCAATCCAAAACTACGGTACATTTATCCGCATCACTTTTGTCTGCAACTCTGATTGTACACTTGATACAGCCGATCCAGTTAATTCAAATTGCCGCGGATGAGCTATCCAAATAAGTGGCACATTCACAGACAAAAAGATTACCATATTTGAATGCTACGATAAATGAATCCTGTTAATGTAACATAGCGGATAATCAAAATCATATTTTAAATGTGTTGAAGACAATTTGACATAACGCCCTCTTATCAACGCATTGTACTCATCTCTGGTACTGTCCTCCCATACCAAGACCAATGATAAGTGTAGTTATATTCTTGGTTCTTTTGGTAAAGTCACGTAGAAGGGAAACAATAAAATAATAAATATTTTTAAATGTGTTGAAGACAATTTGACAAAACGCCCTCTTATCAACGCATTGTACTCATCAAGGGAAACAATAAAATAATAGAAATATAAAATATTTTTTATATTTTTATTATTTTGTTTCCCTTCTACGTGACTTTACCGAAAGAACCAAGAATATGAATCCCTGCAGTCACGAAAGCTTTAAATCAAAATACAAGTGTAGTTGTAATATACACCGAGTCCACAGTTGACGTTCGATGGAACAATATAAACACCAGAATAGCAGCGTAGTTCTTTCGGGAATGAAATGCAGGCCCTTCTTTTCACATGGTGTACCCAGGAAGCTTGGTAGCCAACTTGAGCTCAGAGATTGCCTTTGGGAGGTTCTCATCCACAGTGTCGAGGCTGCTCAATCGCCCTCCCTCTTGCAGGGCACTTGGGTTCGACATCTCCAGGTCCGATAGGTTGGAGGGAACGTATGAGCTCACCTGAACACAGACAGAAAGACAAATCACAACGGCAATTCTGTGGTAAGACGTCAGCACTTTGAGGCCGTCTGTGCGAGTCACATTTTAAATGCAGCTCAGAAAGGAAAAGCAGCTCGGCGTGAACATGTACGCACGAAATTGTTTTTTTTCCCATGCTGTGTGGCCAACATGTATTTCAAGTTAGTGTGTACTATATGAAATGGTACTTTTTGCAAAGCAGAGAAAATGTGCAATCAATACGCTATGCCATTTGTCTTGGTCTATTTGTAGACATTTGAAAATGTGTAGGCAAGTTGGCCTCTTTCAACAAGATACTCTCTCGTGACAGCTTTTACACGAATGGAATTGGCATACATTGTCAATGACCAGTCACAATTGATGGGACCCTTTTTGCCAGTATCACAGCCCAGCGAGTTAAAAAAAATCAACGTGATCCACCAACCCGAGCAACTACCTGAGAAGTGCGGAGTGATTGACTCTCTTCTAGAGAAGAGCTCTCCAGTGTCGATATCTTCCGAAGCAAGGCCACCCTGGGGCTGACAGCGGGTTTCACCGATGGCACTGCACCTACAAACTTGTGACCCATTTGGCTTCCTTTCCATCGGCCAGTGGAGCGATCCGACAGGCCAGACCGATCCGAATCGGACGAATCCTCACGAACTACTGATCTGCCTCTCCCCTTTTCCTCAACAGGTTGTTCGTCCTCTAAACTTTCCGAAACCTCTTGGAATTTCTTCACGGCGAATGTCTCTCGCAATACATTTTTTGACTTCTTTGGAACAACATTGTGATCGGACTCTGTAGAAGTGGAGTCTGCGTCGGATTCTGGTGCGCGGGAAAGTGCATGTGGCTCTGGGCTGCTCTTAAATGCACTTGATTGTCGGCTGGTGGGTTCTGGACTTGAAGCAAAGTCTTCGGAGTAGTGGGGGTCGTGGCCGCTGGCGTAGTCGTCACTGTACTTTACAGGACTCTCTCTCTCCCGATCACCCCACTCTCGGTTAGAAGACTGCTCCTCTGGCGCCATCCTCCCTACAACTGCAGGGGGAATATCAACCTCAAACTCATAACCATGTTCAAATTCATCATCATCATCATCACTATTCCAACTGGGCTGTGAGTGATGTGATGGTGCCCTAGGTAGTCGCACGGATAATGCACCACCTGGTCCCTTCACCTCAAGGTCTCTAATTGACAAAGGCTGGGCATCAAAGATAGGCTCCTCCAAGTCCTTTAATGAAGAATCTAATGGCGGCGGTGGCTCATGGTGGCTCCATGTGTGGCCTGAACTGCTGTCCACTTCGGCTATCTTCTCCAGACGTGCTCTGGCGACGGGCACTGGCGTAGAAAGTTTGAGAAACTCTTTTTCTGAACGAGGGGAATCCACATCCAGGCTGCTTTCTATTAATGTTTCTACGTACTCATCGATGGGTGTGCTTTGGCGATGGGGTTGCTTTGATTTCTTTCCAGACCTTCCCTTTGGGCCCGATATTCCGAACTTCCCAGCTTTGGGCTTGAGGCGTTCCATCTCTCGCTTCCGTTGCGCCTCCATTCTCTCCTGCTTCAAAAGGAGGTCGGGGTTGGTCTTCTGCAAACGCAGTCGGAGGGTGTTCGTAATCCCGTACATGAGCTTCTTTTTCTTCACCTCGGGTGGCTGGTTGCACTTTTCCCGCTCCTTAACGCCACGCTGCATTTTTACTTTGGCACTGGCTTTCGGCTTTGGAGAAACAGATTTCGGTCTCCCTTGCCGCGTGGGTGTAATGGACCGTCGACCCTCCGTCGACAATTGCCTGTTGTTGGCCGCGACTGGGGAATGTTGGCGCGCTCTCTGGCGCCCCGTGTGCACGAGTTCAGTGTCCCTCTGCTGACCAAGCCTCTGAAATCCCTGCTGTACATTTGTAAGGTTGCCCAGCTGTCCACCTTGGCCGTTTAGCAAGGCCAGTTCAGTCAGCAGAGCACTCAACAGAGGCAACTGACTTAGAGCACTGCCAACTGCACCGGCGCTTTCTCTCTGGGACACCGGAACTCTGGCCCTAGCGGAGGGGTTCGGTTTCTGGGGGACAGAGGCAGCTTCATTACTCTCCTTTTCAACTGGTCCCATTGGTGGCCCAACCTCCACAGAGACATCTTCAACATCACCTTCATCAATCACAGCTGCCTGTGGCAGCTCCTCCAAATATGCCTGTTCCACATTACCACCATCGATTTCTTGACAATCATCGGTCGAATGACTGTAAAAAAGGGGAGGAGGGCAAAACACATTATCCACAAGGCCGCTCTCAGTCAACACTTCATCTTCTTCATCCGATGCCCTCGCTTTCTGCTGCTGGGTCGGTTTAAGCTGGTCCTGCGACCCAGGACGCACTTTGAACTTGGCTGCGGGATCCACGGTGGAAACGACCACCACGTCGCCCCTGTTGTGAACATCCCCATCTCCCTCGGCACCGGCAGATGCCCTCTTCATTATCACAGCCGTGTCGTTATCCTCTGCAGAGGTCACCTCCACGTGGCCTCGTCCCCGAGGAATCGCCACCGGCTTGCTGGCCACCCCGACCCCGTCCGCAGTGGAGACCAGGCCAGCGGCGCTCCAACTCGCAGTGGCCGGACCCCCGTTCACCACCCACGAGGTGGTCTCGGAGAGGGCCACGTGTGGTCCCAGGCGTGGCTCCAGGTGTTGTCCCAGGTGTGGCAGCAGACTCGAGCGCCCCAGGTCCAGCAGCCTGAAAGCCAAATGCAGGCGGCCGACGGCACTGCCCATGAGGTCTCGCAGGTCGTACACCCCTCTCTTGCCGCCGTGTGCTTGGTCCACGGCACCAGCCAGGGACACCGACGCGGTGGCTACCAGGCGGGGCAACGGCGCGAGCGGCCTCTCGTCCGCGGCCTCGGCGTGCGCCCCTCCCGTCCCCGGGTCCGTCCGCCTCCCGGGTGCCCGCCCGGGTGGGGCTGGCGTGGCCGGGCGATCGCCACCGCCGCACACATCAACCACCATGGCGTACAGGGGCGCTGTGGACAAGTGGGCACGCAGAGAGTGCGGGCACATCTTGAAGAGGCAGGACTTGCCCCTGCCAAAGTGGAACTCCTTCACGTTGCTGCTGCTGCTGTTGGTGATGGCGATGCTGTTGTCGTTCTCTTTGCCAGCCGCGTACACCAACAGCGTGGGGAAGTCGAGGAGGCGCAGCGCCACGCCGGGAGAGACGCACGGAGCCCGCGACGCGTCCAGCACCATGAGCTCCACCAGCAGCTCCAGCGAGAAGAGCGACATCGTCTGATGTCGGGGGTTAAAGGGCGACAAAGCTTTAAGAAAGAAAGGTTTTACGCTTTCTGGCAATAAAACAGGCGTTAAGATGTTCAAACACCAAACAGAAACATTTTGCAAGGAAGCAAAAAATATGCTTCTTTGGTTCTTTCGGTAAAGTCACGTAGAATGAGAATAAAATAATAATTTAATGAAATAAAATAACAATAAAATTCTCACGACGTTTCGGCCACAACACAAGCGGCCTTCTTCTGTTGTGGCCGAAACGTCGTGAGAATTTTATCGTGCTATTTTATTAATTTATTATTTTATTCTCATTCTACGTGACTTTACCGAAAGAACCAAAGAAGATGAATCCTTGCAGTCACGAAAGCTTTAAATCGAAACAGAAATATGCTCTGGTAATAAATGCATTGTCTTTGTAACTGATTGGTCTACACCAGAGACAGCCTTCTTTATTACCAGAGTATATTCTTAGCTCTTTCGGTAAAGTCACGTTGAAGGGAAACAATAAAATAATAAAATATAAAACAATAACAAATTCTCACGACGTTTCGACCATAACACAAACGGTCGTCATCAGGTGTGTCGGTTTGCATTAATTTATTTTTAAACGGCGTATTTATTTATTTATAAAAACCGTCAGCGCCACGCGCAGCGATTTGGCAGTTTATTTAGAAGGACGAGTCCATCTATATTCTGAAAAGAGGAGGGGGGAGACGAAAAGTTAATGTATGCTGTCTGAAAGCCACTGTAAGCGTGAACAATCAATTAAGACCTGAAATGGTTAATCAAATCTTTTCAATGATTGCTAAGCCAGACTCCATCTTCTCGGTTGAAATTGTCTCTGTGCTTGTATATGTGGATAGCCTCATGAACGAATCTCTCATGGTAGCCAGATGGCTTACAAAGAACCTGTCTTGGAAAAGTCAATGTCATGTGAGCCTACTGAATTATAACAGTGATCTGCCACGGCCGAGGTGTTGGTACTACCGTGTTTAAGGTCTGTTTTGTGTTCACGAATGCGGTCCGAGACATGGCGTTTGGTTTCTCCAATGTAACTACTACCACAGAGGCCACTTAGTTTGTAGACACCAGGGTACTGTATGTCCGGAATCACATCTTTTACAGACAGAACCAGATCACGAATTTTATGTAATGTGTTCAATCGGACCTGGATCTTGTGATTATTCAAGATTTTGGAGATCTTTTTTGTGATCCCCGCAATGTTTTTGTTTGCTAAAATCAACCGCTCGTCAATTACCGCTGCCCATTAATTGCCGCTGTTATTATTAAAAGAATATTTTTTATTATAATAAAATATATTTATTATTATTATTTTATTGTTTCCCTTCTACGTGACTTTACCGAAAGAACCAAGAATATGAATCCCTGCAGTCACGAAAGCTTTAAATCAAAAGTAGAACGTTCGTTGTGATAGCAATAGGCGACGTTTCGGGCGACGAACCTCTCTTCGTAGCAAACCAACGACATGCGAACATGCAAAGCTTCATTCAAGGCAGCTGCAGGGATTATAAAGCTGTCGCCATTTACCGACTTGCTGTTTGACGAAGTTGCAGGATGATGACGACGAAGGTTGGTTGGTTGGTTGCAACTGTGGCTCGAGAAAAAGTTGATCGACGATCGAGGCGAACGGCCAACGGACGGATGGGTTCACACACACACACGGCGCTCTCGATTCTATCGATTACGCAAGTCGACTCGGGAGCAGCACAATTCGATTTTGTTTTCTTAATATCGCACCATAGCTTTGCGGAGTTTACACGGGGGGGGGGGGGGGGGGATTGTTCTAAGCCTACGCGACAGAGCACACGGGACGGACCGCACAGATATCGCAGGGATTACTAGCAGGATACCTTGAAGGGAACATATTTGTTTTAATCGAATCGTGATTCAGGACCGTTGTCAACAGATTGAATCGCAGGGGCTAATCCATTGCCTAGATATCAATCAAAAGTATCTTGCGATATTTCACTCGATTCGTATTTATAATTCGTGGTTCTGTATTGTATTTTTTTTAAATGTAACCTTGGTGTTCTTTGAACACCCATTCTGACATCGTCCACGCTTGAATCGATTTCTCTTTTACGAATTCGCTGATGGGCTGAATCGATGCAGGCCCGGCGTAACCGACAGCGCGTGACGTCACAAAGGTGTGGACGACGGCCGCCATCTTACTCAGGGGGACAGAGGCAATGCACTGAGAATCCCCTCCAGCACATCGCGAGAAGACGTTTCGGGCAATGGCCCTTCTTCATAGCACATCATTTTTGAAAGAAAAAAAATTATACACATACTGCACTAGTCGACGTTTCGTGCAATGGTGCTTGATCATCGCGTATTGTGGGGCTTTTGTTGTATTAAAACATTTCTTACAGTCCCGACTGGACGTCTGTAAAGAAAAAAGAGCTTTATAGCGCATCGGATTTCTGCCACGGCGTACACGTGGCACTGATTGATTGTCCAGTACTGTACTGTCTAAGAGCCAGTTTGTATCCTGCATCAACGTTCGTGGGTCTTTAGTAAAATGGTGTTAAACGGTGACTCACGTGTTCTCCGGGCAGAACACGTGAGTGTGGCGTTTAGCTGGTCCACGTGGCAAATGTAAACAGACGCGCTCGATCCCTATGCAACGTGACTCCTGCACAGAGTACTTTGACCCTCAGAGTCACATATTAAATCTCTTAGATAAGTGCCGGATTAAGCTCGTGCGGGGCCTGTAGCATATATTATAAAGACACCCTAAATAAATAAAAACACATAAATATTAAAACACATAGTAAAGTAATTCTATTTTTTCATTTACAATACAGCCAGATAATACGACAAATCGCTAACCTTAAACACCCAGTTGTTCGTAAAAGTTGAAGGCGGTATAGTACTATAGTAATAGAGCTAGTACACAATCACTGAACCGGAATTGATAGCTTGAAAGCATTTAGCGCGGGGCCCTTGAAAGTGCGGGGCCCGTAGAATATGTAGATACTTTTACTACGAGGATAATCCGGCACTGTCGTAGATAAACTCCACTTTCCTAACAGCTATATTATGAGTATTAGATCAGATCAGCAAATGTGAATTGTGGTGGCTGCAGGTGTTACTTTGATGTTCATGATTTATTTCGTGAAGATGTTAGTCTGCGCTTCAGTAAAATAAATTAATTTAAGGAAATGTGGCTTCTAGTGGTAAAGATTCAACTCCTGAAGATGGAGCGCAAGTTAGGGGCCGTCCATAAATGACGTCACGTGATTTTGGACGATTTTTGACCACCCCCCGTCACACGCCGTCACAAAAAGTCAGACCCCTCTCAAATATGACGTCACAAAGCTCTGCCCCCACCCCCCCCAAAACCATATTTCCATTTTGAAAATAAAACATGCTTCAAATCGCTTTAAACTATTGTCATTGTTGTGCGTATTTAATGTGCCTCTGCACTCTGATGTTGTAGGAAAAAACATTTATTAAAAAAGTCTATCTAATTAAGTAGAACGTGTCGACTATATTTAAAGTTGCGCAATTTGATGTGACGTCACATTTCTCAACCCCCCCCCCCCACCTCGTCACACATCGTCACAAATGTCTGACCCCCTCCTAGGTGCGTGACGTCATTTATGGACGGCCCCTTAGTGCGTGATAAAATCTGAAAACAAGATGTGCTCAACACTTGGGACAAACCCAAAAGACCAAACACGGAAAAACCGATTAAACAAAGAATGAAATAACCTTCCAAAATTTGAATACACTTACATGAAATTTCAGAATACGTTACACAACTCAGGTTAATAATGATTAAATAATAGAACGTAGTAAGAATGGGTATTGGATGTAATCAGGAAGTAGGTTCATACCGTGACAACGTTGGTTTAAAGTTCTATATTCAGTCATTCACAACCACATTACCGACACAATATACCAGCTGTAATCTGCAGATGACTTGATACAGCAATTTTGCTGTGACGGGTTCCACCTGACGACGGAAGCTTGTGTTGCCTCCGAAACGTCGTGATTTCATTTAGTTGTTTTCATTTATTTTATTTTACCTAAGTGACTTTACCGAAAAAAACAAAGAGTATGCAGATGACGAGTTGTGAATTAGTTGAAAACGTTTACCGATGCTGCGAATCCTATAAAAGAAAATGTCTTAAAATGTAAGAGAAAATCCTTCTACGTTGGCTTGAAATGTCCAGGTGATGTGGTTACGAAGACTAAACGTGTTGATTCGCATCGTCACTTTGATAAACGCCTCTACAGGATTTTCTATGAAGTTTTACTTTTTTTAAAGACGTTCCGTTTTTTTTCAATATGTTCCATATGACGCAGAATTGGCATTCTACTGTGTCCTCTGTTGCATTTTGCCAATTATTTACCGACACAAACCCCACTGAGTCTCAAGACTTGCTTCTCGGGAGGCTTCAGGAATGGGGGTGTTTGGTCAGCACCATGAACGAGTGGTTGGTTGGTTTCATGTAGAGAGGAAAATCGGAGACCCCCAGAAATATCCCATGGGGATGCGTGTGCGAGACACTCGGGGGAGCGGTGGTGCAGCGGTTAGCGCTCTGTGCGACGAACCCGAGTTCGATTCCCGCTCACGGCAAACACCGGTGGCGATTATGTGAACCGCTCCTGGGCCTCCCCTAGGTCGATTCAGCCTCAAATTAGTGCCTAGTGTGGTGTGTAAACATCGCCACTCGGGAGACAAAGGCGGCCGGGCGTGGTCTGCCCGCCACCTACCCCCTCGTGTGCCGTGCCGGCCTTCGTCGGTACTCGCTAACAGCACTTACCCCAACAGTCTGTTAAGGCTATACGGGGGATCTTTGTCTTGGTGACATTCAGCACTGCCATCTCCTGGCCGCACCTTTCAGCCGCATACCGAAACAGCACCCTCGGTAGTTCTGGTGGCCACACATCCAGGAAAGTCCTAAACCATGCTTTGCATACGAAGGTAAGACCTTTGAGAAAGCCCCACTGGGTCGAGATCGTGCACGCGTTGTCTCTTAAGAAGCAGCGCACGGGCACAGACGCATACCAGCTGTCCCCTGACCCGCAGCACGAGGCTTGCTTTCTTGAGTTCTCGCAAGAAGAAGAAAAAATCGACCTTCACATTGGATTTCTGTTTGTCTTCATGCTGTTATTCTTCAGGTATCTCTAGGTGAGTAATAAAGGGCAGACAATTATTGTTTGGAAATAAGTAGAAGACGTCGACTTGTTTTGAGTCAGTTACAAATTTGTGTGAATGGCTTTTTGCGTCGTTTTAACATGTAGCCCCGTGATTTCAGGCACATTTCAACATTTATACAATGATGTATATTTCTTAATCTCATTTTATCTTGTTGAATATGTGTGGAAATTTTAAAATAAGTTTTATTTTAAAATAAGTTTTATTTTAAAATTAATGTATAAATAGTGTTTTAAATAGTTCAGTATGTGTGTATATATGTTGTTGTATATGTTGAGGCAATCGATTGTGATGTGTTGTCGTGGAAATAAATGTAGTTTAAAACGTGTTCACTGTGTAGTCGGTGAATGTGCACTTATCAAAACACATTTTCCCAAACTTGAAAAATGTAACATTAAACTTTCTTTTATAGTTAACAAAAATGCTCTTTATGTGTCGGCGAAAGCCTCCCTGGTGGATTACAAATCTCGCGAAACTCCCTCCGCGTGATCATCACCGTGCCGTGACACCCTGGCTCGCCAGAAGGCAGGACTGTACTGCACACGTGGGAGATGTTATGCCCTCACACGTGTAGGTTTTCGCTTGGTGCTCCGATTTATTTCCATATCTAAGCGTTAATTAATTTCGATAAAGTCACGTAGGTATAAAATAGTGATTTATTTTATTTTATACCTGCGTGACTTTGCCGAAATAACCAAATGGTATGGATTCCTGCAGTCACGAAAGCTTCAAATCAAGAATGATTAATTTGGCTGTAAACATTTTAATACATAGGGGACCGCAGAGATTGGGCAATTGTTGGCACCGGCTAACCGCCCGGCTGGCCTCCCGAGTTGCATTCTCTACGAAGTGAGCAAATGCTGTGGCGTGTTACAAGTTGAAATTATTATATCACTCTAATATTCGTCAGGTATGGAATTATTTAACATAATGTTGTCTCGTAGGGTCCTCACCTGGTTAGGGCATCTAAAACAATATCCATGAGCCATATGGCATGTTGGATTGTGCCTCACTCGGATGTATGCATGTTGAAGTTCTTGTATGATCGCAGATGAGTCACGGTCATAAACAAAATAAATACAAATTATAATCCATTTCCATATCTGAAGTGTGACATTTTGGAATTATTTAAATTTTATTGCAAATGCCCATTGTGGAAACTCGATTATTTTAGTTTGCCATGTATAATGTAAATAATTTTTCGTAAGTCACATCAACACTACGGCTTGATTATTCATGACTACGTTTTGCATCCTTTATTTTTGTTCAAAAAAGAATGTCGTACTCATGTTTGTTTTGCTTTTCGTACGGATAGACAAGTTCCTCTCTTCCTCAACTAGTGCCAATACTCGCTGTTTGTATCGCGACCTACGTAACAATGATCGTAAATGTAATCTGTACTGTACAACATCTATACCGTCGCAGGATAGCCATCAAATAGAGCAGAACAGCTCATCCGGGCCCTTCCTGATGAAATAATTAAAACCTAAAATCTAACAGACCTTTGAATTATTTTCTGCGTAGAGCCAGTCTCCAAAAATGTAATCTTGTCATCATTTGGCGATGTTACAAGTTGCGTTTACGTAAGATAATGTTTGAAGTGATATTGTGTGTGAGAGAGAGAGATGAACACGTGGATTAGTGAATAGACACACATTAATGCCATCATTCAAACTGTTAAGAATAGTATGGTAAGTGTTCCTGGGCAGGGCACGTTGCTATATTTGGTCCAATAATTCCCATAGCCAACACGGCAGGCAATGCCTCAGACCTCCACCCTGCCGTAAATTGACAAAGCAGTGTCAATTATTAGAATGAGTATTATTATATAACATCAAGTGCTGTAATGGATCATTATGGTGAATACATGAATCAATACCTTCGACTCCGTATCTCAAAATCAAGTATCATTAGTCAGCTACTGGGCTTACCCGCCAGACTTGGGTTAAACATCCACACTTGTTAAAGCATGCAAACCGTGGACCGGTTTAGCCTCATCAGCTGAATCTCGTGGATCAAGCAAATACTGCGCTGCACTGCTGGACTGTCAGGCACTGTTCATGTGTCTTAGGGGCCGTCCATAAATGACGTCACGAAACCTAGGGGGGCGGGGTCTGACATTTGTGACGATGCGTGACGAGAGAGGGGGGGGGGTCAGAAATGTGACGTCACATGAAAATGCGCAACTTTAAATAAATATAGACAACGCCTTTTACTTAATTAAATGGACTTTTTAATAAATGTTTTCTCCTACAACATCAGAGTGCAGCGCCACATTAAATACGCACTACAATGACAATAGTTTAAAGCGATTTGAAGCATGTTTTATTTTTTTTGGGGGGGCAGAGCTTTTTGACGTCATATTTGAGGGGGGGTCTGACTTTTTGTGACGCCGTGTGACAAAGGGGGGGGGGGGTCAAAAATCGTAAAAAAATCGCGTGACGTCATTTATGGACGGCCCCTTATATCCCACTGCCTCGGTTCACTCGGCAGTTCAAACGGGCAGGTCACGTGCCGTGGGGTAAAGTGTGGGGTCCTTCCACCTCTTACTCGAGAGGTCTGACCTGTGTGCAAGAGGAGGCCAATATGCCCTCGAGAGGGGGTTCTACTAAAGTTCCCTCTGGAGCTTCCACGAGTGAAGGCCACTCCACGTGCAGTGTCGTGAGCAATACATCGCCAGGGCTGAGCCGATCAGATATTATTATTATTATTGGAAAGTGCCCTCCCTCGACACCATCTTATAGAGCACTAAAAGAGAGCAATGGAGGTAATACGTGAATCTCGTGTGTTCCGTATATAATATAAAATATTGTAAAAAAAAAATGCCACATAATATACAGGGTGCCCATAAATGCATCATTCGTTAATAATGAATGATAGAGAGCAGCCTTAGCTGTTCTGATAGAACGACAAATACACACACACGAGGTATCGTGAGGAATTCTACTGGATGGGTTTCATCGATGTGTATGTCTGTTGAACTTCTTTCACACCGTATGTAGCCAACCATGCTAATCGAGGTTTGAGTGGCACAGCATGTACAACGTACTGTATTTATTCTATTTTATACACAACAGAAGGTCATGTATTTAAGTTCCGCGGGGATCTTTACAAAAAACGTGCTGAGCACTTAGTCTGCCCCGCGTCACTGACGCGTCAGGTAACCCAATGCCTCCACGTGTCACGGTCTTGTGCCATCGTTTTTCGCACATGCATAGCTGTCGAGATTATATCCTTTAAAATAAAAGTCAATTCAACACAAATGTACTCCAACAAAGACACTGAGGAATGTGTTGTATAAGGGGTATTACCCCCGTTAAGCAGGCATTGCTTGCAGAGGGCCCGGTTCAGAGTTGTGTTGGCAATGTGTTCGTGACAGAGAGTGCTGTTCATAGCAATCTGTCATGCTGCTTGTGTTTCCTTGCTCGAGAGCAGATGCTTGGAGTGGCTCTAGAATGCATTCTGTTCTAACCAGACATGGATACACGCAGCATCATCTGTGCATCTTCCTCCTCACATTTTCCAGGTATAATACTCGGGTTCTATGTATTTACATGTGCTCCAATAATTTGCTTTGCTTCAAATTGAGAAATGAAAAACACCCCCCTTCGAATGGCGCATGCGGACGTAGAGCAACGACTCCGATTTTACGTTGAGGTGATCGAGCCAGAGTATTGTGGCAGGAGTAGCGGTCCACAGGTCGCATGATCCACTCGCCGACCTGTTTCACAGCTACGCTTTGTTCAACGCAACGCGGAAAACTTTGAGCTGCGTCAAGGTCAGCTTCCTCAGCGAGTGGACGCAAATGCGGATCAACGACTCAAGGGAAACACTCAGTCCACCCGAGGTGAGAGAGGCACCAGGATCTCTCCTCCTGCACGAAGCTCGAGTCATAGCAGGGGGTTACGAGCGTGATCGAGAAGGTACGAGAGGCTGAACTTAGATCGGAATATGTATTATACTGGCATATGTATTTACACTTGAATATTCATTTATACTGGAGGAATCCAATGAGCCATCAAGCTCTTTTTCACCAATGTCCAGTGGACATCTGTTGAAAATATGGTTTTGGACGTGTGTTGAGGAAACACAAAGACGCAATGAGCAGGGTTATGGAGATGCCATCGGTTCTGGGCAGAAGGAGTAGAGGGAGACCGAGGGTGAGAGGGAAGGATGTTGTGGAATGGGATGCGAGGACAGTGGGTGTGAAACGAGAAGAGGCACAATAAATGTGTAATGACAGTCGAGTCAACCTACGGTGTGAGTGGACTAGTGGCTACGAGAAGTAATGGCAGGGGAGTCAGCCTGCAGTGCGAATGGACTGGTGGTTACGGGAAGTAATGACTGGGGAGTCAGCCTGCAGTACGAATGGACTAGTGGTCACAGGAGGTAATGACATGGGAGTCAGCCTGCAGTGCGAATGGACTGGTGGCTACGGGAAGTAATGACAGGGGAGTCAGCCTGCAGTACGAATGGATTGGTGGCTATGGGAATGATCGAGAATAGGACCGTGGCCAGGTGACGGAAGAGGACGTTAGAGTCTGTTGGTAGAGCGGGTGGCCTAGAACCAGTAAGAAGGTTCGGGAATGGGGGGGGCGTAGCCTCGGATCGTCTATCAGTGAGATGCGCTGGAGACTCGGGGCTGTTGCAGTGGGGGTCTCCGCCTGTTCGAGTGTGAACACGTGGCTCCTTAATAAAGAAACCATCTCAAGACAAGTGCGTCCAAGTCGTCTTTACATATGTACTGGCAGTCCTCGACTTACGAATGACTTATACTTTCGGCAGGTGTATGTTGAGTGAACTGCAGTTGAAGAACTTTTGGCCAATATTTACTTTGTGCTGCAAATACAAAAATATATTTGATAAAAATATGAAACAGTTACAAAGTTATGGAACGTAGATGTTGCGTTAATCGCCATGCTGTGCAAAGTAATATCGTATATATATAACAATGATATTTCGTTAACCCTCCCCAGTGTGTGAACATGGAAACAAACTGGCATCCTCTATCGGTCTCTGCAGATTTGGTCAGCACACTCGCTCTTCCCCGATGAAGAAAAGGCGTCACTGTTTCTCGGTGCCCTTGACACAATATTCCTCTTCACCTATGCCCTGGTAGGTGACGCAGAGATACGCCCTGATTCACGGCATTCAGTGCTCAGAGCCAGCATCACATCATGGACGTATTCCCGTGCATTTTGGTCTGCCATCACCTTCGCCACGCTGAACTATACTGACCATGAGTGGCCAAACTTGCTCAGAACTTTCTATATATTTTGTTGTCCTTGGCCAGCACCTCTGACTACCACGGTTGGCTATGTACGGTGCGAAAGAAGTTCAACATGCAAGACATACGTACAAAGGCAAATATCCCCCGTATAGCCTTTAACAAACTGTTGGGGCAAGTGCTGTTAGCGAGGCCAGGGTTTTTTTTTTCTACCCCAGATGTGGCAACCTGATGTGCTTAAGAAGTATGACTTTGCATTTGAATAGTGATCACTCTGAGCAGTGTTAACTCTTCTTACTGTGTGTGTGTGAATAATAACAATGCTCAGCAGAATTGTCGATGTATTGTATACGTACGTGTCGGTGTTTTTCACTCAGGGATCATACATCAGCGGATTTCTGAGCGATAGATTTAACCTGCGGTTGGTGCTATCCGTGGGCATGTGGCTATCTGCTTTGGTGGTAAGAAACCTCTGGCTCTACGTCTCTCACGATTACACTTCTCAACATCTGATTGAGCCGAAGCCAATCTGCAGCTGTTGGGGTGACTGCACGTTCATACAAATGCACTACGATGTTGGAAGGACATACAATGAGAGAAGTGTATGTGAATCTCCGTGCATAATTCCTGGCTGTTTTCCCCTTTGCTACGGAGCTGACGGGTTGAGATTGTGACTACTGTACTGTATATTTACATGAGAAATGAATAATTATTGTTCAACGGAAAGACTCACAATCACCGTAAGAATGTTGGAATATTCCACCACTGGCTCAGGGCTATAGACAGGAGATAATCTCTACCGGATTCTCAATTAAGTAAGAAACGTGCGTTAACTTTTTCGAGTCTTCAACGTGTAAAGTGACCGGCATTCCTGTCCCACGCAGGCATTTGTGTTCGGGAGCGTCACGGAGTGGCTGGGATTCTACAACATGCCCTTCTACGCTTTCCTCTGGGTCCTCAACGGATTCGTTCAGTCCACTGGCTGGCCCTGCACTGTGGCTATCATGGGCAACTGGTTTGGCAACAAGAGGTAGAGACGTTTAGCGCACGGTCATTGCTACGAAATCACTGAGACGAGAAGGTGCTGAGTGCAAGTCTCGAACTCTTTATTCATTACCTCTGTGGCCTCTCTGTCCATGTGCTACGATGAACGGTAATTACCCCAAAACGTCGATTATTTATATATATTTTTCCCTTTTAAAGCAGCGTTGTTGACAAATGTGTTGAGTTGTTTTAGTTGTTTATCGTGCTTGTACACCGCTGCCAATACGGCAGCAGCAGCAGCAGCGTCACGAAATAATTGATTCCGCCTTCCGCTACATTTTGCTCACGTCATTGACATTTTATTTTTGCCAGCCGTGGGTTCATATATGGAGTGTGGAGCTCATGCGGCTGCATTGGAAACATCCTGGGGGCTGTGCTCGTCTCCACCGTCATCAGCTACGGCTACGAGGTATGACAGCCACGCTCAAGTCAGTGAACACACCTGCACGGTGAGGCTCGTGTGCCACTATGTCGATCCTTCATTCAGAATCAGAATCAGTATTTATACTGCACGAGGAATCCGATGAGCTATAAAGCTCTTTTTCACAGATGTCCAGTAGGGGCGGGTCAGAACCTTACAACAACAAACGTCACAAAAACACAACAGGAGTGCAAAGCACAAGAAATGTAAACAAATCACCCATAATCATACAAATAAAACTAAACCATTCCCATCCTACTCGGCAAAGCCCACTCAGGTATTAACTTATTTTCAACGCATGTTTCTAAATGTCAGTCGACACATTTATCCATGGTTGCCTATCAGACGTCCGTATGTCAGTCAAAGTACATTTTATCTGTCAATCTGTTCATCTGGCAGGCAGTCGGTAACTCGAACTGTCACGAATCTGATCAGTTAAGCCCCTATTTTGTAACAGCCTGAGAGTCATAGTATTTGTATACGAACTCAGTATGCAATGCTGTGGAGTGTTATGGGTAGAACATATATGCAAACCTCTATTCACTGCACATGTAAATACAAATAAATTTTCGTAAGTCAGCCTATTGATTCTCCAGACCAATGTTATCCTGCGGTGAACAGACTGGACCGGTTTTGAACTTCTGGGTCTCATCATCAGAAACAGGCTTGTTAAACAAATGCTGCATACCACCAATGCCATTCAAATGCTCTGGCAAACAGACGGAAATAGCTAGTCACTCCTCCGATCGTATTTAAAGAGTACAGCCTACAGATTGTATTAGATATACAAGCCCTTGGAGGATGTTTCGCAAATTCCTGTGATAATAATTCTAGGCCATTTCACTTTCTGTGTCGATATTCAGTTCCAAAGATCTGGAATGGAACTTTATTCTGATGTATGCCTAGAGGGTAAATGGGATAGTACGAAACTTCCATAAAAACAAGGAAGAACAATCATGCATATGCATGGTTTCTTTAGTGCTTTCCAGCACGTGTTTGTGCTCAAAAGTATTTTTTAAAAATATAATGAATGCAGACGACCTCCAAATCCAATAACATATGGATCAGACATGTGAACATTAACATAGGAAATGGAAAGTGTGCAAAAAATCACGGAGTCCTGCAGACTGGAAATTATACTGAGAGGCAGAAAGAGACGCACGTGGATTAGAGAACGCACGCAAGCTCGAGACATAAATTTTAATCGAGGTTGCAAAGTGGACAGTTACGAGAGAGATTGCACGCAAAGTGGAAATGAGACCGTTAAAACGAATGATGATACGCGTGTCTCTGATTGCGGAACAGTACACGTTCCTCGTGATGGCGTCCCTCCTGTTGTCTGGAGGAATCATCGTCTTTTTCGGGATGATCGTCTCCCCTGCTGAAGTTGGTGAGGGCACTCCCTGACATCTTACACCGCAGATGACATTACGGATATCAACTGGCATGCCGCGGTCGTTTTTAGTATTGCCTAAGGCAGTGTTCTTCACTCATTATCAGAGGGGGGACGCTTTCGCCGATAAGACATCGTCAGTGTGAGGCCCGCCACACCATTTGAAACCATCGAGTGGTTTGACAGCAGCACGATGATGATGATGATGGTGGGGGGTGTTTTCACATTTGTGTACTGCCGAGAGCAGCACGTTAGGGGCCGCACTAAAGGCCACCAGGGGCCGCTAGTGGCCTGCGGGCCTTGCAATGAAGAACGCCGCCCTATGGGTATCCCATTCCTACTGTTGATTGAGGACCTCTCCAACACCGCGTTAGCCACGTGGGTTTGTTGGGATATAATTAACCCCGATTTGCCGGCGAGGATTGGTGAATACGGAGCCCAGGAATGGTTCAGATATCACTCGCCACCGATGTTAGCCGTGGTCGGGAATCAAGCTCAAACCGCGGGGTTCATAGCGCAGGAAGCTCAACACAGTGTACCACCGCTTCCCCATTCTGTTTTAAACTAAAGGAAATAATGTATTATTTACGATATGGCTGGGTGGACTGCTTAAATCCACGAAAGTACTCAGTCACTGACAGCCAGCTGAGATCTACGTCAGTTGTCAGGCTTCACGAGACAGCCCTTGTCTACCCAAGTGGCCATGCAATATTTCTATAAACTGTACAGTAACAACGCCATTTACGCCTCCCCATTTTACGTCGTTTCGCAAATACGTCGTCACTTTATGAACGTTGCCTCAACCCCACACTCACGTCGCTGACAGCACCGTCGTCCGTCCTTTCTCGTTATCCGTCGCTTCTCAGCCTTCGCCTCCACCACCACCACTACCACCACCACCACCGACTACTACCCTGTAAACCGCTTCGGTTGATGTCGTTTCGATGATATTCGTCGTCGGACCTTTCGGGAACGCATCCCCCGACGTAAACCGGGGTATCACTGTATCCATCTTTATCTAATCACGCACTATTTTACACCCGAGCGGACCATAACTTTAATGCCACTTTGCATTTGCAGGCCTGCCATTGGCGAGCGTAGCAGAGGAGGAGACAAGTTGCAGGGAGGCGTCCGTGACGTGGAGCAACGCTTCGGAAAGCCTGCCAGTGGTGGACATGGCGAACCAGCGCACATACGGAACCCCTCCGGACGATGGTCCGAGGGAGGGTTCTTCCATACCCACGGAAAAACCTGCTTTGGGTTTCTTCAAGATCGTCTGCTTGCCTGGCGTGGCAGTGGTGAGGAGCGGTTGTCGGATATCTCGCCAAACCGAGATCGCTTGCCACCCTTGTGCTGTACTTTTTTTCCACCCCGCAACCGAGCCGTGCTGGGACCGTGGCGGGACTGTGCCGGGACTGTGCCGAGCCAACTTCTCAATTGACACCAAAGTAGTTTTTTTTTTGTGGGCAGTACATTAGTGTACATTTTTGTGTCAAGTTGCTCTGATTGCATTGCTTTAAGACACGTTTTGATAAATACCTGTACAGTGTATTCTCCTATAGCGCAGTAATTGTGTTATATAACAAGTAATATATAATATGGGGGCGGGGGTAAAGCACAGGCCGCGATAACACGTGAGATGGGTAATGCAGGCGGAACAAAGACTGAGGCGCGTGGGTAGCATCTATAAGCATCCAGTAGCATCCCACCTTGCGTGATGCTACACCGAGCCAGCCGTCAGACCGCTTATTCCTACTCGCCCGACGTAGTTCCGTTCACTCAATCGCGTTACATCCAATTCGCGTCCGCGTTATAAAAAAAAAAGTATTCCGTAATCAAAAAGGTTTTTTTTATTCGCCATGAAAGTTCGCACAGACAAGGAATTTACCAAGGCAGGAAGGTGCATACATTCAACATATAGTAATCTTAAATCTAAAATAAGTGGTATACAAGTCTAACTATACTAAAGGTACAAAGTCTAACTAACACTAAGGGGCTAAAGTATGTAAAATTTTGAATAAATATTGAACATGAAGTAGCTATAAGATACAATCTAAAAATAAAAAAAAATAGAAATAGGGTAACAGTGTAAATATGGCAAGGTGTCATTTTGTAGATAAAATGTTAAAGTCAGTGTAAGCCCTTGGCCTTGTTTAAGAGGCCAGCAGCGGATGGGAAGAAACTGTTTTTGTGTCGTGAGGTTTTGGTCCTGATGGACCGCAGCCTTCTGCCGGAGGGGAGTAGCTGGAACAGAGAGTGTCCAGGGTGGGAGGAATCGGCCACAATCTTCCTCACTCGCCTCATGGTCCTCGAGGTGTGCAGGTTCTCGAGGGTTGGTAGATTGCAGGCAATCACCTTCTCAGCAGTGTGGATGATACGCTGCAGTCTGCTATTGTCCTTGGCAGTGGCAGCAGCGTACCAGACGGTTATGGAGGAGGTGAAGATGGATTCAATGATTTCTGTATAGAAGTGCACCATCATTGTCTTTGGCAGGTTGAATTTCTTCAGCTGCCGTAGGAAGTACATCCTCTGTTGAGCTCTCTTGGTGAGGGAGCTGATGCTCAGTTCCCACTTGAGGTCCCGGGAGAGAATAGTGCCCAGGAAGCGGAAGGACTCTACAGTTTTGACTGGAGAGTCGCACAGGGTGATGGGGGTGAGTGGGGTTGTATTCTTCCTGAAGTCCACAACCATCTCAACTGTCTTTAGAGCATTTAGCTCTAAGTTGTTCTGGCTACACCAGGTCACCAGGTTGTCAGCTTCCAACCTATAGTCAGACTCATCCCCACCAGAGATCAGCCCAATTATGGTGGTGTCGTCCGCAAACTTCAAGAGTTTGATGGACAGATGATTGGAGATGGAGCTGTTGGTGTACAGGGAGAAGAGCAGTGGGGAAAGGACGCAGCTCTGAGGAGTTCCGGTACTGATGGACCTGGAGTCAGAGACTTGTGTTCCCAGCTTAACGCACTGCTTCCTGTCAGACAGGAAGTCTGTAATCCACCTGCAGGTGGAGTCGGTAACGTTCAGCTGGAAGAGCTTGTCCTGAAGCAGGGCAGGGATGATGGTGTTGAAGGCAGAGCTGAAGTCCACAAACAGGATCCTGGCGTAGGATGCTGGGGAGTCCAGATGCTGTCGGGTGAAATGGAGGGCCATGTTAACTGCGTCGTCCACAGACCTGTTGGCTCTGTAGGCAAACTGAAGGGGGTCCAGGAGAAGGTCTATGATGGCATTGAGGTGTGCCAGAACCAGGCGCTCACAAGACTTCATTACCACAGAGGTAAGGGCGACCAGTCTATAATCATTTAGTCCTGTTGGCCTTAGCTTTTTGGGGACAGGGATGATGGTGGAGCACTTGAGACAGGCTGGTACATGGCATGTCTCCAGGGAGGTGTTAAAGATGTTGGTGAACACCGGAGACAGCTGGTCATCGCAGTGCCTGAGGGTGGCTGGAGAGACAGAGTCCGGCCCAGCTGCTTTGCGAGGGTTCTGCCTCTTGAAAAGTCTATTAACTTCTCCCTCCTGAAAGGAGAGAGTCGTCTCTGTAGTAGGGATGGGGGATGGGGCCTCAAATACATTCACCGCGTTATATATCCAATTTGCGTACGTGATAAACACGCGGCGCTGTAGGGAAACATAGCCTGCGTTGACTTTCCTTGTGTGGGCACCTCTGCGTAAATTACACCATCGCTCGTTCCTGTCTCTGCCGGGACGCAGTATGCCTTGGCGTACGCGTGCCTCAAGCCGGTGAACTACGCCTTCTTCTTCTGGCTGCCGTACTACCTGGCCGACGAGTTCAGCTGGACCGAGGTGGACGCAAGCCGCATGTCAATATGGTACGACTTTGGAGGCATCATTGGTAAGCACATCCGGACTTGGTTTAGATCGTTGTGCGTGTTTTATGAGGTCAAGAAAAGTCGATGTCAGAGCAACATTTTTGTCTTTTTTCCACCCGTACAAGTAGAAGTTCATATGCACAATAGTATAGCATTACCACTGCTGGATGAAAGTCTTCCCACGTTCCACATGGGGGTTTTTTGACCACACTGCAACACGACTGCTCGGTGCAGGTTGACGGCGAGCGGCATAAATGTGGGAGCAGAGTGCAATGCAACGGTGATTTTTTTCCGCACTGCCCTCTGTCGGCAACGTAGCCCCGCGGCCGGCAGCCTATAGCATCTGTTTTACGCACGGTGGTCGCCCATCCAAGCACTGACCAGCCTCAAGCCAGCTTAGCTTCCGAGATATAACAATATCGGGTGGCTTGCAGGTGATTTGGTCACAAGCTTAAAGCATTTCGCCGGCTAAATTATCCTTGGGCTTAGTTTTACTGGGGGCAGACTGTAAGCTCATGACCGTTCCACAACAGTTGGAGGGCGAATTCAGGGACTCCTTTCATGGCACCTCTCATCCAATCGGTTTATTTTTTTATTCACGCGTCCAAACCCCCCACCTCTGTACACCCAGCAATTTAAATGTGTTCACCATGGTTAGTCGGTCAGCAGGTCGCGGTGTGGTGGGGTAAAGTGTGGGCACTCCCACCTCTACCAAGATGTCAGGCCAACGTGGAAGAGTAGGCCAATATACCCCGCGAATTTTACAGCCGTCTGGATCACTCTTCCTTCCGTTATTAGGAAGCCACTTGAGCTATGCACTTTTTAATCTAAATTCCGAACTACTTTCTTTAGAACTGCTTTTTGTGTTTAGTTTGTTGCATTCCCCCACACCTCCAATAAGCACGGTTGGCTACGTATGGTGCGAAAGAAGTTCAACGTACATACATAAAGGTAATTTTACAGGAAGATGCAATTTAGAATTTAAAAAAACAGCAGATACCTGGGCTGTGTATTTTGGGCTGCACAACTTGAGTTTGAAGTCTTTTAAATGATAACAAAAAGGGTCCCAGTGTGAAGCATTTGGCACCGCTTGAAATTCAAGCTTGTTTCTCTCTGGACATCTGTGAAAAAGAGCTTTGTAGCTCATCGGATTCCTCCAGTATAAATGGTTCTGATTCTTATTCTCGAGGTCACGGCATCCTCCTGGCTTCAGTTGTTTGCTGTTGAACTGCGCTGCAGACTCAGGTTTTCACTCCCATTGAAAATGTATATTTATTGAGCGCCTTCACTCCTTCCCCCCGCACCTCCGATTAGCACGGTTGGCTACGTACGGTGCGAAAGAAGTTCATCGCACAGACATACATACATATACATCTATAAATAGCAGATTATTCTTTTCCAGGTGGTGCCATGGCTGGGTTGATATCCGACCGCCTGGGAAAGCGGGCGCCCGTCATTGCCCTGATGCTGCTGCTGGCGGTTGTCACTCTGGCCTGCTACCTCAGTGAGTACGGTGGTAGAACTACGTTTGGCGAGCGAAACAAAGTCAAGATGCAAGTTGCTTTAGAAAAGCAGACACTGTAGCAATGAGAATGTTGCTGATCTGTTGTGAGTTTATTTTGTTATCGCGAATTGCTTTCGGAAATAATTCATGTTTTTTTCTCTTTCCAGATCCTTTCAGCAACAGAGTTTGGAATGGATTCTTATTGGGTGTTACAGGTCAGATATTTGCTCAGTCATTGATTTTTTACTTCTGTTATGAAGCATATTCACCTTCTAGTGTACTGGGCAGAGTGCTTTAGTTCATATTTTTGGTTTATGTATTTATAGGTAATATTTCCAGCTTACTTGAATGTCAAGATATTCATGGAATTGCTTCTCTGGTTCAATGGTTATATCTCAATCATGCATTACGGTTCCGTTTTAGTTTCTAAAGGCGGCTATGTAGCTATGATTTACCATTCTTCAACTTCCTTTGTGCTGCTGCTGTGTCCTCTATTTGCATTTCATTGCATCTTCATTTTACTTTGTGTTCTCTCATTTTGTTTTGGTGACCCTGGTGACCCAGGTAACTCTTGAAAATGAGACTCATCCTGCTATCTATAAAATCTCAGTTGGTTAAACAAAATGAACGTGAAATTTCTTTCCTCATTCTTTTCCAAAACTTTGTTAGGCATATTCTTGGGTCTTTGGGTAAAATATGAATTCCTGCAGTCACGAAAGCTTTAAGTGAAGATTTGTTAGGCATTTTGATCATTTTTCATAGCTCTTCTTTCCTTCAGAATTATTTCTGTGGTGTCATGTAAAAAAAAAAGCCAGACAACATGTATAAGCATTCATTGCTGGATAAATGCCTCCCCAGACAGTATTAGTCACGGGGGTTGTTTTGAGGATACTTCACGACTCTTGTCATGTGTGTCAGTGAAGAGTTGAGGAGGCAGTCACACGATCTGACCAGACATCACTCGCCACTCATTTTAGCCATGGCCAGGAATCAAACTAAGGTGATCGGCTTCATTTCGCTATGCGCTTACCCACTTAATGCCTGCTTTCCGCCCAAAATATATCACAGTTTATTGATATAATTACAAAGTGTGGACCAAGAGGTAATAAGTATAAGAACCACTGATATGCCCCAAATGAATAACGTGTGCTCGTGTCCACGGTGCGTGTGGGCGCAGGGTTTTTCGTGAGTGGGACAGCTAACCTCATCAGCTCAGCTGTGCCGGCCGACCTGGGCCAACAGGACACAATTCAGGGCAACCGGGAGGCGTTGGGCACTGTGACTGGCATCGTGGATGGAACGGGCAGCCTGGGGGCTTCCGTAGGACAGGTAACTCCAATTTCTCATCCCCCCCCCCACCACCTCCATCCTTCACCGTACTTCACCACACTGGTCAGTGCAGGTTGGTGAAAGCAACACATTTTGTCTGCTATAAATGTGCACACTTTGTTGAGCTATAATTATTTGTGGCCAGGTCGCTTCTGAAAAACAAGTTAACACCTCAGTGGGCTTTGCCTGCTAGGATGGGGATGGTTTAGTATTGTATTTGTACGTGTTTAGGTGATCTGTTTACCTTTCTTGTACTTTGCACGCCTATCGTTTTTTGTATTGTTTGTTGTTGTAATGTTGTTGTAACATTAACATCACTAGACCTAGCCACTTCTTTATGACCCTTGGGCTACACCCATTTCAAACCTTTAAAACAGTCTGCATTAGCAGCAGACCATCGCTTTCCCACCTGATGACGGACGCTTGTGTTGCGCCCAAAACGTCGTGATTTATTTGATTTTATACCTACGTGACTTTACCGAAAGAACCAAAGAGTATAGTAATAGGTTTTACCCTTTTAACTGGCACAAAAAATGACACCTTTATTCAAGGCATCATGTTTGCAATAACCACAACACAAGCAGTCAAAATGCAAACAAAAAAGACAACTCTGATAATAATATGCACTGTCCTTGAATTTGATTGGTCCACACCCGAGACGGCTTTTCTTAGAGCCTAGTCTCCATTGGTGTTGGACCAGAAGACGCCAACAGGCGTACAACTCAAAAAACAGCGCACTATCAGAGTATTGAGGGCTCGGCTCGAGCATTTACATTATGAGACCTCCTTTGCCAGTAACAAGATATAGGAATAGGTTTTACCCTTTTAACTGGCACAAAAACTGACACCTTTATTCAAGGCATCATGTTTGCAATAACCACAACACAAGCAGTCAAAATGCCCTCAATACTCTGATAGTGCGCTGTTTTTGAGTTGTACGCCTTTTGGCGTCTTCTGGTCCAACACTAATGGAGACTAGGCTCTAAGAAAAGCCGTCTCGGGTGTGGACCAATCAAATTCAAGGACAGTGCATATTATTATCAGAGTTGTCTTTTTTGTTTGCATTTTGACTGCTTGTGTTGTGGTTATTGCAAACATGATGCCTTGAATAAAGGTGTCAGTTTTTGTGCCAGTTAAAAGGGTAAAACCTATTCCTATATCTTGTTACTGGCAAAGGAGGTCTCATAAACCAAAGAGTATGTTGTAATGTTCTTACCTGCCCCGACTGGACATCCGTGAAGAAAGCGTTTATAGCTCATCGGATTCCTCCAGTATATATTGTGATTCTGATGTATGGGTACCAGTATCCGGTATAGCTACAAAGCACCCACGCCTCTTCAACCTCAGCAAGGCAGGGCTACCTTTAAAAATTATTTTTTGCTTTTCACGCCGAACATAATTACATTAAGAACTATGTAAGTGAGCATAGCCTGCGTTATGAGAATATGGTGTCGGTACAATAATACATCTCTCTAATATTTGTATAATATGTGCATAGCAGCACGAGCAGAAGGTTACACAAAATAATGCAATCCCCTGTTATCCGTGCACCCTCCTTGCTGTGCGCATGCTCCTATTTACCACGTGCTACATTCGTCCTATTGTCCAGTCCATTGTGGGGATAACAGGAAATCACCCAGACGGTTTGACAAATTATTCCTATTATCCGTGCAAAGGCTAGGGAATCGCACACAAATATTAGGGTGTGAAATACATGCTGAGTAATGCATTACACATTGCTGATTATGTTTCCAATATTCTGGTGTAGTGGTGGTGATATTTATCTAAAATCTGCGAAATATGTTATATAATTAACACCGTATGTAACTTTGAGCAGATGTCTCGTTTAGCTTCAGCATGGTGGTAGCCAGCGTGACTTTCACGACAGTTGAGAGACTGTCTGCTGACCCAATATATGAATCATTATCTTGAGGGTATATTTATGCATCATGAAATGTAGTGTGCACTGTTTTTTTACCATAAGTTTCATAGGTACTGTTGTGTTTATTTTAACCAAGTTATTTTAATTCCCACACTGATTTTTCTCGCTGCAGTTTCTCGTGGCAGTCATATACAGCCGTTTTGGCTGGGAATGGGTTTTCGTCTTCTTCATTGTTATGGTAAGTAAAGTTATTAAGAGTTTATAACTGTGTGTGCTGAGTTTGGTAAGCCATTCAAATGACATCTGAGCTCACCAAAAGCTTGTATTGTGATCGGTTATATGAGTGATGGATTGCACTTCACCACAGAAAATACTAAACTGCATCAATGTCTGTTGACACGATTAGATGTATGGCACCCAAGCCCTCTCATGAAAATAAATCACGGATAAATAAGTATAATTAATGCCCACTGTGTGACTTATTTTGTACTTTGTTGCATTTGCAGATATTCCTCACCTTGATCATTTTGCTCCCTCTGGTCGTTCGAGATATCAAAAACATATTTGTCAATCAACAGGTGGGGTGCCTGTCCGCCACATGAATTGCAATATTAATGATGCCATATGGACAGACTCTCCAGGCGCGTAGTGAAGCTATTACATTACAGTTTCACACCATGTTACAAGAAACTTGCCAATGCTTGGAATGAAGAGCCAGATGAGATAACAATCATTTTAAATAACAGTGGCAAAATATAGAAGGAAATTGGCATTCAAGAGGACTGATGGCAGCCAGGGGCGGTCTTTTTACTCAGTGATCTTGAGTTTAAACATATATACGGAGGGTAAAAAAATATACCGTAATTATTACATTTGGTATGTGCACCATTCCAATGGTGCAAGGCTATCACGGGGGCACAATGTTTCACAGATGTGCAGCGGTTTGACAGTATGCGGCGATGGCTGCAATGTGCAATTCCAATCGAGTGATTTGCCGTTGCTTTTCAAATCTGGGCGATTCCAGCGGCGCACGGTGAGCTTACTCTTTTCGACTGACGTCAGCGGGATTTGAAGCGTCCGCTTGTTGAAAGCAGGCAGACGGCACACGCGTTTCACGCTAAATACATACGTGCGCAGTGGTAAGCAGGGAGGCCGAGCAATGCCAGATTAAGCTAGTGCGGGACCTGTAGCATATGTTATAAAGGGCCGCTAAATTAATAAAAACACAAATCTATATATAAAAAAAATTAACTTGCATACTAAAGTTATTGTATTTTTTCATTTGCTATACAGCCAGATAATACGCCAAATCGCTAACCTTAAACACCCAGTCGTTCATAAAAGTTGAAGGCGGTATAGTACTATAGTAATAGAGCAAGTGCAGAATCACTGAACCGGAATTGATAGCTTGAAAGCATTTAGAGTGGGGCCCTTGAAAGTGCGGGGCCCGTAGCATTTGCTACTTTTGCTACGAGGATCTTGCGGCACTGAGGCCGAGCAGTGAACGCGCTACCACTGGGCCACGAGGAAGACAAAGAGAGCATTGGCGCTTCTCAGGTGACGTTAAGGAGGAAGATGAAGATCGGACGGGATGGAGGAAATTTGGGGACGAATATCTGCCGAGGACAAGAGAGAGAAGACATGTTAAAGATGTGTGTGTGTATGGTGGGTTTAAAATAGCGAGGTAATATTGCTTGTGATAAAATGCTGGGTGCGTCGACACAGCAGTTAAGTAGTATTGAACATTGATTGTGTTGTTTAAAATGTTTCGGTTTGCAATTTAAAACAACTCAGGAATTGTGGGTAAAAAATTGTAACAGTATCTTGTGAACACGAGCATGTACATAAACGTGAGCTTCAAGGCCGAACACTTAATTACAAGTAGGTATGAAGAGAAGATGCTAAGTGTGAATATGTATTTTTCATTAATTATATACACATCCTTTGTTCTAAAATAAGTGAATAGTTATTGCTTACGTCTCAAATCTTACGCGAATATGTTAAGATAACCGAATGTATATCAAATATGGTACTATGCATGAATGTCCTCAGGTTAATATTTATGTAAGCAAAGTCAAGGTGTGTGATGCTGTACTTTTAACTTGCACTGTCAAAGGTGGACGTTTCTCGCTCTCTTTCCCGCTTCAGATCCCACGACGCATCATATTCACCGTGCCCAATTCCACCATGAAACGTCTCTCCCAATCATCATCATAGCTCAAACTGGCTTATAAATAACATCCCCTGCAAAAATCATCACAGCTATCAAGGGGCCGTCCATGAATGACGTCACACACCTGGGGGGGGTCAGACATTTGTGACGATGTGTGACGGGGGGGGGGTACATATTCTTGGTTCTTTCGGTAAAGTCACTGTAAGCGTGAACAATCAATTAAGACCCGAAATGGTTTATCAAATGCTTCCAATGATTGCTAAGCCAGAATCCATCTTCTCGGTTGAAATTGTCTCTGTGTTTGTATATGTGGATAGCCTCATGAACGAATCTCTCATGGTAGCCAGATGTCTTGCAGAGAACCTCTGTCTTGGAGAAGTCAATGTCGTGTGAGCCTACTGAATTATAACAATGATCTGCCACGGCCGAGGTGTTGGTCCTACCGTGTTTTAGGTCTGCTTTTTGTTCACGGATGCGGTCCGAGACATGTCGTTTGGTTTCTCCAATGTAACTACTACCACAGAGGAAACTTAGTTTGTAGACGCCAGGGTACTGTATGTCCGGAATCACATTTTACAGACTGAACCAGATCACAGATTTTATGTAATGTGTTGAATCGGACCTGGATCTTGTGTTTATTCAAGATTTTGGAGATCTTTTTTGTGATACCCGCAATGTAGGGTAAAGTGATGGTTTTGAATGGCTCCTCAAGAGGGTCCTTCTTCATGGTTGGAGTGATAGCTTTTCGGATTGTGTAGTCGGAGTAACCATTAGCCTTAAGAGCTTGGTGTACGTGCTTGAGTTCACTGGCTATGTGTTCCTGGTCGGATATGCATTGGGCTCTATGGTGCAGAGTCTTGATGTGGGAATTCTTCTGGGATGGATGGTGGTGGAATCCGGTTTCAGGTAAGCATCCGTATGGGTAGCTTTCCTATAGACAGAGTGGCTCATTGAATCATCAGGTCTATTTTTTATTAGGACATCCAAAAAAGGTAGCTTGCCATCTTTTTCGACTTCCATGGTAAATCTGATGGCTGAGTGTATGGAATTGATGTGGTCGAGGAATTGGTCTAGAGCAGGCCGGCCATGTGGCCAGATGACAAAAGTGTCATCCACGTACCTCTTCCATAAGGTTGGGCGCAGAGTGGCAGTCTGGATGGTGTCAGTCTCAAATTTCTCCATGAAAATGTTGGCTATAACCGGAGATAGGGGGGAGCCCATTGGGGTGCCCTCAGTTTGTTTGTAGAAAGTTCCATTCCAAGTGAAGTATGTATTGGTTAAGCAGTGTCTCACCAGGGGGGGTACCTCAGTGTTTAGTCCTTGATGAACCAAGTCTTCAATGATTGTGATGGTGTCAGGTACAGGAACTTTGGTGAATAAGGAAACTACATCAAAACTGACAAGCAGGTCGACGCTTTTGGCCAAAAGGCCAAAAGGCGTCATCTGGTCGAGCACCAATTGGGTCGAGGCTCAAAAGAAAGCCGTCCTTTGGTGTGGACCAATCAGTTTAAGGACAATGCATATATTATCATAGTATGTTTTTTGTTTGCAATTTGACTTCAGGTATTGTGGTTAATGCAGACATGAATCCTTGTAAAAAGGTTTCAGTTTTGTTGCCAGAAAAAAGGGGAAAAACCCGATTATTATATTTTGGTACTGGCAAAGGAGGTCTAATGATGTACATTTGTTCGATGTTGAGATTGACGATTCGATTCCGTAGACTTTCACTTTTTTTATCGATTCTGGAATCGACGGCGGTTACGTCTTGCGTCATCCCCGGTCGTTTAAAATGTTAGCGTAATGATGTGACGCAAATAAGCCCCAAAAATATATATTCAGGATTTGTATTGTTGAGGTTCATGTGTCGTGTTATTACTGTAACAAAAACAATAAACTTGTTTTTTGAGATAATGCGTCTGCGAATCCACTGCAGCTGTAAAGCTTACTCCGTGGGAGCAAGAGACCGTTGCCTGGATTTCCCGCCGGGAGCCTAGGGTAGGCCTCTGGCGGGCGAACTCGGCAGGGAGCCTCAGAATCTGCGGGCGTTTCAGTGAATTAAAGTTTCACTCCTACTGCGTGGTGTTTGTCAAAGTACAAGGGCGTACGTCTCACTTTTACCTCGTCCATTAAGTTTCCACGTGGATCCCAAGATAATTTCCTAATACACGATTTTATGGCGGTGATTCACGGCCACGGTTTACGAGCTCGTCGAAATTCCATTGGCATTGCTGCTCATGATGGCATGTTTCTGAGATTAACTAAACTCAACTATATTTTATTTCTTTTATCAAGTAAAGCCCACTAAGCTATATGCATATAGCTTTTTTTTCAGAAGCGACCCGGTTATCACATACATCACGGCGAAGTAAGCACATCGTCAAGTGGAAATGTTGCAGCAGCAGCACACAACTGCGACAAATCCTTTTGCGGAGACAATTGAATAACGTTCGGAAGTCTAAGGCGTCACGTGTCCGCGGGCCTTATGAAGTCAAGCTGCTACGGGCGCCCCGCACACGTTTGTCGTGTAAAGTATTACAGATCCGCAGTTGAGTTCGATCGCGTTGGTCAAACGAGCTCTCTGCTTCCTCTCAGCGCGGTGCTGGGTCAAAGGCTTCGTGGGCGATGGACGAAGCGGGTCGAGCCAAGGGCCGCGTGCCAGCGTCGGGGCCCAATGCCCTCTTCGTGAGGTGGCTCACCGAACTGCGCGACGAGGCGGCCTCCAAGGGCAAGAAGTCTCACTTCGTCTACCAGAAGGTACGAGTTAGGTACACGTGTGACGGGGCGCACCGCGGTTGCGGCGAGGTAGTTTGGGGCCCTCTCTGCGGGCGTTGCAAGGAGACGCGTCTGTGTGTGTGTGTGGGGCGTTCGATCTCGACCCTTGACGCCTGTTGGGGTTTGCGTGGTCTCATCTCCTCGTGGATTTTCCCCTCCACATTTAGAGCCGACGCCACGCGTTTAGAGAGAGAGAGTATTTTGGCCGCTTTACATTTCCACGTGGTAAGCCGCTTTCGTTGAGTTATCGTGTGTGGCCAGGTCGCTTCTGAATAAGAGCTATATAGCTCAGTGGGGTCTATACCTGGTAAAATAACAATAGCTCAGTAATAGTTTTAGTTTCATGGTTTTAGTTGGTGAAAACTGGGACCGGATCAAATATCACTCTCCACAGCAGCTAAAATAGAACATTGTTTAGTAAGTGCATTGTGTGCCCTGAGCGATCGACACTGCATAATTATGCATTCCATTCGTGAGGTACAGTACATCACTCAACTTGTCACAATGTACATTGACAATCCGTCTAATAGTCACTTTAGACAATGAATGTCGCGGTTATTTGAATTTAGGAAACAACTTAGAATGAAATAGCTGTCAACCCCTTCATTATCAGTGCCCAACCTTATTACAGACCAATTCAGACCTTATTGGTCACCCCGTGCCGTTATAAATCTCAACGTTCATCCTACAAAGTCCCATCGCAAGGGAGAAACACAAATAAATAGACAACAGAAATTGCCCGTAATGAAACGGCTGTACGCCGTATGGACCTGTAAACTCAAATTCCCTGTACAAGAATAAGGGGTAAACCGTATGGGTCGACAGGTATGCAATGAGGGCATTCCTGTCCGTTCACAAGTTCGTAAAGACCTGGTTACTGGAAAAATGCAATTGTGCTATACTTCCGCTTCCCAAAACTACGTGCACTATTTGCATTTCAATGCTTCTCATTTACGGATTACAATAATACAAAGTTTCGTGATGGAATGTAAAAATGTTTGATTTTACTAACAATGGGGCTTTTTGCAAATATGCGGATGTGTTCACTTCACCAACCAAATGCGCGGTATTAGCTATTGGCTCCTTACAAATTGGTTATAGTTTTATTGACCGAGGATTGAAATTGCACTCCTGTAGGTTTTATGTATCGTTTGTTTTTGTAACTTTCTGACCCGCCTCTACTAGACAAATGTGAAAAAGAGCTTTATAGATCATTCCTCCAGTCTAAATAAATATACTGATTTGGGGATTATTTATCCATAAAACAGCATTAGAACTCAGCTTACACTACGATTTGAGCATTCTTACGCAGTGCCACAAAGTACTTAACTTTACAAGCAACCGATAGTGAATGTTGAGGTTGAATACCACCAAAGGAATGTGTAATGATTAACAGTGGGTCTAAGACACCAATGGAGAATAGCAAAGGTCCCACTCCTTTTTCAGCAGGAAGATAGTGATTTTCTTTTCACTTTTTTATTTTGTAGGTGGTATTTACTTAAAGTTTAACTTTTCTGCACAGGCACTGAGCTCTTTGAAGAAATACCCACTACCCCTGCAGAATGGCAAGGAGGCAAAAATTCTACAGAACTTTGGAGATGGAATCTGCAAGATGCTGGATCAGAAGTTGGCCGAATACAACGCTGAGCATGGTCAGCCCCTGAGATGCACATAATTTACAGCAGCCATCCGGGCTGCTACGGAATGTTGCTTCTGCCAATTTGGAAAGCCCCAATACATCTCAATTCTATTGCTTTTATGTTTTCGGAATCTCCTCTCAACCTGTAAAATATGTTAAACTTTGTGGATCTCTGGATAACGGAGGATCAAGTATCCAAGCTCACACAGATTAAACATTTTGCTAATTAGAAAATTATACATTGCAGGAGTTTCACTGAGGTTGGATAATATTTTAGGAAATATCTGTTTAGAAAAGTAAAGATTATCAGCAATGCATATTTTATGTAATTCATATTGATATGAATTGATTGTGTTTTTAAATTGTGGGATTAAAATGTTGGTGTGTTTTTTAATTAGCACTTGTGTTATTGTCCTGTCACATATCAGGATCTGATGCTTCAATACACAACCTGAAGCCTATGGCAGATGTAGCAGGCCCTACAAAAGCCAAGTCACAAAAATCTGGATCGAATAGAGGTATGGTAAACAACATTTTACGTGTCTTTATTTCAAGGAGTGTATTATATTTAAAGGTAAACATGTCTCAGTGTTCATTAATTAATTATCAGTGTTATCCAAATTAAGACATCTATAGTATGTTAGACGGAAGAGGACATTACGGCCAATGCTATTGATTGCACCACACCTCACCATCACCTGCTTCGAGGTCCTGTAAGTTGTTGCCTCGCCGACATCTGACCATTTCATAAATTTTCTGTATGCCCCAATTTGACTTTTGCTTCAATGTCCTTCATCCATCCTGTGCCTATCACTCTTTACAAGGTCTTCTTTCTGAATGCACCTAAACATCAATTGGCTTTATTCTGAACTTTAAAGTTGCTTACCTTATCTTCCCATTAAATTATTAGAATCCCCCATATGCACATGTGTTTAAAATCCACGTGCTGCTTTTCCAGCATCTTTCTTAAATTCCTTACTCCTATTTCAAACATCCATCTTGTCATTCTAAAATTGGCATCTTTATACATCTAGAGTGATGTACGCTGTTCCTCAAAATCCATCCATATAATTAAATATCTCTTGACTTTCTCAAAACCACCTATATTATGCAACGTGCTACCTAAATGCACAGTCCTAAAGTGCCTCTAAATTGTCACTTCCCACTGATTCCTGTGATAAGAAAATACACCCCTATCCATAACTACTGCAATCAACTGAAAACCACCAAGAACTCCAGCAATGCCCCAGCCGGAGTCCGAGCTGACAAACAATACTACATAATTTGCATACTCCTGGTTTCTCATTTGCAAATTACCCCTTTTCCTCATGGTGCTTCAGCTAGTACATAGTCAAATATGACTGAACTAAGTGGTGGAAAAACAAGCTTCATCTTTCCTGGAATGCCTTTACACTAAAAGTTCCTGTAGCTCTTCTATCTAAACAGAACAACTGGTCCTTGCTTAAAGTCTACAAAACAATGACCCTCTGCTCTTCTTCTTTATTGCCAGCTTGACTTTAAACATTTGATCTCTACAACAATACAAAACCAATACCCACATTGGCGATTATTACACTGTACAAGGACAACGCGAGAATGTATAATCTGCACAATCACACGATCTGCTTTTATTGCAGATAAAATGAGTGTTACTGGAGTGGAATGTATTGTTGAAGACAACGTGACTCTTTCATGAGAACAATGCCTTCATTGGGTTAATGTTCAGTTTAAAACTGTGAAAGTGCAGGCGAGCAAGCCATCCATTGCCCCGCTAATTAATTAATATCTGCCTACTGCTCATGCCAGATCCCAAGAACGTAATACTGCCAAGTTCTCGCAGCACGAGCAGCAGCGATGATGCACCTTCCACCAGGGACGCACCCCCACTGGTAAGCACCCCACTCAGAGCTCGCATCAAACAGGACTGGAACGCATGGCATATTTGGATTTTGAGTAAGCAAAGTTTTATTAGGGGAACATTTTAATAGATTTCAGGAGACACGGTCCACATATTTCAAATGCCACGTGTTTACATTGTATGTCTGTTATATAATACTATAAGCTAAAATTAGTAGCCATTGGATCTTCACCATTAAAATTGGGACTTTTTCTAAGTTGGGTTTCGTAAAGTAACTTGTAAACTGCATGGATATTTTATGCTTATCAGATCATTGATACAGTGTAGCTTTCTACCCTAGATTACAGCTGCCTACCATTACCACCATGACAAGGAATCATCAGTATCATGTGCTACCCCTACATTTTACGTGTACTGTATACTGATTTTACTCAATAAACACTATAATGGAATAATATGGTAGTTTTATAGCGGCACAAATTATCAAAGAAACACTTAAAGCACCAATAATATTCACTTTTAGCCATTTAATACATCTCTATATACCTACGGCATTGACTGGAGGTTGGAAGAGAAACAGGTATTGGTATGGCACCTAGCATTGTGCTACCAGGCAGAATAGCCCAGGCATAATTGTGATTGCATTGCACAATACCTAAGAATGGGTGACATTGTCAGACAAAGACTCTGGAAGTAAAATGTTGGCTGTGCAATTGTTTAGGGTTTTTTGCATAAAGATAGGCAGAAATGCTTTAGAGTGTTGGTCTTAAGATAGCCGACTTGTTGATGTTTGCATTGTACAGAAGCGGACCCGGGTGGAGGGGACAAATGAAAAAGGTTACACCCCTAAGAAGTCATCATGTGGATATGCGCTGATCATGGCTCTTTACTGGGAGAAGCAGGTACGTAGTGCCGAGTTCACATTGTAGCAGATGGAATGAATGTCAGTGTAGCGGGGTTGTATACACATAGATTTTGAAACTCAACAAACCCACTGGGCTGTGATCACGAAGGCATTCGTGGATAAAATATAAGAACAATATAAATGACCATTTAATGTATACTAAATCCTATTTAAATAAATTATACGTCTTGAGTTAAAGCGCGCACATAATTAATGGAGTCAGTTGCTAGCACAACATTTTTGTGGATGGCAGTACTGCTCTTAACACATTTTAAAACATAATCATTTCATTATGTTTATTATTATTATTCTGGTGGTTAATTATAGCAGAGCTCCTGAGCTGTGGCAGAGTTCCTTGTACAAGGTTTAGAGTCCAAACTCCAGTCAGGTGTTGACTCCTGGGTTGAAAGCATGAGTTAAGCGTTGTGGAACGTTCACTTCGGCCGTGCAGTGGAGAAACTTCCTTCACATAGGAAAGTATTTTTTTGATAATTTCCCCAAATTAATCTTGATTTGAAGCTTTGGTGACTGCAGGAATCCATACTCTTTGGTTCTTTCGGCAAAGTCACGTAGGTATAAAATAAAATAAATCATGACGCTTGTGTTGCGTCCGAAACGTCGTGATTTATTTTATTTTATACCTACGTGACTTTACCGAAAGAACCAAAGAGTATGGATTCCCCAAATTACTTCATCATGAAGTCACTTATAAGATGCTTAAAAAGAGTCCAAGTCAAAATAGTTTACTACTTAAATGAGCTCACCTCCAGGTCATAGCCCTGGAGCAGTAACCACAGGGAGGAGATTTTCTTATGACAGGGTGAGTAAATAAGACATCCTCTGTTGACGTCCCACAATGTGGTATTTATTTAGTGACCCCCAGAGGGATGAAGGGCTGATTCTGACTCAACCTCATAATGATAAGCCTTAACCACTGTGCCACCTGGACATAATCCATATTGCATTGTAATTTTGTTATTAATGCTTTGTGTTTGATTCGTTTCTCAATAGAAACCGGATGGAAAATACTTCATGACCAAACCTGAGCTTCAGCAGGAAGCCCAACCTCACTGTGAAAAATCCTTCTTTGCTGTAAGAGGGCCAGCATCACTTAACTTCATCGTGTGCACCACTGACTCTCCCCCTCATCAGGGCAACAGGAGAAAGAGAATTAGAGACCAGAATGCTCTTCGTGTGTTTTTTTCTATGTTTGGAGAAATAACACGCAGACAATAACAGGCAGAGTTTTTTTTCTATGACAATAGATATGGTAGATTAGAAAGCTCAGTTGTTGCATCAGGATTGTATTATATGAATGTTATAGCCCTAGTGTACATATTTGCTAGTTTCTGCTCACTGTAAATTCATAATGTTTGTGCATGAAAAAACATTTTTAAAATAACTTTTTGCCGCTGTTTCTCCAAAACAGCCCGACGCAGAAATGCGTCACTCTGCGTGGTCGTCCATGAAAACCCTCATCAGCAAAGGCCTTGTGGAGAAGTGTAGCAATCCCGCCAAGTGAGAACAGTCACGCAGACACGTTTATAAAAGCATTCATTTTTGTTTGCTGTTAAACGATTTCAGCCATGTTTACAGGAACCTGCATAAATCAATTCCCCTTTTATTCTAATACCATATGTATGTATGTTGAACTTCTTTCGTGCCGTGCGTAGCCAACGGTGCTAATCGGAGGTGCGGGGGAAGGACAATAAACTAAACACAAAAAGCAGTTCTAACAAAAGGAGTTTTCAATCTAGATTTAACAAGTAATATACAATATGTGATAATATCTGAGGCTAGGCCAAGGCTGAGCAAGGTAATTCAATATCTTTTTCAGCAAATAGCACCTAAACTCCTGGCATACTTTTTCCAGAGAGGAGCCCAAAAAGGATTTTATTTTATTTATATCAGGTTGTTTTTCTGATTTACGTTTCAAAGCAGCTTTTAAAAAAATGCCCAATTGTGCACAGAGTTGCCCAAACTGCAGCTCTGATGTTGAGGCTCCTAGTCTTAATCTAGTCTCTGTGGTTTTCAGGTGAAGGCTGGGACTTTTAAAGTGAAGGTCAGATACACGGCCCTTTTTAGTCAAAAATAGACAAACCAAAAAGATGCTGATATATTTGAGAAACGTTCATTTAAATAGGTAAAATTAGTTTCACACATCAATAACAGTACCATGCATATACAGAAATATTGTTGAATATTAGTGGACTTCTAACCCGTTCAATAATATATATTGGTCGATTGAAGATTGAATTTAATTAATTTCACAAATACTTGAGATCTTAATGAGCATGGTCAGGATGTGCATTCTTTATAACCAATGACTTTTACGACTTAATAAAATTAGTTTATCTCCAATTATTGCCATCGGTCTACTTGAAGCTCATGCCATTGGTAGTTGTACAATGGCATGAGTAAGATGGCTCCTACACATGATGTTGCCAATATTTAAGGGATATATATATATTTCGTTTTTATGTCTGTACAACATGCATAAGCATATGCATGTACGTTTTGATATTGGCGAAAGTAGTGGGGGGTGGGGATTTAATAATAAAACAAACGATTGCAAGCCACTTTTTTCACTTCATTTAATGTCCCATTTGCAGGTATTTTATCACAGATAAGGGCATTGAGCTGGCACGGAGGTTAGACTGTGCGGAGGTTCTGCAAGGTAAGCAGACAAGAATGGGAAGTGATAACGTGACAACCGCTTTGGAAACCGTGGGACTGTACCCGGCCGCGGATGGCGCCATTGACCTCACAGAATCGGACGAGGATTTGGGAGCAGAAGGGGGTGCCACTGGTACAAAGGTACGATCTTATGTGTGATTGCATTGATTAACTGCTCATTAACATATATTGACAAGGTATTTCTTTGTTTACTCCTAGTATGACATAGGACTGGGTGCATTTTGATGACAGGTGGGTATTTGGATGATGTATTAAGCACGTTAGAGTTGATTAAGATAATTAGGGTGTAATGATTCACCGTCCCCCAGTGATATGATTAAATGTTGAGAATGCAGTTATCGAAAGTATGAAATAAAAAACATCTTAAAATATATAATGCTCGTATGGTACCTATATAGAGGGAATGCATCCAAGAGGATGAACAGTTCATGTGCAGCAATGAGATGGATCGCGGTAGTGTGTGTAGGCCTTTATCCAGCAGTGGAAAGACAATATCTGACGACGATGATCTTGCACAATTAAGACTTATCTACAATAAAAAAATACTTTTGTATATGGTGGATGTGTTGTCTTGCGTTAATGCGTTCAAAAATATGCTATTGAAACGATCCCTTTTAAATCAACTCTGATCAATGGAAATGTTTGCTGATCATAAATACAGGAAACGTGGACAACAGCGGTCGCGACGAAGGCACCACTTTCCGTACCGGCCAGGTGCGTTGCTGCGCAGGAGGAGACGGTGGCTGCATACCGTGACTACCTTCCCTGGGAACCATTGCCCAGTTCTCGGGCAACGGAAGACTCTCGTGATATGGAACCCCGAGAAGGTTTTCCACCATCCCAGCCTAAGACTGCCGTGCCTGACATCACTCTACGTCCGGGAGAGTTCGACATTATTCTTTGCGTTGATGTCATCGAAACCACTGGGTACGTGGACAGCTGATTCATTTTTTAAATACATTGTGCATGTTTGTGTGTGTATATGTTGAACTTCTTTCGCACCACACGTCGCCACGTGTGCTAATCGTGGGTGCATTTTGTTATTTTGCTGGATATATCGAAAGGCTGCTTTTTTAACAGTTCATAGATAATAGATAATGCTGTTGGTGATGTGATTCTTACTACCGATAAGGAATTTTCCATTTGGCATTAACAAAGTGCAATGTAACAGTTGTTCCTGTTACGTCATTCACAAAGTATGCATTATTGTGTTCCGGTGGTGTGACATATCCACAATTTGAATAGAACTTGTCTAAAAAGTACAAGCATTCCAACTTTCAAAGGAGTTTACCAGAATTTCCTTGTGAATATCACTTGAATTCTTCAACTTGGATAAATAAAGTTTGATGATGGTTGTGAGTTCAAATCCTGGTCATGCTTCACCCCTTTTGGGGTTGATAATAAGATTACCTCTTGTTGGAAAGCCCTCAGTGCTTCTCGTAGGATTGACGCCTCCGGGGAATGTGTAACCGCTGGTTCAGGTCCACCAATTAGTGCACGGTTGGCTACGTACGGTGTAAAATAGGCTCTACATACATGCATACACTTTTGGAGTTGATCACCTCCCAATGCTCATCTCAGCATTGGGAGATGGTCTGACCGTAATTAGCATATTTCTGAAAATGTTGCCAACTTATGTTGCGCATTGGCTCCCCCTCTGTTCTCAGGCCTGGATCAAGGAAGCAGGATCTGGTGAACGAGCTAAAAAAGAACGGAGTTCAGTTCGATGTGCGGAAGTTGAACGTGGGTGACTTCGTGTGGGCCGCTCAGGAGCGTGTGCACCCTCTCCCTGGTTTGTTTGTGGGCCTTGCTTCTGGCCGCAGCTGTGTTTGCATGACTAAAAGACACAATGTCCTTTTCAATGCATCGTCTTCAACAGCGGTCATCATTTATCTGCTGATGGCTGAAGGCCTTCCCATATCTCTGCCATCTATTACAGTCTCGCAATACAACTCATCTAGCTCCTGCACACTAGCTGATTTCATCGCTTCATCTCCGGGATGGACGTCCTCTCGGGCGAGTTCCCTCCCTACACACACCAAGCAAAAATAATTCGATGTCTCTCCATGCTGTTGTGATCTTTGGATAGTTGCTGTCTTTTTGGTAGACATGGAGTTAACAATATTTAATTTAAATGCCGCAGTAGAAATTATGCTTGCCTCAAATACTCGTCACTTTACACTAATGTTTTAGCTGCTCAAATGTCAGAAACAATTTATAATCAATGTTTTTTCACGGTGCTGTAAATTATTGTTGGGACTGGGGATAACACTGGTCTCAGTGGTGTGGCATGAGTACAGCCTTAGGATGACTGGTAAATGTTACTTGGATAATTCACCTGATTCTGAAATACAGAAGTCTGGTTGGCTGTGGCTTGTGTTATCAGAGGTGTGATCAGTTCTTTACTTGGTAGGATTATGATGAGACAATTAAGTGGCACATCTTCTGAACAAATAAACCAGTGAGGTCTGCTATGTTCTAAGCTGCCGTGGGCTTGCGTGCCTTGGAACAGTTGGCTAACAATTGGTGGTGTTGGTTTTTCTGCCACCATGAACATTCGTTGAGTGCAAGTCCATTGTGCTAACTATTGTAACCATGGCTCAGAACATTTCAAATTCCAATAATGACTGAATTCTTGCAGGCCAGTTGAAGGTGCCGGCGGCAAGGGAGCTGGTGCTTGACTACATCGTGGAGCGGAAGCGGATGGATGACCTCTGTGGCAGCATCATCGATGGGCGCTTTAAGGAGCAAAAGGTCAGTTGATAGTCACCTATACGTTGGTTTTCATAAACCATGATGCAAACTCTGATCATCTTTGCAGCGGTGGCTTTTGGCTAACCAGTACGATCACATGTTGTTCATGAAGTTATGCTAATATTTATAATTGTAAATGTAATATTGAGGGGATAATGTAACATTTTTGCTGTAAATCTAAATTAATTCTGATCAATCAATAACAATGTTATTGATTATTTTCCAGAGTGAGAGTTCAATTTATAAAACATAAAGGCATGATAGAGTATTAATCATCATGTTTCCATATGTCAATGCAGGATATTGGTTTGACATATTTCTCAAATTTAATATTGCCATTGACGAATACATCAATTACAGCCTATAATGTTGTTTTCATTTGTTTTCATTTGGGTTGCTGGATAGCTGAATGGCCATTGTATTGACCAAATTTACAGTTGCCCATACAGTAGTTAACTTGCATAATATCCGTATTAAATTAGTAAACTGCACTCTCTTTTTAAAAGTGCTAATTTCCCGCATCATTACCGGAATCCCAAATTGGAATTTACATATCATTATTATATTTTTCAGCTATATGTTGCAAATATGATAATTTGTTTTAAAAGTTCCGATCTGAATAAAGGCATTGCTTCAAAGTAAGATCTACAGCCGGGATGTAAAGTCACTCGGTATTAGAGTATATTGTTTATCCATTTGCTTCTTGCCTGACAGTTCCGTCTGAAGAAGTGCGGGCTGAGGAACTGGATTTATTTGGTGGAGGATTTCAAGAAGGCTCAACACATGAGCCTCCCAGAGTCTACTCTTCAGCAAGCCGTGGTCAACACACAGGCAAGAGTCACCACATGCTCCTCCTGTCCCATGCGTGGGAAAAACAAGAATATAAACATTTTACTTTTTATTAAAAAAAATGATATTGTGTATCATTTATTGTCCTTCAGACATGTTCTTAAAAGACCTCCATCGGCTCTTAGTCCGTCCAGTGTCGCTGACACTTCAGACAAGCCAATGACTCAATTTCTCACAGTCTTATGCCACACCAGGAAAAGATGCTGATTCAGGGCATTTCTCCAGTAGTCCACGGTGCTGAGCTGGGGATTGTATTGTTTATTTCTGTTCAGGTGGTGGATAACTTCTTCATTAAACGCACCCGGGACATACGGGAGTCAGCAGCTTACCTCACCATCATGACGCGCTATCTGCACAACGCGTATGCGGTGAGGACCTCACACCGTCCGTGGTTTCTGTACTCAGCGGACATTCCTGACAACCTCAGCGCATTCGACCACATTCTCACTTATTAGGCACATTCATGTGTAAAGTTACACATTGATGTATATTTGTTGAACTTCCTTCAAACCGTACGTAGCCAAGCGTGATAATCAGAGGTGTGGGTAAAGTAGCAAATCCTACATTGAGAAAAAAAAGTGACATTTGACAAGAATACCAGTGCACCCAACTGCAGTAATTTACAAAAAATACCAAAAGTGATAAAATACAGTGCAGTTATAACCCGATTTACGTCTCCCCCTTTTGTGTTGTTTTGCAAATACATTGTCACTTTATAAATACCACGATATGATTTCCGAAGCCTCAACGCACACTCACGTCGCTGACAGCATCATCCATCCTTTCTCATTATCCGTCGCCTCTCAGCCTTTGCCTCTACCACCGACCCTGTAAACCACTTTGATTGACGTCGTTTCGGTATTCGTCGTTGTACCTTTCAGGAACACATCCCCGACGTAAACTGGGGAATTGTTCTTCTTGGTTCTTACGGTAAACTCACGTAGAAGGGAAATAATAAAACAAAACATAATAAAATAAAATTATCACGACTTTTCGGCCACAACACAAGTAGCCTTCTTCAGGTGAAGGAACAGAACTGTCGGAAAGACAGCGCTTCAATGAACACTGCTAAGCTTGGCAGCGTATTTTAAGCTGGGTGGGAGGAGCAGAGCACCTTGACAAAGGAGTTTACATATCAACAGAAGAATTTAGCATTGAAGTAGCTGTGTTAATGTGAGAGATTAGCAGGATGTTAAAGTCAGAAATTAGCATGTAACTGGGAGATTAGCATGATGTTAGTGTGAGGAATTTGGCATGTAACTGGTCACGGAAGTAGCTATGTTAAAGTCAGAGTTTACATATCAACAGAGGCATTTAGCATATTGACGCTAAAGAACTGCAACTACCCAACTATCATACAATAAACCGATGTGAAATAACTAAATATAAACTATATCAATATAATCAATGTACTCAATATATTCTCCAATAAGCTGAGCTATTAACATAAAGTAATATATTCTCCAATAAGCTGAGCTATTAACATAAAGTAATCGGTTTATTGCATGATAGTTGGGTGGTTGCAGTTCTTTAGCGTCAATATACTAAATGCTTCTGTTGATATGTAAACTCTGACTTTAACATAGCTACTTCCGTGACCAGTTACATGCTAAATTCCTCACATTAACATCATGCTAATCTCCCAGTTACTTGCTAATTTCTGACTTTAACATCCTGCTAATCTCTCACATTAACACAGCTACTTCAATGCTAAATTCTTCTGTTGATATGTAAACTCCTTTGTCAAGGCGCTCTGCTCCTCCCACCCAGCTTAAAAGACGCTGCCAAGCTTAGCAGTGTTCATTGGAGCGCTGTCGTCCCGACAATTATGTTTCTTCATCTGAGGAAGGCTACTTGTGTTGTGGCCGAAACATCGTGATAATTTAATTGTATAATGTTTAAATTTTTATTATTTTATTATTTCCTTTCTTCGTTACTTTACTGAAAGAACCAACAAGATGACTCCCTGCAGTCACGAAAGCTCTAAATCGAAAAATAAAAATGGGGAATTGTTGTACTTCAAAATCTAAGAACAGTCTTTACAGGAGGATGTTATTGATTTGTCCATGATACTGTGTGGTTTGAATGTCTAACTTATCTAAATCTGTTTTTATATTAAATATGAATGATAACGATGAAGTGATGTGGACCCGAGGTCAATTTGTTACACGTTGGCAGAGCAAGACGCTGATGAGCTGTACAAAGGAGGAGAGGAGAGCTCTGCTACCAGCTGACTGCACTTGTTCTGTGGACGATTCACTCCCACTCATCACCTTTTCCGAGTTCAACCAGGGAGCCGCCAAAAACAAAGTATGCACCATGCCCGAGTGCAACATTTAGTTGACAAAGTCAAATAAGGTCACCGTTGTTTGCCGAAGCTTCACGAGATATTGGGCCAGAATCACGACTTGGCTAAGTGGCTTGAATTGCATTGTCTTGACAGTTTTGCCTTGAGGTTAGTGAAGGAGACAGCAGGTTTTTTTCACCAGCAATAAGGTGAAGGGGAGCCATTGCGTCATAACTGCCGCCTGCTAATGCCACACGTTCACGTGTTTGTGTGAAAGTGGTACACTAAATATAACACTGTTAGCTAATTCAAAAACCGTAGACATACAGCCTTTCATTTCCACGTTCACACAGTGTTTTCACAGCCATGTTTGTGCCATTTATCATGAACACTTATTGTAAAATTAATTTGTTTTTATGATTTTTTACTGTTTAGTCACTTGTGTAACAGTAACCTACTCTCCAAAGTGGTGCAGCATCAAGTAATGCACTCCCTTAGCAGTTTATTATATTTAAGTCAGACTACAGGCCACTGGTTTTAGAAAGTATATATACGCCTTCCTCGTTTTGAATTATAACAAGGCAAAATTATTATTTACGCGGATTAAGATAACACTTGTTATTTCACTGGTGGGCCTCATTTGGGTTTACGTGCTTTAAAATGAATCATATCTGAGCACCCTAAAACCTAGGGTTGGCAGATTGCATTGTTTTGCCTGAGTTAATCAAACTCAAGCAAATGAATGTAAACTGTTTTGTGTTTGGTGGCCACTCTCGTTGGTGTAATGCTGTGATGTGGACATTAGCCCTCTGAGCTACCCGTTCACCTCGATGCTTTAAGTCTACTTGTTTTTTGTGGCTTTGCAGGCTCAAACCGTTCAGGAGGTGTTCGCACGGCAGTTGCTGCAGTTCAGTGGCGTAAGCGGAGACAAAGCCATTGCTATCATGGATAAATACCCCACCCCACAAAGGTACTCACCAGCCCTTCATACACCTAAAATACAGCATGTTCATTATTGCATTCACAAATGCACACTACATACCAATTTACAAATGTATAGTCTTTAAAAAAAAATTCAAATAATTGTCCTCTTGCCCAAATGAGCAGTGGGATGGGGCACATTTATCTTGGCGAGCTGACCCATTTTCCGAAGTGCCTTATGGATATGGCAAGGGCCAGTCTCTACTTTAAGCAAAACATATACAGTAAAACCTTGGATTGCGAGCATAATTCGTTCCGGAAACGTGTTTGTAATCCAAAGCACTCGTATATCAAAGCACTCGCATATCAGTTGTGACCACGTGACGTTCGGCAGACAAAGCGTGTACACGTACTACTACTCGTATTGCAAGACCCTCGCTCGTTTATCAAATTAATATTTATTTTAAAATTTTGCTTGTCTTGCAAAACACTCGCAGACCAAGTTACTCGCAATCCAAGGTTTTACTGTATTTATATACATACGGATATTCATCGTAAATACACATATACACGCTAATTGCTATATTCAGGAGCATTTCGGCTATCCTGCCTAACCTCGCTATTCTGGGCACTTACGTTGTGAGTTTTTCATTGTTTCCCCCTCGTCCTGGTGGCTTCCAGCCTGATGACGGCCTACTCAAAGTGCTCCACAGACACCGAAAGGGAGAAGCTTCTGGCCAGCTTCAAGTGCGGGAAGCTGCAACGGTGAGTTATGAACGTGGCACGTGTTTTTGCCACGAACAGACATTGAACGAGATGAGAGGTGTAGAATTACTGGGAATCCTGACTTGTGTCGTGAGCAAGCATCAATGGTGATGTACAGATTCATGAACCGTTTACATGTCACGTGTTCAGAATTCACTGCGTGATGGTCTTCATGGTTGAGCTAAGAATGCAAGTAATAAAAACATTGTATTATGTAACAAAGAAGCAGAAGAGTGGGATTGAGTACTTGTAGAACACTGAAGTTACTAAAAACAGAACAACATAGCAATATTTTGATTTAAAGCTTTCGTGACTGCAGTAATTCATATTCTTCGTTTTTTCGGTAAAGTCACGTTGAAGAGAAACAACAAAAGAATAAAATATATATAAAACAATAAAAAAACACATAAAAAAATAAACATAGCAATATGCCTAAAGAAGGACGTTTTTAGACTGCATATTACCTGATTTTGAGCAGATAAAATTGCAGCAAGTGGTATGCACTCCACCTGTAGCTCTGCATATGATTACATCTTGTAAATGTTCGAGTTTGCTGTCGTATGCTGCACACGGGTAAATTCGGTGTCAATGTTTAAATCTGAGCGAGAGCTCTAAAGGAATTTCACAGATTAGAGTGGCTTGGAGTGGCTTTGCTGGACAGTTTTTGCTGTAAACATATCTACTCATTTAATGTCCTTTGTTACTTGATCCACAGGAACCTGGGACCAGCCCTAAGCAAACTCATTGCTGGATTCTACTGCACAGCTGGGCCTTTGAGCTGACGGCAATATAATCACAACACTGTTCCTTGTTTACGTGAAGAAAACAAACCTCTTCAAACTTATATATTTTTTCCACAAAACTGTTGCTTATTCGTGGCAGTTCTAGATGGCTGTCTATAACATGCAGCTGTTTGTTTGCGTCTCATGTGATGAAATACTTGTGACTGATGGAACGCGTGCATTGCTTTATTGCGGGAGGTGCAGGTCTCTTGTGGATCCGCAGTCAAATTTTGTGCATTCAAAAACCTATCTCCATTTGTGAGCGAGTGTTCAATGTGAGTGTAACTACAACGGTTCTGGAGTGAGTGGTCGAGCCTTTTATTTGTGAACGCCGCTCTCAAGGTTGTGCTGCGCTGTGCATTGCACTGCTGCAACGGCTGCATGACACTCCATGCTTGCGATGCTACTTCCTGTGTTCGCAGGGAGGAATGATTTGCCACTTGTGATGCAAATGAATTGTTGCCATTTGACTGTAGGAATTTGATTAAGTTTGCCCCGAAAAATTGCTGCAATTTGATACGGGAATCCATGGGTTTTCTTTACATTGCGGTGGATAGTGTAGTGCCTCCAATTAACTTATACCTGGAGACTACTTAAAACACGTGATACATTGCATTATTGTGTGCTTGAGGATACTGATGGAATATATGCATCGCATCATTCTAACCCGAGTGTGCATGGTGATGCGTGTTTATAGAGGCCAGGGAGATGATTGGATGATGCTGTGTGCATTGTGTCACATGCTGCATGCAGCTATGTGAAACCGAAAGCACCATTGTGTTGCCTTTCATTGCTGCCATAATGTTGCATAGTATAACAAATATAAACTATATTCATGAGAACTACCTTTGACACTTATGCCTCTGGCTGTTTGTAGCCCATGGAATCGGTTTAATAGTGTGTTTATAATAAACTAGGGCCATACTGCACGTTGAAATAATGAACCTTAATGAATCTTCAAGGTAAGAACTAAAGTTAAGAACTAAGTAAGTACAATTGCTTAGTTGTGCTAGGGACAAGATATTTCAGTAATGAATGTAAATGACTTTGTGTATGTTGCCTCTACGAGTTATTCAGTCTTTAAAGAGTTTTCCCACTCCATCAGATTAATATCTTATCACCTGCTGCTGCTGTACATTGTGAGCTAAATGTTGCCACATGAACATGTATTATGTACTTTGCCATGTTAAGTATTCTGTATGCACAATGGAACCGTACCAATAAATTTGAAATGTATTAATTGGACGATGTTTTTTGTTGTTGTAACAGTGTTTTGTATATGCAATTAAAATATGTGAAATCTGGCACATTTCTAATTATGAAGTAATTGGTAACTCTTGTCACGTGCACGTTGAAAACTCAAAAATATTGATTATAATGCTTTTTCTGAACCATTCAGTGGAATAACATATATGGGCATAAATATATAGGCTACATGGCGATACTGCTATATATTTTACGATATAAGACCAACGATAATTGTATTTGCCATTTTGCTCATATCGGCATATCATACCGTGATTATCGTTGCTCATTTTTTCATATTAATGTTAAAGAATATTTAACATTCAGAAATAAGACATAGTGTGCCACTTAATTGAGCACATTCCAACTTTGAGAATGTAATAATTTTGGTTGGATAGCCACGCTACGAACACGAAGCGCAAGGCATATAAACGGTGTCTGCCGAGAATCTCCGTGTAATGACCTTCAAGAAACCAGTGGCTTTGATTTCCTAAGTTGAAGGATCCTGGCTTTTGTGCTGTTTGATATTGAAATGCTTTATTTATTGAAATTCACAACACAAGCTTCCATTATGTAACAGTAGATTATTTTTGTTTTCTATCGCACGTAAACTTGCAGCAAAGTTTTTTTGTAGCACATGCAAGCGTACATTAAATTTCGTACAAAATAAATCCTCTACATTCAATTGCAGAGCAAATGAGCAATGCAAGGCAGCTAACTTATTGTAAAACAATTTTTTCAATGTTGCAGTTTGTACCGCGCATTATAGCATTACAATACATTTTAAAAGTACACGTGAAGCATGCAAAATTATATTAACTGATTACCGATATTGAATAGCCCTCCCTGATTATACACCACTCATGCCAACCATTTTGCTGAACCAGTTATTTGGTATAGGTTTTCCCCTTTTTTCTGGCAACAAAACAGGTGTTAAGACGTTAAAACACCAAACTGAAATCTTTTTTTACGAGGAATTATGTCTGCATTAACCACAATGCTTGTGGTCAGAATGCAAACAAAAAACATACTCTGATAATATATTAATTGTCCTTGAAACTGATTTGTCCACACCAGAGACAGCTTTCTATTGAGCCTTGTCTCAAACGGTGTTAGACCAGAGGACGCCAACAGGCGTGGTTATTTGGCAATGAGAATATTTATTTACTATTGAGATCACTTTTGGTAAAATTTCTTGCTGGATACAATAGCGAGTACATGACAAGAACAATTGGCACCTAATATGGAAATAATGTCAACTCTTAGAATCATTCATTATTGTATTTACGTCAGTTTCAGCTCACGCGCAATGAGGTGGTGGATTGTGGACTAACAAGATCGAGAGGGATGGCGATGGTGTCGGGAGTCATTCATCCACCAGTGGATAGATAATGGCTAATTATAACGATGATAATTTATGATGATGCTTTGTATCAGATATATTTATTAAAATCATTTAAATATAAATGCGTCGTTAAACCCGCCACCAACCGACAGCCAATTAGTAAGGTTTGTCACTTAAACAGAATATGCCAATTTGTTACTAATACAGCACACCGGTGTGTTGGATAGTAAATCGACAACATTTATAATTGTGGATTTACTCTCCAACACACCGGTGTGCTGTACTAGTAATGAATTGGCATGTTCTGTTTGCGTGACAAACCTTACTAGTTGGCTGTGCCGGGTGGTGGCGGGTTGAACGACACATTTATATCTACGCGATCTAACCCCAAACAAAACCTATTATGGATAATATTGGTCGCGAAAGCCAACGTGGTAAACCGATTTAAAAACCTGTTTGTTTATTGTCGGTGAACATAAAACTGATTAACAGGGCTGTGAAGCGGCAACTTTCAATCCCCATTGTCCTTGGTTAACGATGACAGTCTCTGGAGGCTGGTGCCAGATCTGTTGAACTTATTTATGCCGCCTCGTGCCACGTCAACCATAGAATGAGTACCCGGCACCGTGTACAGACATCTGCTCTGGTGCTGGCCGCGTGCTCGCTCACACTGCCCTCTCGTGTGCGTGTGTTGTGCCAGATTGAATGCCTAACAGAGAATAGCTTCTTGACAATCAGAGCATATTGGCACAAGACATGAAAGTGAAAACAAATGACGAAATGTGTAGTGGACACCCACTACCGGCTACCTGCCCATGGATCGTGATGATGATGATGATCAAAAAATCGAAAGGCTATACGGGGGGTTACTTCTATATACAGTATAATCCAGAGTACATTGTCGAATTTCTCCTGTGTTCTATATATGTGTCGTTGAGAAATATTTTATCTCGTAAGGCCTATCAACCAATGCATTTTATACCAAATCAATCCTGTATGTATAATACGCGTACAGTTTAAAATAGTGCAGTCGCCATTTGGATAAGTTCGACTGCAATGTGCTTGTTTTCTTTTTACTTCTCCCTGTCCGCAAAAATAAAGAGACTTTGAACCCCTGTACATCCATCCTGTCTGTGCTGCAGGCGAAATGCTCAACACTGATAGAAGATGGACATAAGAATGATCGGGCATATGATGAGAATGCAAGTTTTTTTCCATCCGTTAAGCTACATTGTATTGTACTGCGGTAGACAATCGTAAAAGCGCAGCGCGGCAATTTCTCGCTCGCACCACTGCTGTGAAGATGGGGCCTCCAATAAAGGGAGCATCCATAGAGGCTATTTGACCTACTCTTCCGCACTGGGCAGATGTCTCGGAAGCACAGACAGGACCCCACCGCACGCCGCTTGCCGATCGACTGACAGCGGCATGCACATGGCTGGGTGGACGGAGGTGGAGATTTAGACTCGGTCCCATTGTCTTAACTGCTGCAGCGGGAAATGAAGTGGAACTGGAAAGCTCTGGATTGTGAGTCCGGTGTGCTGCCCCTTGAACCGTTAGCAGCGACGCGCTCTGTAAACCCTTGATAATTCAGTGAACCGATGTTCTGCGTCAGTTGTGCGCACACATTAACACGTTCCATATTCTATGAGCTTTAAAATTATATTTAATAATTCGGGACACACACGAGTCTCTAACAGCATGCATTGAGAAGGAGGCGCATGAGAAACTACACTTTAAAAAAAAGCAACAATGTCTTTTTTTGGTGAAAAAAAAAGAAACCCCCCAAAACTACATGAATTGTCGGTGTATTCCCCAGAACAAAATAACTAATCGTTTTATACGAATCTTACTGATTGTTAAGTCCGCGGAGGAACGATATCAATCTTTTTTTTCTGCGTTCGCCGGTGCGAAACGGGACGTTCAGAAGTTGTGTTCCGACACGAATATCTTGAGCTGGATGACGGACGTGCCGTGGTAGTTGAGCGCCGGGTTGACGGTGATCATCTCCAGGTCCAGCACGACCTCCCGCGGGCCCTGCAGCTGCTTGACCAGCACCAGCATGGCGCTCGCTGGGCCCAGGGGCTGGTCACACGACAACCAAGCACACGCGGCGTGGGTCCAGGGAAGCAATGAGGACAAGCGATTATTTAGGTTTAAGGAAGGTATAACCTGCACAATAAAAATAGCGCAATTGGTATGCATGTTTCTCGGCTCTGCGTCCAAGGCTGTCTGACCCAAATTCGAAGCTTGGTTAAGGAAAAGTCTTAACATTTATTGTCAATAACCTCTTCACGATATTCCGCGCCTCCGATTAGCACGGTGGCTACGTGCGGTGCGAAATGAGTTCAACATACATTCTAAGGACATCACATTTTATCATTTCAAACAACATAGATGCAGCGCTTTGACCAGTGTGCTGTGACGGTGTGCCTCGCTATGATTTTAAATGTTCAGGACATGCAGTCTCGGTATATATGTGCAAGAGCTTTGGTTGAATTCTTCCTTGAAGATGTTCCCGCCGAGAAAACTGGTCTATCAGTCCAACGGACTCAGAAGTTGGGAACAGCAGATTGTGACGGTCAGATATGCTATATTGTGCTCACCTACAGACGGTGGGCGAGGTGTTAACTACCTCGCCTGATATGCAGGAGGTTGTGGGTTCGATCCTGACCCTGACGCCTGCTGTGTATTTGGAGTTTGTATGTTTCTCTGGGTCCTTCGGTTTTTCCCTCCACATTTGGAATCAACATCATGCGTTTATAGTATTTGCTACTGTTATAAATTTCCACGTGATAAGTCACTTTCATTGAGCTATCATTTGTGATAGCCAGGTCACTTCTGAAATAGAGCTATATAGCTAAGTGGGCCTTATCTAGTAAAATTTTAAAAAATAGTTAATAAAATGCGTTATTTAAATATGTATGCTTATGAACCACTGCTAACACATTCCTTTCGTTCCCTTGTATGCCCAGAAATGAAACTAGGGGTCTCTGGGCTCGTCACTCTATCATCATTTGTTGTCCTTCCCCCGCACCTCCGATTGGCTACGTACGGTGAGAAAGAAGTTCAACATGCATACACACACACACACTTGGGTATTTGGCCACGCACACGGCAATGCTGGTCTATCGGTCAATTCGACTTGGAAGTTGGGTAACGGCACTTGTGCTCATCTACGAGACGGTCCGTATGATGTACCCTCATGAAGAACTCCCTCTGGTCGTTGCCGGCGCGAATGAAGAAGGTGTAGTAGGCGCCGGGGTAGCGCGTCGTGGCCTGCATCTGGAAGATGTCGGTGGGCACGGTGCGCTCCGAGCGCAGGTGCATGTGCTTGTAGAGGACGGTGTACGGCTTGTTGATGCACGTGTTCTTCTCGCTGGGGCACACACAGCGGCTGGCGCGGGGCGGAGGTGGCCGCGGCATCATCGTCGTCGTCACGAAGAGCGGGAAGGCGGAGGCAAGGCAGGAAGACGGCGATTCGTTAGGGAACATGCCTCGGCCACGATTGCTCTCGGGATAATGTGTTTTCACGACGTGCTCAGCTCAAAATATCGCGTTGTACGATGTGGCGATCGTGGCAATTTCGTGAAAAGTGTTTTACAGCTTCATCGTATTCGTTGCGCTTTGCAGTGCTTCTAGCATTAATTAAGGTTACTTAAACGTTATTGAACCGCAGTTTATTCAACGTATGTCTGTCGTTTTTCTTCTTATCCTTGAGACTTTACGATCTGTAAGGCTTAGAATGCACATGCTGCCAATTACACTGGGAATAATGAAGTAATTCGATTCACTATAAAAATGCCATAATCACAATGCCGTCAAGTACTCTGAAAAAGACTGGTTCAGATATCAATCTAACACTGCCTTGTGAATAGCTTTTTTCATGTAATTGATTAATAATTTTGGTAATGGGTCTCTTGGCGTTGTGTAAAAATGCCCAGAGAGCCATTGCCCTAAATGTTAGCCCAGCGTCCGTGGCAAATCAACAACGTCACTCGTTTAGAGTGTTTGGGCTGCTACAGGGACTCCTCCTCCACTCACGAACTTTCAGAGGTACGAACAAACCTGTCCGTACGTCCAGTTGCCTGTTCGGACCGAATGTCGCCAAGTTCAACCGCACCACGCAATAGATATAGCGGTGGTGGCATCTATATCCGCAGAACGTGAAGAACCGGTAGCATCTACGTCTACAGGAGATTGTACAACTTTTCAAGCCATTCCCCGTGTTTAGTGTACACGCCGTACAATATGTTTGGAATCGACAGGAGTAAAGTTGGACTTAGGAATAAATCGACTTACGAACAGACCTCTGGATCGTTCCTCGTTTGTGAGTAGAGGAGTCCTTGTATACAATGTCCACGCGATAAGCCACTTCATTAAGCTATCTTTTGTGGCCAGGTCGCTTGTGAAAAAGAGCTGTATAGCTCACTGGGCCTTATTTGGTAATATAAAAGTAGTGACTAAAATGCCTTTTTTAAGTTGTATGCTTATGAACCACTGCCAACACATTCCCTTCGTTCCCTTGTATGCCCAGAAATGTAAGTAGGGGTCTCTGGGCTCTTCACGCTATCATTATTTCATGTTCTTTCCCCGCACCTCCGATTATCTGTGTACGGTGCGAAAGAAGTTCTACACACACACACACACTTGAGCATGTGACCACGCACACGGCAGTCCGGTGTTGTGTACTTCGGTGTGAGGCAGACTCACTCCTCGCCAGCCTGAGTGTACGGCTCCTCGCACTGCAATTTCTCCAGGCACTTGTAGCCACCGAAGACGTTGTAGCAGTTCTCATTCCCCGTGCAGTTGTGCGAGTTCGTCGCACACTCATCGACATCTGCGGTCGAGACGGCGGCGTTTCAGAGAGGGCATCCGACAGGGTGGTCGTCAAGTCATCACGAAGGTGTCTCCCGAGAATCGGCAGTGCCCAAAATAGATGGGTAGAGTGAGGCGACCGTGGCGCCCACGGTGGCTAGGAGATGTTAACTACCTCGCCTGGTATACAGGAGGTCGTGGAGTTTGCAGTGTCTCTCTCATCATCATCACGGTGGCTCGGCGATGTTAACTACCCCGCCTGGTATACAGGAGGCCGTGGGTTCGATCGCGACCCTGACACCTGCTGCTGCTGTATATTCGGAGTCTGCGTGTTCTCCCGTGGATATTTCTCCGGTTCCTCCGGTTTTGCCCTTCACATTTAGAATCAACATCACGCGTTTAGAGTATTTGGGTTGCTATAAATATCCACGTGATGATAAGCCCACTTCGTTTAGCTCTCATTTGTGGCTAGGTCGCTTCTAAAAAAAAAAGAGCTGTATAGCTCAGTGGGCCTTTCCTGGTAAAAAAAAAAAGTTTAGTTCAATGAGTTTGTCCCGTGCCGTGTCGCCCGCCCGTACCGCGGCAACTCCCGTTGTCCGTCTGAAGCTGGTATCCGCCGGGGCAGCTGCAGGAGTAGGACCCCGCGTTGTTGTTGCAGCGGTACTGGCACAGGTAGTCGGAGTAGCTGCACTCGTCCACATCTGGCAGGGTGCGAAGTTCCGGCGCAGGTCAAACAAGCCGGGGCTGGGGCGATGCCAGCGGTGCCGAGCGAGTGCTCGGCCTCTCGGGCGAGCTCAAGCGATAGGCCGCCGGGATCAAAAAAGAGCTTCGTGGCTCATCGGATTGCTCCGGTCTAAAATAAAGATTCTGATTGTGAAGTTTCCCATAGCTACGTGCTCAAACTTATCTGTTTAACCAGGTGCAAACTCGACGGTTGACCTGGGTTCACGCACGGTTCATGCGTTGCTCGTGACAATCACCGACAACGAAATTTCCCTTCAATTGCCCGGGTGGGCCGTGGCCTCCGTGCTCATGCCCCGAGCACGTGGCGCGGCACGTGGCCGCACGTGGCGCGGCACGTGGCCGGGTTTTGTAAGCGTCTGGGTGATGAGCGGAAGCACAAAGCGGCGGTTACCTTTGCAGGTTAATCCGTCGCCGTCTAACACAAAGCCAGGGGAGCAGCGACAGAGGAAAGAGCCGTAGGTGTTGAAGCAGAGCTGGCTGCACGGGCTGCCCTCCACACACTCATCCACATCTGGCAGGGGTGTGATGCAGGGGGGGGGGGAATGGGGGGGGGGGGGCGTTGGAAGGAAAGCGTTGAGCCAATTCGTTAATTGTTTCCGCTTACATCTCAGGTACGGAAACAAAGGCTCGATGGTGTTATCGGGTGAAGCATTGTTTGTGACAACTCAGAGGGAGGAAAAGCCACACTCGGGCGGTGGGTAGCGGCCCTCGGAATCAACGTCAAGAGGCGACTCCCAATGTCTCCCCTGCAGGGCTGTTCACTCGTGTAAATGTTTTAACGCCGAAGCACAATGACGGAACTAAACACATTGTGTGTGTGTGTTGAACTTCTTTCGCACCGTACGTAGCCGACCGTGCCGATCGGAGGTGCGGGGGATAGGACAACAAACTAAACACAAAAAGGCACGTTGTTGGGTAAAACAACAACAAAAAACAGCGTGGAGTTAAAACACATTTCAAGGACACCACGAGATATCTTTAGCGCAGCTCGGTATATTATCGATTGGCCATATCCGCGGACACACGTCCAGTGCGCTGAACCATCGCACCACGGCAGCATCCCCGCTGCCTACGTCGGTGCTCGCGAGCGGCACTTGGACCCCCGTGCGGACGACTCGCGTCCAACTTTCCGAACCCAGACCCGGCCGTAGCGTGGGTGGGGAGCCAACCGGGGGCCCCACCCCCCTCTGTCTGCCGACCACTGACCCTCGCAGGAGCGGTTGTTGGAGGAGAGCACGTATCCCGGGCTGCACTGGCACGTGTAGGAGCCCTGCGTGTTCACGCAGCCCTGGGCGCACATCCCGTAGCGGCACTCGTCAATATCTGCACCAGCACAGAAGGCGGCCCGCACACGCGCGCCATCTCAACAGCCGCGACGACGCTCCGTGTCCACGACGCTACGTAATTGCGACGATTTTTTTTGTTTGACTTTGATGAAGAAGAAATTCTCCTCCTCCTTCTTCTTCTTCTTCCGCTAAGAGGTCACGCCGCGCGTTGTCGTCGTCGTTGTTGTTCGCGCCGAGCGGCGTCCGACGTTTCGCGTCCGCGGTGGGAGCTTCTGCGCGGAGCTGGATTGTAGAAAAACCTGCAGAAGCGCTCAGGAGAGAAGCTCCTCGTTTCGTGTTGTTGGGGAACAGTGGCGGACCAAAGGGGGAGGGAAGGAAGGAAGGTGGCAAAGAGAGTGATAGCCCCCGTGCCCTCCCCCGATAATGGAAGATCCAATAGCATACCAGCACCTACCTTATTACGGACCAATTCAGACCTTATTGGTCACCCCGTGCTCCTTTTAAATCTCAACGTTCATCTTACAAAGTCCCATCACAAGGGAGACACACAAACAAATAGACTTTTTTGTGTTGTTGCCCGTATTGAAACGGCTGTCAACCGAGGTATGCAGTCGACTTGCGTGTGTCTCGTGAGTAAAATGGAAAGTGGTACCTAATTATTCAAAAAGGGACAAGCACTGTACAATAAGTTATGAATGGCAATTAATTTACAGCTCCGTTTCAATCCGCTGCTGGATAAAGATCTCCTCCAGACCGTGTCAGTCATGCAGTTTGTTTGACCATACTTCACCACGCTGGTCAGTGCGGATTGGTAAAGGGGAGTTTCGGATATCACCTCGCCACTGATGTGAGCCACGTTGGTGAATTGAACCCAGGGTTCGAAACGCTGTGGACAAACCACTGTATAGTGTACACATTTAGATCATGTGTATATTTTCTCAGACTAATGTTTGCAATTTCCATGGATCTTAATTTCTCAGGGAGTGATGGAAAATACACATTTGCAGCACTTGTCACCCACAGACAAAGTCACAGACACAGAGACGGTCTTGACCATACAATGACTTCTGCTGTAGTCCCTAGCGGTTTTCCAGCAGAGGAATTGACAGCTCCGTTTAAACAGCTTGTGGTATTTCCGTGTTTTCCAAGACGCAGGGAGAAATATAGGACTTGGCTCTGTTGAAAGCCATCACTGTTTCCTATGTTAATCCTGATTCAAATGCGTAACAAAATACACACCTGGCGTGGAGGTAGTTCATATGCACAGAGGGAACATGTGCAAATCATTTGTAAAAGTTAATTTATATCGTTTTTTATGCAGTATACATTTCCTAGTGGAGTGATTGATCTATTTCGCCATTGCGTTATTTTAAAAAATTCCAGCGGACTGTGTACGGCCCTTGCTCATTCACGTCACTGTGCATCGGCACAAACATTAATCAGCATAGGGCCATTAAACTTCATCGTTGCTTATTTGTGCGAGGCGAATTTTTAGTTTACGCGCATTTGCAGGTGTGTTACTTATAAATCAATGACATTGTAATCAGTGCCGGATTAAGCGAGTGTGGGGCCTGTAGCATATGTTATAAATGGGCCCAAATAGAAAAAAACAAGAATATTAAAATACACATGTTTTACTTGTATAATAAAGTAATTGTATTTTTTCATTTGCTATACAGCCAGATAATGCGACAAATCGCTAACCTTAAACACCCAGTCGTTCATGAAAGTTGAATGCAGTATAGTACTACAGTAATAGAGCAAGTGCAGAATCACTGAACCGGAATTGATAGCTTGAAAGCATTTAGCGCGGGGCCCTTGAAAGTGCGGGGTCCGTAGCATATGTAGCTACTTTTACTACGAGGAGAATCCGGCACTTATTGTAATCCTCCAAAGGTGCGGACGGCGATCGCACTCCTCACTCGCGCCACTGCCGTTGACGAGGGCCCGTCCGGTAGAGGGCGCCCTACAGAACTCCTCCACAGGATTTTTGGGTTCAATCAGAATATTTTATTGAAGACTGGAGGAATCCGACGAGCTGTGAAGCTCTTTTTCACTGATGTCCAGTAGGGACGGGTCTGAAAGTTAGGATCGTACCTCAAGGTGTCTTCGTGCAAACAAAAGTGGCTTCGCGTGATGCCACGTGACGTCGCGTGTAAGACTCAATTAGATTTAGTTTTGCTTTTGGGCTTAAATCTGAAAATCGGGAACAAATATTAATTGTTTTCGAGCGGTGCCCTCCTGCCGTAATGACAGTGACCTTCGCTTGTCCATGGCGCTTGCGTGCCTCAGCAACTCAAAGCGGCAGTGCATCCCATCTCACCTCAAACTATTCAAACGGAACCCCCCCCCCCCTCCCATTTGGGGCACATTTGGGCTCATGGTCTTACACAGACTTAACTATGTCCGACTGTTTTTTATTTTATTTTACCAGGTAAGGCCCACTGAGCTGTCGAGCTGTTTTCAGAAGCGACCTGGCTATCTCATACGATAGCTCAACGAAACGGCTTTTCATTCAGCGGGAATTTATAGCAGCCAAAATACTCTGAATGCACGATTGTAAATGTGGAGGGAAAAACTAGAGGAACTGCAGAAAATTCCACGCGACCACGGGGAGAGAGAGAGAGCGAGAGAGACACGCAAACTCCAAATATACAGCAGCAGGCGTCAGGGCCGGGATCGGGATCTAACCCACGACCTCCTGTATACCGGGCGAGCTAGTTAACATCTCCTAGCCACGGTGAGACCCCCAGAACTTACCCACGCACTGGCCCGCCACCATCTGGTATCCCTCCGGGCAGCGGCACGTGTAGCTGCCGGGCGCGTTGGTGCAAACCTGGTTGGGCCGACAGCGGTGTGAGCTGGTCGCGCACTCGTCCACGTCTGTCTCACGCACACACGCACGGCAAAAAGGTCACGGCTCGCTCAGACTCGCCGTACGATCCCAACGCGTGGACGTGGGACGCGCGGGACTGCGGTGACGCATTCAGGCACGAGCGGAGTGAGCTACAGCAGCTCACTTGCCCTCGCGTTATGAGGGGGCCTCTAAACACGGTGCAATATATAATTAATACAACGTTTCAAGTGTTACATATGCACATTGAACTTCTGTCGCACCGTACGTAGCCAGCCGTGCTAATTGGAGGTGCGGGGAAGGACAACAAACTCACATTCTGTTGCACATTCGCCTATATGTATACAAATATAAAGCTGACCTTCTCTGTTAGAGCAACACTTTTTATGGTAATGCAATGGGGGGCTCCTAAGCTTCACATAGCTGAGGACCCCAGCATGTCGGAATACGGCGCCTGGCCTGAAGAGAAAGATATCGTGGACTTCTAAACAACAACAACGGTAAACAATAATAACAATAGTCGTAGGCTTTCGCGACCAATATCGTCACGACTGCGTCGGGTGGTGACGGGTTGAACGACACATTTACATTCACGCAATCTCACCCAAAAAGAAAACCTGTATTATGAACAATGGTACAGCAATACACTGAACTTACAACAACCCAGAGGTCGCCGGTTAGATTCCAACTCCCGGAGCGGCAGTCGAAATAATGGGGACACGTTTTCCTAAATCAACCAAGACCGGCACGTACTGAAGGCTTCCAAATTCAACTCGCAGATCTTCCGTGCAAAACGATCTCCCCCTTGAGCTGGAATAAGAAGCTTGCATATACTCGTGTGCTTATAACCAAAGTAGTGTGCTTGTATCAGAATTGACCCTTTGCCTCCCCCATCCCCACCGCCAGCGCAAAGTAAGCGCGTGTTGCTTAAATCAGAACTGTGCTTGTATACGGCGCGCTCATTTCTCGGCTCCCCGCTGCTGCACGTGGGTCGGGCGGGGGGGCGGGCAGCCGCCACGGTGACTCCGCGTTACACAACAACGGCTGGCGCGCCGTGGCAGCGGCTCACACGTAGGCCGGGGTCCCCGCCCAGCTGCTAACGCAACACCAACAACAACCACCAACAACAACCACAACCACCACCACCACCAACCGCGCGGGCCCGCACGTACGGGGCGCTGCCCGCAGCGTGCACGCTGGCCGCTCGCCATGCGCGGGGCTCCATCTGTGGCACCCAACCCTCGGTCGGTGACCGCTGCTGCGCTAAATGCCCCCCATTGTCTGGGGCGGTGAGAGGCGGTGGGAGGCGGCGCTGGGGGCCCTCGAGGGGCTGGAGGGCCACCAAACGGCGCCTCGCGCGCCTCGACGCAAACCCGGCCGCGGGCTGCCCGCAAGCGCACCCAGCAGAGTGACCCCCAACCAGACGCACACACGCACGCACACACACACGCGCGCGTGTGTGTGCGTGCGCACGTGCGCGCGCGCGCACAAGAAGCACGCGCGCGCATACACGCGCGGGCGAGACGCGCACGCACGCGTGTGTGTGTGCGTGCGTGCGCGTCTCGCCCGCGCGCATACACGCGCGGGCGAGACGCGCACGCACGCGTGTGTGTGTGTGTTTGTGCACCATACGTCCACAAAGATCCTCCTTTCACACGCGCAAATTATTTCCCCGAACGCCGTCGGTGGGCGAACTGTTAATGCTGGCGAGGCAACAGGCAGGGAGTGGTGTGGCAGGCATAGAGCTCACCCAGTTGCGGATGGGGGTGACTTGGGGGGCATTCAAGCGGGAGGCAGCGAAGAACCCAGAGCGGGGGAGGGAGGGGGGTTTAGAAATCCAAACGGGGCGCGCATTCACGGCCAAGAGTCTAACCTGCTTGAGGAGGGTGGAGCAATGAGATGAGCTCGCGTGTGGCAGGTCGATTATTACGCGTTTGTGGTCTAGAGAGGCGTTCATCCAGCTGCATGTCTGCACGTGCGTTGAACTTCTTTCGCACCGTACGTAGCATAACATGCTAATCGGAGGTGCGTGGGCTTGATCACGGCTCTGACGATGGACCGTGGCTGATGACGGGAATCACGGGGTCGTTAATGCGGCCGCAGTGCCAATGTTCCGTACGAAATACTATACACTGGAGATTTCGCAATAGGCAGAGCGCACACTATGGCGAGGGGGTGCGGTTCTGGATTTTACGTCGCGGGTCGCAGAGAGGGGGGGGGGGGCGATGTGACGAGCGCCGACAAACACTCGACACGCGGTCCACGCCGCCTCATCCACGGCAGTTCGCGCGAAGTGTGACTACAAAAAAAGATCTCCCGTATAGCCTTAACAGACTGTAGGGGCAAGTGCTGTTAGCGAGCACCTATAAAAGTCAGAACGGCACACGAGGGGGTGGGTGGCCAGCACCACGCCCGACCGCCTTTATCTCCCCAGTGTCGATGTTTACACACCGCACCAGGTACTCATTCGAGGCTCAGTCGACCTAGGGGAGGCCCAGGACCGGTTCAGATAATCGTCACTGGTGGTGTTGGCCGTAAGCGGGAATAGAACTCGGGTCGCCGGGTTCGTAGCGCAGCGCGCTAACCTCTACACCACCGCTCCCCACAACACCCACAACAACAACCGCCATTCGCCACTAAGTGGCGGTGACGTCACCACGACGCTTGTGCCAGGCCATGTGCACATTGAGGCCACGTGAAGTGTTGAACGCCCGCTGGCAGGAGGTCACGGGGCAGACCCAGGTGCCACGGGTCGACTGACTGAGATGACTGGCTGATGCACCACCTGTGCCCCCTACTGTGCCAACCTGCTGTGCTTTAGCCACCCGGCGCTCCGCTCGTTGTTGTGAGCGTTGCTCCTCCGCCCTCCGTTGTTGTTGGAGGGCGACTGCCTCCAACTGCCCAGTAGCGTCATTCACGAGCCTCCTCCACAGAGGCCGATCTTGACACCGCTGGTACCAGTCATCGGCAAGTCCACTCAGCTCCACGTCCTGCTGTACCACATCACTCCATCTCTTCTCTAGCCCGTGCCGCGCCCGTTTAGCCCCCTCGATCCGGCCGAACAAAAGCTGCCTCGGCATGCGGTGGCTGGGCATGCGGGCTACATGACCCAGCCAACGCAGCCTTGCCTGCCGGAGGAGCTCACCGATGGGACCTTGCCCAGATCTTTCAAGGATTTGTGAGCTCCTCACAAAATATAGCCTGGTTAAACCCAGGATGGATCGTAGGCAGGCCAGCCTAAATGTTTCTAACCGGCGAAGATGTTCCATTAAGGGGGTCCACACACACAGAGACACACACAGAGTGTACTCGAGGGATGACGCGAACCGAGCTCTCGCTTAAATCTGCAGAGGAAAAGGGAAAAACGGTCTCAGCAAGGGGCAATGTTACCAGGTAAGGCCCACTTCATATTTTTTAGAAGCGACCTGGCTACCACACATGATAGCCCGACCTTATCGTGTGGAAATCTACAGCAGCCGAATACTCAGCCAAATGGACGCGTGATGTTGATCCTAAATGTGGAGGGGGAAACCGGAGGACCCGGAGAAAAATCCACGTGTCCACGGGGAGAATAAACTCCAAATATACAGCAGCAGCAGGCTTCAGGAACGGGATCGAACCCCACCACCTCCTGCATACCAGGCGAGGTAGTTAACATCTCCCCGCCACAGCAGCGCCAACACTCGGGGCACTCACCCACGCAATGGCTCCTGGTGTCCCGCGTGTAGCCCAGCGGGCAGGACGGTAGCCCCACGCCGCCCGCGCTGCCCGCGCCCGGGTTGGACACCGCTACGCGGTGGCCGGGCACGGGAGGTTGAGGGCCGCGGTTTAGCGGCGGCGCTCCGAGACGAACGGCCGCGCCTCCTCCTCCCCCTCCTCCTCCTCCGGGCTGACGGACGCCCGGCAACGGCGGCGCCACCTGGGATGAGGTCTCACGGGCGGCAGGCTGACTGCTGCCACCGGCGCTGCTGCCGCTACCACCGCTGTTGCCACCGGCGCCGCCGAAGCTGTTGGTGACCACGAAGGTGGCGGAGCGCGGCAGGCAGAGGTAGCCCCCGTAGTGGTTCACGCACTTCATGTCGCCCTTGCACGCGTCCGGGATGGTGTCGCACTCGTTGATGTCTGAGCGCGAGGGTGCCGCGGGGGGGGAGAGGGGGGGGTTGGGAGAGGGGGGGGGGGGAGAGGGGGGTGGGAGAGGGGAGGTGGGAGAGGGGTTGGGTGGGAGAGGGGGGGTTGGAGGCTCGCCGCTCGTCGCACTTCGTTGCAACTTCACCGTCCGGGGATGCCGAGTGGCGGAGTGGCGACGTGGGCAGTCTTTGTGCGCGGGTGCCAGGTGGATCGCTGTGCTCGGAGAACCGCGAGAGGTAGCGGATAGTTTGGGGAGGCCTTCATCCAGCAGTGGATTGATCATGGTCGATGATGATTTGATTAGATTTCATCCGAAATAAAAAAGAGATTTAGCTGGGAATGTTTATTTATTTATTGCCCCGTCGCTGGGTTCTGTTTAATTGCTCCCTTTGACAACTGAGAAAAAAAATCGGCGAACTCTGGTAAATAAATAAGTAAAAATGTTGACCTCCTCGAGGCTTTCCATGATAAATAAGATAATGTATTCCACTGCTCAATGTTTGTTTACGAGGCTTGGGCCCAACAAGGTGACCGTCCAGTTAACGCGCGTGCAGGGGTCTGACAACGAGGCCGTTTGTCATTTGAAACACGCCTCGAAATCTCCCCAAAGGCGCAGAGAGAAATACATCCGTGAGATACATACTGCTTCATCCGCGAGACACATACTGCTTCATTCTGCGGGCGATCATCGCGTTTGGGCTTGCAATCCGCAGGTGCGGCAGCTGAATCCGCCAGCAGTAACAACGTGGTACAACGCAGGTTCGTGTGGAGAGTGGTAATGTGTGGGTAGCTTTAACACTTTCTGCCAAGACGTGTTGCCAGCCTGGAAGAATAGGCCAAATACCCTATATAGGGGCTCTGTAGAGATCCCTATTGCGCTCGATCAGTGACGTGGGATGTGGTGCCTGCACTGCGTTCATTCTCCCTCCCAGCTCCACCGTCGCCCCACCACCACCATCATGCTAATGATGATGATGGTGGTGGTGGTAGTGGCTTCCATACCAGAATGCCGAATGTCAGTGGTTGAAAAAAAACACAGCGAGAGTCACCCTACCTTTGCAGGTTGTCATGTCGGAGTCCAGTTCATACCCTTCAGAGCAAGGCTAAACAATGACAAAACACACACGTACAGACAATGCAATAATTTACATATTCCATGAAGGTCCTTAAGATCTTCTGATCTAAAACTGCTCAGCACTCCCAGGTCTCTAGGTTCCGCACTTTTAACGATCGGTGCTGTTGTTAACGTGGCACCCAAGCTGTGGGACGCCTCGCCACTTGGAATCAGGCAATCGGAGTCGGTAGATATTTTGAAGTCTGCTTTGAAAACCCATCTCTTGAAAGTGGCTTTCCCTCTTAAATTTTCTCGGTTGCACCTGGTTCTGTTTTTGTTTCCTGATTTTCATGCATTTCGCATTGGGATCCTCTGATGGAATGCGCATTATACATTTGAATAATTATTAGTATTATTTAAGCATACCCGTGTAACTTTAGAAGGACTTCAACGAAGTTCATCTTATTCTTAGTTCTTTCGGTAAAGTCACGTTGAAGGGAAACAATAAAATAATAATATATATATAAAACAATAAAAAGAAGTTCATCTTACCGAAGAGCAATGAACGACTAAGCATAGAACTTTGATCAAACCGTACACCAGACTGCAACGTGTCAATGAACAGAGAGGGGTTTTCCAATTCAAATGACACGTACGGTTCTTTCGGTAAAGTGACGTAGGTGGAAATAATAAAATAAAATAAATTAAAACACGACGTTTCGATTGCAACACAAGCAATCATCATCAGGTGTGACAACCACAGCAAAAAATATATTTTTTTGTTTTAATTCATTTTTATTATGTATTATTTTTTTCCACCTACGTGACTTTACCGAAAGAACCAGAGAATATGGATCCCTGCAGTCACGAAAACTTCAAATCTAGAATGACACGTACGTGTTCACGACTGTACACGTGCAATGCGTGCGTGTTTAATCCACTGCTCGATGATGGCCTCCCCACGCCCTGCTGGTCACGGGGGTTACTTGACCATACTTCACCGTGACGGCTCGTGCGAGTTGGGAGCATAGACGGTTGGATCGTAGTACAATACAACACGGAATTTTGCCGCACCGCTGTCTGCTGACACCGTGAGCCCACAGCAGCCTATAGCACCTGTTTTACGACCGATGGTCACCCACGCGAGAACGATCCAGGCTCAAGGCCTGATTATTATCCGCCGATTGCCGTGGAACTTGGAATGGACCCGGTTCTGTTCCGATTGTACACCGGCGTTGCGTTCAAAGGAGATTTCACTGCCGCAATCAACTTCGTCGGCTGCTCCACGATTTAAAAAAATAATAATAGAGGCATGCAAAGTATGTGGCCGGTTTCAATTAATGTAAGATATCTACTGAGTCGTTGCTCTGTGAGCGGCCCCGTGGGCCACACGCCGTGGCAACATTCAGAATGACTCGGAATGTAGCAGCCGCTTGCCATGTGACACGACCGAGATGAGTTTTGTGTTCATTTATTATTTTACTCGACGGCACGTGACTGAATAATGAAAAGTAACATCACCAATGCGCCCGGAGAGGATCGTGATTTTTTTCCCGGCGCGTTAGCACCTGGCGTGCCAGCGAACGGTGGAACAAAAATAACCCCACGGCCGTTTGATAGAAATGGAACAAAACAACGAAAGGATGCAGCAACAACAACACACGGAAAGATGCCTTCATCCAGCAGTGGATTGATCATGACTGCTGCTGATGATGATAATCGAATACATTATCGTGCTGACAGCCGAAATGTGGGGGGGGCTATTTTTTCAGTAGCCGCAGAAGATCGCTCACTCTTCCGGCTATAAATAACGCTGTGTCGAACGCCGTGACAATTTCGTTGTGCGCGTGCGCATCCAATGCGATGGCCTTAATAACGAGGTGCGAATTGTGTCACGGGGCATAGCCGTAGCAACAGAAGTACGTGCGCGCGTGCAGTCAACCAGAATCTGTAGGATGTGATGGCGAACCCTAAGTGTGGACACATCGACAACTCACCAAAACTACATCCCGATCTGAGTATCTTCTCGCCTACAGGACGTGAGCTTTTTGTTATTCCTTCCAGTATCTTCCGGCAAGCAGATGCAACGTGCATGCGAGAATTCGTGTACAAATACGTGTACAGCCCTTTGTCAATGCACTGCTGGATGAGAGCCTCTTTATACACTATGAGTCTTCAGGGCCGTCCATAACGCGTGGGGTGGGCGGTGTGCGGGGCCCGAGGCAAACCCCACCGCGTGGAAGCCCCCAACGCCTTCAAACTAAAGCGGAAGTGTTACATCATCTGACGCCCCCCCCCCCCGAAAGTGCGGGGCCCAGGGCGGTCGGCCCTATTCGCCGTGTACCCTAGGGACGGCTCTGCGGGGTTCGGGAGGTTATCTGACCCTACTTCACCTGCTCTGGTTCAGCGCGGGTTGGTGAAGGTGTGGCCGCAAAGATGTGGACACACAGAGGTGCAGTGCAGTAATACGGTGTTGCTGCACTGCCAATCGCCTAGCTCTGTATACATGTGGGTCGTCCATCCAAGTACCGTTCAGGCTGATACCTGCTAAGTTTCTTAGACCGCATTCCGCGAGATTTGACCATAAGTATGAAGTTCATAAAGGGAGGGGCATATTTTTGAATGTGTACAAGCTAGCCTGAGGGTTGAACTATATTGGTATTGTCATTATAAGTGGACTTATGCCTTTCACATGAATGTCACGGGGTACGTTACACACAACTGCAGAAAGTATTGTTTTAAAACGAACCATTGTAGCTGACACAGTCCTCTCAGTTAACTGGATTTTCAAAGCCAGGCCTCAGCAGTGTCTGCTCGACACCCTGTGTGTATGTTGAACTTATTTTGCGCAGTACGTAGCCAACCCTGACCTCTGAGCCACCCCAGTGGTTTAAACAAAAAATAAGTTCACTTTCTAACTGGAACTGGTGGCACATCTGCAAATAATCGTAAACAGAAAAAAAATACACTGCTGCAACTACTTTGGCAAAAACAGATTTTCAACTCCTGACAGTGTCTATTTGGCAATATACTCCCTCTGTACCAGCCGACTTTCACAATCAGATATTTAAAATTACATTAACAAATACCATTTTGGGCCACGTTCGTATGTTAAGTGCAAGCCAGTGCAAGCCAGTACTATGCCCAGGGTCATTTGTTTTCTGGACTGCGTGAATAAAATGTCATTACCCGAGCGAGCTGGGCCATCATTCCTCCCTCCAACAACCCCTCTCTGGCGTGTCATGAGCTGCGATACTGCACTCCGTCCACCAGGATAGGCTGTGCATCTCTAATTAAGATGTGCACAGTGACACATGTAGGTCGTGATTTTGTTTTAACATAGGTCAAAGGTCGTATGTTTGTGCATTGTTCAGGATGAATACCGTTCTTCGCTGGTTCCTTCTGGTAAAAAAACGAGCATTTACTAAACTCTCCACAGTTAACATTACTCAAGTAAGAGCTGTGACTGACAGATTGAGGTTTCCCACATATAAGGATAGAATAGGCCAAACGTATACTGTTCGAGAAAATGATACGTGATAGCATTGGAGCGATTGCTTAGGCTTTGAAAACAATGATCGCACGTTGCATTACAGTCGTACATACATATATACATACTCTATTGTATAATCACAGATTTGTTCGTGTGGCAGGTGACTCTCTCATCCATCAGTGGATTGACAATGGCTGATAATGGTTGATGATGATGCTGATGATGGTTGATGGTGATGATGGTGATGATGACTAAAACCCGCCTGGTTCCTCACCATGTATGTGAGCGGAGGATCTGGCTGCTGAGCGAGAGCTGTCACTGCGAATGAGGCCACCAGCAGCAGCAGCAGCGAGCACGGGCACAGCGTTCCCATCTCGAGAGAGGCTTTGAGTCACTGTGAATGGGGAGAACACGGGGACGTTATACATCCTGCTCAAGCCCTGTCTGGGTATGGCTTCCAGATGGTGTTCAAAATGCATTACCCAAGCTGCCTCACGAAGCATTTGAAGTGTCTAAGGGAACTTTTTTTTCCAGTATCAAAAATGAAAGGAGGGATAAAATCTAAGTAGAGGTTTTACCCCTTTCTGGCAAATAAAATAAGAGTTATATTAAGATGTTTAAACACCAAATGGATAACTTTTATAAGGCATCAAGTCTCCATTAACAACACGTGCTTGTGGCAAAAACATACAAGCAATCATGGCTCTGATAATATATGCATCGCATTTGAAAGTCGTTGGCCTACAGCTCTATTTTGAAATTTATTTTTTTTACCATTTGAAGTGAGGTTTGCGTGGCCGCTGCCGCTTCGTGGCCGCTCACCACGAGCCCCATTGTGTTGACACAGCTGCACGGCGATTCCTGCAGGCTGCGTTGTAAATTTGGACTCTCATCTTCCCGTGACATTGCTTACCAATAGAGGCCACGTTTGTTTTTTGCTATTAGGCGATCAACATACACAGGACGGATGGGCGACGGAAGAGAGATTTGTAGCGAAAGGAGGGCGCGTGGCCGAGAGGATGATCACCACGGGGATGATGGAGTGAGTCCAGGCGTGAGATGGACCTGTGGCATCGCAGCACCACGAGGGATGGAGACGGTGCAACCGGTCGCGGTTATACTACGTTACCCACGTGCGCGGCCAAACTGTTATTCTTGTTAATTAATAACATACGGTACGTTTCATCAATGTCATTAAGTGCACATAATTCGCGCTGTTATATGCAATGTTGTGATGAGTATTGACGGATGAGAGGTGGTTGAGAACTTGTCTCCGCGTACTTGTTGTGCTGTAGCTTGGTGCCACCTTATCCTCAAGAGAGAGAAAGTCCATCGTAGAGGTGGCGTTTCAGCGGCTGTTGACTAATGTGTCGAGTTTTGTTGTTGTTGTTGTTTGTGCACCATTGCCAAGGCAACAGCAGCAGCAGCTTCGCCAGGTAAATTTACCACGGAGAGGATTCGTTCTGTAAGTATCCACGATGTGCGTGCTGATTTTCCAGTGTGAGTGGTAGCTTTAGAATGTCAGAGCATGGATCCAAATCAGTCAGAGTGAACTCTGGTTCAAGGGAATTGGACAAACATCCCAATTAGGACACTTATTAAATTGCCTCCAGAAGACGAGGCTTTCGCGGTTAAACGAATGTTCATTATTATTAAATGAGGTACAGTCGTTAATATGAACATGCAGATGCATATATCCGATGCACGTCTGGGGTGTAAATTTGGCAGGAAGGTGGTTTCTGCAAACACGATAATTAGATTATGTGGAGTTATTTGTGGTCAACATTCAATAGCGTTACTTCAAGGTCATACGTTAACTCTGTTACATTGGGGTGTAATGTTGATGTGTGTGTCCTGAAATGTGACAATAAACCGTGTAATTGCTACCACATAGCGCGTGATAATACCGACTCGAATATACTCAAACGCGTTTACGAGTCATCATCGTCGCTGCCAATGACGATCGCTGCTGATATCATTCCCCTGCAGATCTTAGGCCTTTTCACGGACAAGGAAAAGCTGTAGTACACACTCACATTTTGCATTCCAACTTTAGTTTATGAACGGTATTTTAATTTTCTCAACCGAGCCGCGAGATCGTATATTATTTTTTGGACGATTTAATGCAAACTGCAAAAAAACAACCCCATGTATAGCAAGGGGCATTGAACAACTTAACATGTTTCGATTTAAAGCTTTCGTGACTGCAGGGATTCATATTCTTGGTTCTTTCGGTAAAGTCACGTACGTACGTCACGTACGTACGTCACATACGTGACTTTACCGAAAGAACCAAGAATAGGAACTTAACATGTCCTACATTATGCACACTATATATATCTTGCGGAGAAGCATCAATGTCGTGCTTGGTTGTAAACTATAGCGGCTCCTAGAGAGTGAAGTGTGAATATGGATGGCAGGATGAAAGCAGCATCCATTGCATAATCAGCACCACCACATTTGAAATTCACATTTTTCACAAGAATAATAATATTGAGCCCTTTTGGATGGTCTGCCCACAGGCCCAGCCGGTAGCGCGCTCGCCGCTTGTTGCAGAAGTCCGCGGTTCGAATGCAGCATCCACCCTGATTAATACTGCGGTCTGCATAATTCCTATTACGATACTACGTGCCCTCAGCTTCGCGGTGGACGTTACAGATCCCGTGACACCATTCACAAGAGGAGGCCCTTGCGTGCCAGTCCAACCTTGCCATATTCGAAATGACACAACCGATTACTCAATCGGGATTATACATAGCAATTGGTGCCCACTGTTGGCAGACTAATGTCCCAGGTCGCTCTTGCACATTAGACTATTCTCGTGAATTGTGTTGGCACCTGGTTAAACGAAATTTACTTGAAATTGATCACTGGATTTGCTTTTACCATACCTCACCACGCCGGTCAATGAGGTTTGGTGTGTGGGGGTCCAGGACTGGTTTTGATATAACTCGACACTTATGTCAGATATAGCCGGGAAATCAAACTCAGGTAGCAGGGCTCATAGCGCGGTGCGTTAACTCGTTTGCCATTACTCCTCCCCATAATTTTAATAGCTACTAAAAATTGTATATAACAAAGACAAAGATCTTCCGTAGAGCCTTAACAGACTGTCGGGGCCAAGCGCTGTTAGTGAGTAGCGCAGATGAAGGCCGGCACGGCACACGAGGAGGTGGGCAGCTAGCACCACGCCCGGCCGCCTTTGTCTCCCCAGTGGCGATGTTTACTACACACCGCACCAGGTACTCATTCGAAGCTGAGTCGACCTCGGGGGAGGCCCAGGACCGGTTCAGATATTTGCCACCGATTTTGGCCGTGAGCGGGAATTGAACTCGGTTCGCCGGGTTCGTATCGCAGTGCCCTAACAGCTACACTACCGGTAGTGTCTTCAAACTATTACACACACATACGCACAATAGGGCATGTCCAAGAGCATTCCACAACATATTCGCGGGTTATGGCATTACTTTCCAAATCGACCCCGGCTCAAAGGATCCCGATGGCACGTGTTCTGCGTTAGCTCCTTTATTGTAAATAAAACAGCGCCAGATGACAGCCGGCAATGGTGCGCGCGGGGGTGGTTGTCGTCCGCTGGTTGGACCATTCCCACACCACCGAGCAGCCGCCAAGCGATGGACTCCCCAGGCACACAATGCACATCACCCAATACATCAGAGCAATAGACCCGTCTGTTTTAAAACGAGCAACGTGCCGCCAAATACAATGCGAAAGCTGGGTACATTGAGTCCTACGATTCATATGAATTGCTATCACTCTCAGGGTATAGAGGTGCAGCCCTTAAATGTTCCTGTTCACGCTACTGCTGGCGGCAAGGACCTCCACGAGAGGGGAGCCCGAGAGAGTCCCTCTAATCTTCCACGCTGCCCAGACATCTTGGAGGAGGTGGAAGTAGCTTAGCTTTACTCCGCCAATCGACGTATAACTGTGGCGAACCCATCTATACTGCTGGTGCAGACAGAGGCCGCGGGATTTAAGAAATGCGCACCTCTGCCTCAACTGCCGCGCCGGGACATCGAACCGATTGCAAGTCCTCATTACACCAGGGCTGCATCCCCACCGTAAGTGTAGCGCGATTTGAAAATAATTCCTCCGCAAACGCAACGGCAAATAACACCGCAACAGTCTCCGCATTCTGCAGCGAAGCCACGTGCTTACCAGATGTTGATGGTCTTGGTTCACAGCAGAGCTCCTTCTGAAGCGAGATGCTGGGACGCAGAACGAGGTCGTCAAACAAAAAAAACAGATTCAAGGAGCCACGGCCTGAACGAGAGACGTGAAGTCGTTCCTTTGCTTCGTTCCCTTCGAGATTCCGAGAGACTCCACCGAGCAGACGCGTCAAAATGATCGACTTTAGTAACTACTATTGTAATAATATAAATAAAAAAACTAGGCTTCTCGGTGCACGTGGGTTGTACTAATTTGAACACAGCCCTTCTATTTGCAGCGTTGTATTTAAAGTTTAGCGGTGGTATATATTTTTTTGCAAAAACAGTCCAAAGTTCGTGATATTTACTTTTAATCGTATCTACGGGGATCTATTTTTCTGTTCTGCGTTCCTTTGTAAAATAATAACAACTTTACAGCTTACTTAGTTCAATCAAATTATCTGGATGCAGCTCGCTGTCGTTCGTTTATTGCTTGTCAGGGTTTTTTTTTTGTGTCGAGGGTGGCAATGGTGTACGGGTGGGCGATGGTTGTCCCTGTTCTTGGCCCTCTTGCGTGTTCCTCGCTATGCGCCGAGACTGGCGAGAGTGGGCGTTAGGGGCCACCTTTATACCACCGCGCTCCCCTCTCGCCAACTGGCAGAGCCCTCCCCATCTGGTTTCACTCAATCTCGCTCCCTCTCTCGCTCTCTCTCTCTCGCTCTCTCCCCCTCGCTTCGCTGGAATGCCAAAAAATGGTCTGGGCCACCATCCTGAGCCCTCCTCCTCATCACGGACAGCGCGCGTTCTATCGGATGTGTCGCAAGTTTTCGAAAGGCCGCCCATATGCGCGCGCGCGCGTGTGGGTATGTGTGTGTGCTGGCGTCTGCAGCGGGTATTGCAATTTGTGGTGGAAATGAATGTAGTGATAATAATATGGTCGTGAGTGAATACCAATAATAATTACTCTGGGATAAAACCAGCCTAACGAACTAACACCCGTCGGCACGCAGATTGTACGGGTGCCGGGTTTTTCTTTCGTTTGGTTATAGAAAGTGTGAGACCGCCCTTTGAATTAGCGGCCCAAGCCGATGTGTAAATGTTTTCGTTGGAGACCCCTGGGCGCGCTGTGATGTATGAACGCTCTGTGGCCAGGGTTACGCGCGCCTGGCCAAGAAAACTCATGGGCTGGAGCGTTACATACTGACCCACAGTATGTGGCTGATTACCTTTCGCTGCATGTTAGTGGCAGGTAGTGTATGTAATGTGTACGTTACGTCACGCGGCTTACGCAAGTGCGCCGTCACTCGACACGTTGAAAAACATTTTACGTCCAAACTCCTGGGACCTCTGGAAGGAAACGAACACAGCTCATAAAATTACTGTACTCCGAACTTGGGCATTGCATGGGGCCACAGTGGGTCTGATTTGTCTAACCATACATCTTCTATGTGAGCGTTCAACTATGCACGACCCTCGGTTTATATCCACAACCATATAGACCTCTAGTTAATTATGCCATTGATGATTATTCATTATTACATAATTAAGTTTAAGTGAATAATAATAATTACTATTATTACTTACAGCCCTTTGTCGATCCACTACTGAATGAAGGCTTCGACACACTGTTGCAATATCGGGAATTCTTTGACCATACTTTACCAGGCTGGCCCCGTGAGAGGGATTGCCAGAACCGGTTCAGATATCAATTACCACTGATATTAGTCACGGCGGGGAATCGACCTCATGTAATGCTGTCTGGGTCATGGCAGAGTGCAATGACCACTGCACTACTTCTCAACACCGTGCATGCAATCCACGTGGAGTACGACTTCTAAGCAGCGTCAGACAGTCGCTCATCTTCTCCGTTAGCACCCCTGAACCACTGTTGGAACATTCCACAGCTCAGTAACCTGCGCGGCAAATTGAATCAATCGGTGCAAGTTTATTATCTCCTCTGTCTTTTTCCGCCGAGCAGTGTAAGTGGATACAGCTCAGTTTATCGGCAGCTCGCGTGTGGTTGGGTAAAGTGCGAGTACTTCCACCCCTTTGAGCCGGCAGTTGCAGGGATGCGCCTTTACCTTTACCGGGAGGTCGCGCCCACCGCTGAACCGATTTACACGAAGCTCATGGCTCGTTTAGGACTGCCACTCTGGAACTCCCGCAGGTCTTTGACATCAAACACACGCTGTCCGCTGTAGCGATACACTGTGACATTACTACTATACAATTTGAGTGCCTAAATGATTTGTGACCGTACATAACTGGGTATCCCAGATCTGTGTATGTATCTTGAACTCATTTCGCACCGTACGTATCCAAACGTGCTAGTGTGTCCCTGCCGTCTATCACACGATACAACTCTGAGTATTCTTCGAGTTCTCAAATTTTCCACGACATACCAAACAGTCATTAATGGACTTTGACAAACATCTAAATAGAGACATTTAATAAAATATGTTGCGACTCAGTGAAGCTTCCATGGATAAACAAATAATAGAATAAATGTATTATAGCATTGTGTGTCGACTGCGTGCATCACAATTGATCACACAATTTGATATGCGTATACTCACACACATAGCATGCACGGTGGGGCTTTAACACTGCATTCAAAGTTATGTTTCTGCTCCAAAGTATCTCGTCCTGCAAACAAGAGTGGAATCACCTCTCACATAAATACTATGTAGATATCAACTGTGGACTCGTGTGTGTTGCAATATAGGTTTTAGGTGCAGCGACGAATATTGAAGTCATGTTTTGCTTGGATGCGTGTAGAATTGTACCGGTTGTGTTTTAATAACGCCACGGAAACTGATGCACGGCTTTCTTCTTCAGACTGACTAAATAAACACGAGACAACTTTAGAGAAGAGAAAACAAATCTGTGAATGCCATAAAAACTAAAGTTCCTTGGCAGCTGTTAATCCCCGAGCGCAAACTGTGGAATGTGACAGTCGGATCCACGGTTGTCCCTTGAGACTGAGCGGGGTTGAGAGTTCTCGGCAGCTTCAATTACCTCCAACATCCGTTTAATTACCACTATCTGAATAGCCAACGCTAACAACGAAAGTATAATTTCATATATATAAAAAAAAATCCAAAATCGTATGGTTGGACGTTCGGTAAATCCTGTCGGTCTTGGGGGAAAAAAACTTTGGAAATTTTAAAATTGACGGAGTTAAAGCTCGCTGAGATATTTCAGATTGTGCAGAGCGTGATCTTCGGCACGAAGTTGGACGTTTTACTCCTCGCGCTGAGAGCTTCTTCTGCAACTCCAACAATCTCCCAGCGTGTAGGAGCAGATCGTTCACAGGGCCTTTAACAGTCCTGTAGGCCTACTCACTCTTACATGAGTACCTGGTGCAGTGTGAACATCAGCACTGGAGAAACAAAGGTGGCGAGGCGTGGTGCTGACCACCCATCCCCTCGTGTGCTGTTCCGGCCTTCATAGGTGCTCGCTAACAATACCTGCCCCAGCAGTTGGAGAGCCACACAATACAACCGCGATCGCCTACATACAGTAGTTGTTTGGAGTCGAGTTAGTTGATGTGGAGTCTGTGAAAATAATAACAAAATTAAAGAAGTGTTGGTAAATTGCACGATTGTAATTTATACTATTTTTCTAAACATTGCACCACAAAGCAAACCTACAACAAAAACCGACCTTGCCTTACCTAGTAAGATGAACAACGGTTTAGTTTTATTCGTATATATTTTAAAAGTTATTTGTTTACCTTTCCTATAATTTTCACTCAATGTCGTGCTTTTTGTGATGTTTGTTGTTGTAACGTTCTGACTGGCCCCTACTGGACATCTATGAAAAAGAGCTTTATAGCTCATCGGATTCCTCTTGCAGTATAAATAAATATTCTGAGTCTGAAACGTGGTACCCAAGAGGACTGCGGAGACCCTGCTGCCAATCTGGGTGACGACTGCGCTGGCTTGGGACACTTGATAGGGGCTCATTTTATAATCATTCGTTTTTTGACGCTGGCAGACAAAACATCCCAGCTCTCAATACAGATTCTAGTTCGCTGCAAAAATTCGGGTGATGCATCTTACATTCTGGTAGGTGCCTGCCTGTGTGCGTGAGCAGATGTGTAGAACTTAATTGACGCAGTGCATGCGTCTTGGGTGCGTATTATTTTCCGGAGCGTCTTAAAATGCGGAGAATACGGCATTACTACCCCTCGCGGCCAGCCGCTCCTGTTGCACAGTGTCTTAAGATATAATATTTAACACGAGTTGTATAATTCCAATTGGTTAATGTCAGATCAGTTTTACTCATCTTGCTTCGATATTTAAACAAAACACTTTTTTTGGCCATTTAGCAATCTGTCTGCGCTGTGCATTGCTCTTGAAACTTGGACAAAGGAACATGTATCGAATGCCCTGCAATAAAACGCTCACCCTGCGTGAATTATCTGCAGAACGCTGAAGCCTATCTAATCCATCCAGTCGTCTAAGCATCTGCACTACATATATGCGAGGCCTTTAAAAAAAAAAGGCACCACTCAACCGCTAAAAAACACAACTTACAGCTGTTGCCACAAGCCCAAGCATTTATGTCGTATACACAAGGCTCAACTGACCGTGGTATATAGAGGCATGCATTTGAAACGCTATAAGTTCCGCCCAGATTTATATTAACGAGTTATTTTATTTTCATATGACAGAGGAAGCAGCCCCAGCCAAAGCGAGGGTGCACACAGGGTCTTGCATTTACTTCGGGACGGGACGGGGGGGTGGAGGGGTTCGTTCCCCCTACGAGATCCCCTCCTGCTAAATGCGCCCGTTGTGTTGGGCAAATCCGCTTGCACTTTTGTCCACACCCGACGCGGAGAGACGGCCAAAGTGCGTCTCGCGTTGCCTCAATGCGGCTCCTCTCGCGCACCTCGGTGTGTGCTCGTGTGTGTGCGTGCTGTGCCGTTGCCGATGTGACGAGAGTTCGTCCATCGCCTTTCCAAAGCAACTCGCTGTTCAGGCGTCCCCATTGCGTTTTGGTAACAAACAAACAAAAAGGTTCACAGGTTCGTGAAACAGAGACATCATCACCGCCAAATTCTTGCCGATTGCCACCGATCCTTGAGAGTGGGTCTCGGCAAGATGCAGCTCTCTCATGAAATCATGGAGGGGGGGGGGGGGGGGGGGTTCTGCACAACCGAACAATTGCGTGCTTGTCACGAGAAGCAAACCGCGTGGACCATCTCCCGAGATGCCCCGCATCACGCACGACGCTGCTCCTCGAGATTTGGCAATGCCAACGCCCGAAGCGGTCGCCTGTGCAGAATGTTGGGTTGAGACAACGCGTAGCGGGTTGGACAGGAGACGCGACTGGGGAGAAGCCACCAATCCCACCTCGCCTTTGCTCGACCGTGACGGTGTTGCACTGTTAACATCTTTGACCTGAAATGTCCTTTCTCACAATAGCCTCGCATCTAACAGCAACTCGCACATCAATGTGGGTGTGTGTTTCACTGTCGTCATCCCCACCACCAACCATGATCTATCCACTACTGATTGCGAAACGCAACGCAGATTTTGTTGTTGTTATTTTTTTTTGCACGACACAATGAATGCGTTTAGAATGAGAATTTCACGGGTGGAATGATCCCCGTCCAGTCTGAAACACAAGGCATGCGTTCAGCCTTGCATTGGCTGGTGCCACTTCCTCCGTCATATGTAAACAACATATGGATACCTGTTAATATGAATTCCTGGCAGACATAGCGTGCACATGTTACACCGATATATATTCGGTGAGTTCGAGCTTTGTGTAAACTACACAACTGCCGGAGCTTGTGGATTCAGCTGTAAGTTGCGGTTCGTTGTGCCTTTTAAAGGGTCACAATAAATCAATCAGCCCGTTGATCTGGGTGCATGAAATATACAACATCATGAGTGGAATTCATCTGGACGAAGTGGCAAGAGGGGCATTGGCCTATGGTTGTGACACTCGCAGCAGTGAGAGGTGAGCCTCAGATGACCAGTGCTGTCCACAGCACGGTTGTGGGACCCAGAATATCATGCAATTACAAAAGGCAGGTGAGCCCTCGATAACCCGATAGCACCTGATTAGCACGGTTGGCTATGGATAGCACCGTTGGCTACGTACGGTGCGAAAGAAGTTCAACATTCATACATACCCATTAGCTGCTGTTCAGCGTCCTAGAAGCCACTAACCAATCACCACACAGTGAGGTGTTTTCATCAGTCGTAACGATTATGAGCGGGGAATGCTGAGACGCGTTTTAAAATGTTACTCTGCGGTCCGAATTGTTGGGTTGGCTGCTTGCGGAACGCGTTTAATGTTCTTATGTTGCAGGATATCTTTAATAGTCGCGACTAAAGGACAAAGCGGCAGCCAATCGAGCAGTTAGGGTGGGGTATATTAAGTAAAAAAGCCGGTTTTGCAAACATTCATAAACATGGAATTTGCCAAACATCCCAATGTAAAGAAACCCCTTCTGAGAGAGTCCCGAAGCTCAGTGAGGCTCCTCTTGATAAATACTGCACACGCCAACTCGTATATATACCCGTAATTGTATTAATTACATTTTGGAAATGCTGTGCATGTCCTGATCTGGGGAAGTTAAATTATAAGCACGTGGTAAAGAGCACACCGGCTGCACCGTGACGTGTCAAACGACAGAGGGAGCTATGGTTCTTCTTTTTCTGCCGTACGGCTGCCGATGTCGATGCAGAGCAACAACTCCAATGTCACATTCAGGTGGTCGAGCCCGGAGATAACCGCGTCAGGAGCCGCGGAGTGTACCATCGCCGTGATGATGTCTCCTTCGTATTTGTGGATCGGGCATTATTGCGTCGTCGTTATACGTTGTACGGTCTCTGTTCTGGACGACCACAGCCGCACACTACCGGAGAGTTTTATTTTCCATGTGTGCATCCGCCACGGTTTGTGCAGTGGATGCGGTTTAGGGTGGACCATGAGCTTTGTGGAAGATCAAACCCAGGGATCTTCTGCGTTGGGTCTTTCACAAGGTGTTCGTTTTGGGAGTTCTTTTGAACTCCGTTCAGCTCTCCAAGCTTCATTCGGGTTTGAATTCGGAGCTATGATGTCGGAACACATACCTATAACACAGGTGATAGTGAGTGTTGCCTGCCGTGAATTGACACTGACCACAGTTGTGTACGCCGCACGGCTAACATCAATGGTGAGTGACGTACGTATGTACTGTTTGTCGAACTTCTTTCGCATCGTACGTACCCAACCGTGCTAATAATGGGAGGTGAATTGGTCCTCCTCCCACTGCCCACTTCACCCAGCGTGGGATTAAAAACAACCCCCGTGGGAGTTTATCGACGCGGGGGCTGTGAAACAACAACAAATGAACAATTCCCCGATTTCAATCCCCACATTTAAGCAGGGACCCGTCGTCCCATAAATTTCTTCCCTTAATTTGTTTGAAATCAGCTTGTCTTCAAACAGCTATATATATCATGTTTGATGCCTTATACCAGTAGGAAAACATCATTGACACGTGTCCGCTAGACGACACGTAACGTCCATGTCTATTATTATCCTCCCAAAACAGATGGGGCAATCTTCTTAAAACCACCCCGCCCCCTCCCCAACACACATTTTTTTAATTCATCAAGTGACCGCTATTGTATTTCCACCGGAGCATGATAAGCAATTCCACTCAAATTAAGTTGCAACCAAAAGAAATCCCGCTATTCGTCCGGCTACGAAGACAAAAAAAGACACTCCAGGTCCACTCCGCCCGGGGTTCTACACGTGGCATAGGCCGAGCGCGGAACAAAACAGAAAGGCCGGTCACTTAATTCGGTCTTTGGAGGAGTTAAGTCCACGGCCGATTATATTATTAGTGGCCGCAATTAAAATGATTACACTCGACAGTTGGAGGCAATGTTTGACCATATACACTAATTAATTTGCGGATATCCTCTCATGTTTAGTTCTGTCAGAGAGCAATTTACGTTGATTGGGCTTGCCTTGATGCAATGCGATATATCCAGTCTTCGTGTAGGTAAGCGTCATACCTTAATAGCAATGACAATTAAACTGTGACTAGCACTACAGTCTAACATTTGGTTTAATTATATTACATTGTACTTTGTAAATATATAATTGAGAGAGCCTGTTGAGATAGACAGCGATATTATACATGACAAGAAGTCAAAAATTCCACAATAACACTGATCTGAAGAGGAGGAAATCGATAAGAGGTGCCATTGTAATGTATATTGATATTCTCTCCATATCGATCTCTCTCCTATAACGAGAGGACAACTGCCTGAAACACCCTCCATTGTTTAAGTTTTCCTCTTGAGCGCAGTACTGTTGACAAATGCGTTGAGTTTTTGTTTTCACACCCCTGCCAAATAAGTATCACATTTTTGGGATCATTAATTTTACGCAAGGATATCTCCCAACAACGGAAAACATGTAAATGCATTGCCTTGAGTGGTGTATTATTGACATTATTACGCAACTGATAAAACATTTGATCCGACGATACATTGGGAACAAATCGTGCGTCTAAGGATTGACCATTTTTGTACTCGTGTATGTGGTTTGTAATAGGGTGTAGGCAGCCCCACCATACACACACACAGCTGTTGTGAATCACCACAACATTTTTCTAAAAAAAAAAATACTCTTGAATTATAATCGTGAGCTCAAATTGCAATTGAATAGAGAAAGAGAGGGGACCAATTGGCACACTCCCACACTGTTCAATGTTGTGCGTGGGGTTTTTTGTCTGCGCGTGACTCTTGCCCTGAATTCGTGAGTCATTGCGGAGGCTGCATTTGAGGGATGAGGTTACGTAGCACGGATGACAGCACGCGTCTCGGCCGTGAGCATAGTGGGCGAGATTAGGTGGGGTCATCGTGCACCTACAATCGCAGTTATGGGGTGTGGGGTGTGAGTTCCGGGGCAGGTGTCTTTGGGAGAAAAATCAGAGGCACTGGACTGTTACTATTTGACCAGGTAAGGCCCACTTCAGCTGTCTAGCTCTTTTTCAGAAGCGGCTTGGCCACAAATGATAGCTCAACGAAGTGGCCTATCCTGTCGACATGTACAGCAGCCAAATACTCCAAACGCACGTTGATTCTAAATGTGGAGGGGAAAAAAACCAGGAGGACCCGGAGAAAAATCCACACGACCACGGGGAGAGAGACACGCAAAACTCCAAATCCACAGGCGTCAGGGTGAGGATCGAACCCACAGCCTCCCGCATCCCAGGCGAGGGAGTTACCATGTGGGACGCCGGTGCAGTGGTCCGCCCTGCACTGCACGTTGGACCCAATGACATGAGTTCAATTCCGAGCCACGGCTCACATCCGTGAGTGATATCTGAACAAGCGTGGGAACCCCTGCCCTCCTGGTGATTGCTTGTATGGGTGACCACCGGTGCATATACCAGGTGTTATAGGTGTGCGACTTCAAGGTGGGTAATAGATGGTAGTACAAAGTAAAGGGTTCACTTCGCAGATTCGTCTTTTTTTTACCAGCATCACCTATCGGAGGCGTTCCTGCTCAAGCCTCTTCCGCGGGGTGCTAACAGAGAACAGAGTTCCAGAAAACTGTGACCGTGCGTTCAGAGTTTTCTTCCTTGCAATTCCCGAGTAACCTCCGTTTCTAGAGTACAAAGCCACAATTGTCAACCCCTTATCAGTGCCCGACCTTATTACCTCATTGGTAAACCCCGTGCCCTTATAAATCTCAACGTTCATCCTACAAAGTCCCATCACAAGACAGCAACACAAATGGACCAAAACAATGTTTTTTCCCGTATTGAAACGGCCGTACGCTGTATGGACCTGAGAACTGAATTTCCTTGCTCAAGAATACGGGCTAAACCGTACGGGTTGGCAGCTATGCGAAGCCTTTGTTCAAATCGGTGCCACCATCATGGCCGGCTGCCCTCCGTGTCATCAAATTTCAACCTTCACATTGTGCGTCCTCTAGTGACCAGACTGAGAAGTTTCAGATCCCCCACGGTCAGCGTTCTCTCGGCGCGGTTTGTCAACATCCCCACTCGGGAGACAAAGGCGGCCGGTAGCGTGGTGCTGAACTCGCCACTCTCTAACAGCACTTGCCCTAACAGTCTGCTGTTCAAGGCCACACGGGGGATCGTTGTCTTTGGCAGCTATCAGCAACCACCCACGCCACCCGTAAGGCAGGCAGCCCCGCTTTAGACCATTTTTTGTTAAACAAATATTTAAAAAAACCCTGAATGTACCGTGTCACCTGCTTGTAAGGCGTTCCTTGTCTACCCCCCAACCCTAAAGCCCTCTCACTCACTCAACTCACCCCATCATTCTCCTCCCCTCGTACACACAGCCACGACCCCAAACCTCTCCCTCCCTCTCTCTCGCATCGTAACCTCCTCCTCCTACCCCCTCGCTCTCCACTGCCGTGGCCGGACACGGCGGTGGTGGTGGTAGTGGTGGTGGGGTGGTTTGCTGCTGGCGATGTCGTTGTTGTTGACTAATGGTGACTCGCTCGCGTAAAGTGTCAACCATCCTCTAGGGTTGGCAGTAGCGCTCAGTCAGCCCGCGTCATTCGTGTGTCCGGGCTGCGGGAGGAGGAGGAGAAGAAGGAGGAGGAAGGGTAGCCCGATCTCTTCGATGAACGAGCGTGGGGCACCTCTATCTCTCTCTCTATCTCTCGTCGCCAGGTGTGTGAGAAGAGGTGAGACGGGGCCGCTGCCAGTCCACGAGTGTTGAATGCTGAACCCGCGGCTCCGGGCGATGTAAGAGCGGAGCTGCCCAGGCGTACGGGGGGGTTACCACTCCTTGTTCTTTTACGGGGAAAGTGAGTCGCAACACTGTGTAGGGTGAACGCTGGGGTTTATAAGGGACACGGGGTGAATTGGTTTGGTTTGTATTAAGTTAGGGCACTGATACGGGGTTGACAGGTATGTAGTGTACACTACACACGACTATACACTACTATGCACTATTATACACCACTACTATACACTATTATACACTACTATACACTATTATACACTACTATACACTCCTATACTATACACTATTATACACAACTATACACTACTATACCCTACTACACACTATTATACACTACTATACACTATTATACACTACTATACACTCCTATACCCTACTATACACTATTATACACTACTATACACTACTATACACTACACTATACACTACTATACACTACACTATACACTACTATACACTACACTACTTTACACTACACTATACACCACTTTACACTACACTAATATACACTACTATACACTATTATACACTGCACTACTATACACTATATACACCACTATTATACACTACTATACACTACACTATCATATGTCAACCCCAACGGTTCACCCCTTATTCTTGTACAGGGAAACTGAGTAGAAACACATTTTTTGTGTCTGTGTTTCTCCCTTGTGATGGGACTTTGTAGGATGAACGTTGAGATGTATAAGAGACACGGGGTGACCAGTAATGTCTGAATTGGTCTGCAATAAGGGGATTGACATGGATGTTTAAAGGCTTCTCGTTTTCGGGAAATGGTGGCGAATGTCGCTTTCGGCTCGGGTTATCTCGTCCGATTTGGTTAATCGATTAGCAATCCGCATGAATGGGTGGAGTTGGGTGGGGGGGCGACTTGGCTTCGTTGACACAAGTTAATTTGTATTTACCCTCAAGAGATGTCGTTATTGTCATCGTGCAGGCCGAAGGCATCTTAACGATTTAGCGAACGAGTGATGATTATCGTCTTATGCGAATGTTAGTGCTGTAGATGCGGCGACCGTCCGATGTTGCATTAACGTTTAACAGCCCGAACAGATTAAAGTCCATCAGATGACTAGCATAAAGCATGATTTATTAACTACACTTTATATACACTGTGCTGAGCACTGTGTATGTGACAAACGTATGCGCGAACTCGAGGCGAAAATTAACAAGTGTGTGTGGTTTTTTTTTCAAAGAGCGGAAGAGTAGGCCAAGTACCCCGTAGAGAGGGTGCTGTCTGGATCTCTGTGGAGTGGAGGCACCATCCCATCCATCCCGGTAGCGGCGTGAGCGAGCCACGTGTTGTTCGTCTGCGCACCACCACACGTGAAGATGACGGCCAACTACCACGCCAACCCGGGGAAATCACCGAGACCGCAGCTGTCCATGGTGAACGATGGCTTGATGAGGCTCAGCAAGGAGGAGCTCGTTCGCATCGTGCGAAGCCGACAACTCCCGCAAGGACCCGCCGGCACATCCTCCTCCTCCGCCGCCGCCGTCGGAGGAGGAGTAGACCAAGAGCAGCAGCAGCAGCAGATGTCGGCGCTGCGTAACGAGAACGCGCGGTACCGGAAAGAGAACGAGGATCTTAAAGAGGTGTGCTGCTTCCTGGACGAGGAGAGGCAAAGGTTCCGCAAGGCTGCCCGGGAGTGGCACCGCTTCGGCCGGGGCTGGGCGGGCACCCTGCAGGTGCAGCTGCAGGAGACGCAGCACAAGTTGCGTCAGCTGGACCTGCGGCAGGAGGCGCTGCTCAAGGTGAGAGAGACACGTGGAGCAGAGATGTCTCGAAGGCTTGAGCCTCGCTTCTTATGACTTCACATAGTCCTGGCCTGAGTTCTTCGTCGGGGAACGGTTCAAATGGTGGTTCGACATTGTACTCGGCCCATCATCCGTCCGGTCCGGATTAAAATGAGGCACCACTTTGTGAATAAGTCAACAAGTGGTTTGTCCTATTGATAGACTCGCCCCTGCCAAAAGGAATGTGGAATTTCCGCTACTGGCTGGCGCCAGGCTCTGTATACAGGAGATGAGTACTGTTACTGTATCTGAGCAGGAAAGAGGAAGTAGTGAAAGAGGAAGTAGTGAATGAGTCGTCGTGTCCGTGGATGAGATGCATTGTACACTTGTTGAGGTTTTCAAACCGAGTGTTTTCATCGAAGCCGGAATCACTGGAAAAGTGGAAGATGTGGACGCTCTCAAGTGCATTCGAGGGCACTTCGCTGGTGTCTGCGTTGTCATCCCAACAGCCACACTTAATCTCAACATTATTGCGCTTAAGAAAAATATTGTGCCACTGATGAACGTGGTAAACTAACGCCTAATTTTTTTTATAAACCGTGCTTTTCAAAATGACACTCGGGGTCTGCCTGAATTGAGTAAGATTCTTCATCCTATTGGGCCCTCGCTGGGGTATAAATCAAGGTAAAGGTGTTCACTGTACTGTGACATCAGCCGCCACACCTGTAGGCTAAATGACGTAGAAGTGAGGGCCATGAGCCCTTATTTATACATTTTAAGATCTTATTCTTCTGTCCGTGGTCGTTTACGACAGGCAGGGTGGCTCTTCGTCACCGTTGTTGCTCACTGAAGCACTTTAAACACAGCGCCGCACGTGGTTACTTTAATTCTGTTTACTCCACTCGCGGGCCGACATCTTCGCCACGAGATATCGGAGGAAATGCATCTCCGCGGTGTCGTACGTCGCATTGTATTTGCATAGGGTATCAGTTCACTAAAACTTCGTGAGTACGTGATGAAGGGTGGAGCGGTGGGAACTCGGCGTGGTTCCTCGCCATCAATCGGTCGCGAGCGATGTCTGAACCCACGTTGACCAGTGCGGTGAGCTGTGGTCCAATCTGTCGGCGCAGCGTGGACGATGCCTTCATCCAACATTGGATTGACAAATGGCCGTAAATTATTTTATGATGAAAATAAGTCGTACACGGACTCCTCTTGTCTGCGATGATATGGTCGAACCCGATACTTTGGTAAGCGAATGCTTGAAAAAGTTATAATTTCACTATTCATGGAAAAATAATATAATCCTCGAGAGTAGGTTTTTCCACTTTTATCTGGCAACAAAAGAGGTGTTGAGTTGTTAGAACATCAAACTGAAACCTTTTACAAGGAATCATGTCTGTATTAACCACAATACTTGTGGTCAAAATGCAAAAAAAACCTCTGATAATATATGCATTGTCTTTGAAACTGATTGGTCCACACCAGAGACAGCTTTCTTTTGAGCCTCGTCTCAAACGGTGTTAGACCAGAGGATGCCAAAAGGCGAACAGCTCAAAGACAGCACAAAGACAGCTCAAAGACAATGCACTATCAGAGTAATGAGAGCTCGGGGTGAGCATCTACATCATGGGACCTCCTTTGCCAGTACCAAAATATGAGAATAGGTTTTTCCCCTTTTATCTGGCAACAAATATCATCCTTACCTACAGTTTTCTTTTACTTTGGAATGTGGGCTTTGCTGGTAATCCAGGATTTGTTGCAGTACTATGGATAACATGATTCATCACTCAACTGTAATCCATCCAGAGGAAGATTTCCCCATTTTTATGTTGACATGAATTACCATCATATAAGTGATCTCAAAACTCCTTCATTCATATTCATCCTTTATTTCTGTATGTTGGGGTCCTGGCCCAAGATAACCTTTCTGATGTCCCTGCTGTCGCTCCACATCAGTAAAGCAAACGTGAAAAGAGTAAGAGACAAACGGATGTTATCCCATCAACCAACGTTTGGAATTCTGAAGCATCGACCTGCAACGGCATCCTCCGACTAGCGCGGTTTGCTCCGTGGGGCGCGAAATAATCAGACGTTCTTTCTGAAGTTTATGATCCGAGTAAATAACCCGATGAGCCTAAACAGCTCTTTTTCCAAGGGTGAAATAAGTTCAACGTTGCGTACAAGAAGACGGTGTACACAACAGTGGGACGCATATTGTGTAGGGAGCGCAGTTACTGACGGCGGTGGTGTGCAGGTGAAAGGCCACTTGAGAGAACGCGCGTGTTTGGTAGGGGAGGGCCTTTGCTGTGGAGGAAGTTGGGTTTAAGTTGGTGGGTTCGTCTTCGGCCAAGAGTGCCAGTCCATGCCACCGCACATCGGGCTTCCCTCTGACACATTCCACAGCTGTTGCACAGTTCGACACGTGACACGTGTTTACTGGTACTGTACGTTAAGCCATTTGCCTCACCCCCCACCGTACGTAGCCAGCCGCGCTCACACACAAAAAAAGGGTCCCATGGATGTAGAAACTGCTCAACCCGAGCTACTGAACGCTTCAATACTTGCACTGCATTTGTAATTGTTCGCCCTTGGGCGTTGTTCTCTGGTAGAACACTCGTTAGACGAGACCAGACAGAAGGCTGTCTGGTGTAGGCCAATCAGTTTCAACGACAATGCAAATCTCATAATTATCAGAGCCTGTTTGTTTGCACGTTTTGGCACAAGCACGTGTGGTTAATGCAGAATTGATGCCATGCAAAAGCTATCCAATTGGTGTGTGAACATTAACACAACTCCTGTGTTATTGCCAAAAAGGATAAAGCCTATCCTTACACCCCCCCCCCCCCCCATCGTCTTGATACTGGCAACAACAAAAAATGCCCCATTAAACTAAAACAGCGTTCGGCAACACTGCAACCTCGCTTGGCAACCCGCTTGATGCTTCACTCTCACTGACGTCTCGGGGGCTCGCTTGATGCTTCACTCTCACCGGTGTCTCGGTGGTTCGCTGCTCGCTTGATGCTTCACTCTCACCGGTGTCTCGGGGTTGATGCTTCACTCTCACCGGTGTCTCGGTGGTTCGCTGCTCGCTTGATGCTTCACTCTCACCGGTGTCTCGGGGTTGATGCTTCACTCTCACCGGTGTCTCGGTGGCTCGCTGCTCGCTTGATGCTTCACTCTCACCGGTGTCTCGGGGTTGATGCTTCACTCTCACCGGTGTCTCGGTGGCTCGCTGCTCGCTTGATGCTTCACTCTCACCGGTGTCTCGGGGTTGATGCTTCACTCTCACCGGTGTCTCGGTGGCTCGCTGCTCGCTTGATGCTTCACTCTCACCGGTGTCTCGGGGTTGATGCTTCACTCTCACCGGTGTCTCGGGGTTGATGCTTCACTCTCACCGGTGTCTCGGGGTTGATGCTTCACTCTCACCGGTGTCTCGGGGTTGATGCTTCACTCTCACCGGTGTCTCCGAGTTGATGCTTCACTCTCACCGGTGTCTCGGGGTTGATGCTTCACTCTCACCGGTGTCTCCGAGTTGATGCTTCACTCTCACCGGTGTCTCGGGGTTGATGCTTCACTCTCACCGGTGTCTCCGAGGTTCGCTGCTCTCTTGATGCTTCACTCTCACCGGTGTCTCGGGGTTGATGCTTCACTCTCACCGGTGTCTCCGAGTTGATGCTTCACTCTCACCGGTGTCTCGGGGTTGATGCTTCACTCTCACCGGTGTCTCCGAGTTGATGCTTCACTCTCACCGGTGTCTCGGGGTTGATGCTTCACTCTCACCGGTGTCTCCGAGGTTCGCTGCTCTCTTGATGCTTCACTCTCACCGGTGTCTCGGGGTTGATGCTTCACTCTCACCGGTGTCTCCGAGTTGATGCTTCACTCTCACCGGTGTCTCGGGGTTGATGCTTCACTCTCACCGGTGTCTCCGAGTTGATGCTTCACTCTCACCGGTGTCTCGGGGTTGATGCTTCACTCTCACCGGTGTCTCCGAGGTTCGCTGCTCTCTTGATGCTTCACTCTCACCGGTGTCTCGGGGTTGATGCTTCACTCTCACCGGTGTCTCGGGGTTGATGCTTCACTCTCACCGGTGTCTCGGGGTTGATGCTTCACTCTCACCGGTGTCTCCGAGGTTGATGCTTCACTCTCACCGGTGTCTCCGAGGTTGATGCTTCACTCTCACCGGTGTCTCGGTGGCTCACTGCTCGCTTGATGCTTCACTCTCACCGGTGTCTCAGGGTTGATGCTTCACTCTCACCGGTGTCTCCGAGGTTCGCTGCTCTCTTGATGCTTCACTCTCACCGGTGTCTCCGAGGTTGATGCTTCACTCTCACCGGTGTCTCGGGGTTGATGCTTCACTCTCACCGGTGTCTCGGGGTTGATGCTTCACTCTCACCGGTGGCTCGCTGCTCGCTTGATGCTTCACTCTCACCGGTGTCTCCGAGGTTGATGCTTCACTCTCACCGGTGTCTCGGGGTTGATGCTTCACTCTCACCGGTGGCTCGCTGCTCGCTTGATGCTTCACTCTCACCGGTGTCTCGGGGTTGATGCTTCACTCTCACCGGTGTCTCCGAGGTTGATGCTTCACTCTCACCGGTGTCTCGGGGTTGATGCTTCACTCTCACCGGTGTCTCGGGGTTGATGTTTCACTCTCACCGGTGTCTCGGTGGCTCACTGCTCGCTTGATGCTTCACTCTCACCGGTGTCTCCGAGGTTGATGCTTCACTCTCACCGGTGTCTCCGAGGTTCGCTGCTCTCCTGCTTCCCTCTGGCAAAGGGGCTTCCCGCGCGTCGCGACAAATCGCCGCTCCCGGCTCCGTTTTGCGACTTCGGTCTCTTTGTCCCACCGCTCTCCGTCCCAATGTGAGAGAGAGAGAGAAAGTTTGCGGCCCAAAGACTCAGCGGAATTGGTTTAAATAAATAGCGGGCAGCGGTGAAAAATATTTGGGCAGAGGCTGAGAATACTGAAGTGGGTTCCGTTACTGACGAGGCCATTGTGGATTTTCTTCTTATTATCG